GCCCTTCCCCTCCTTCCTCTCCGCCCCGCCGGTACCTCGCTCCGAGGACTGGACCCTCGGTCAGCGGGCCCTGGCACACGCCGGATAAGACGTGCCCTGGATCTGTGGTGTCTGTGCACCCGCAACCTCTTGGCATTCTGACGGCCTCGCGGATGCGTTCCGTTGCTGCGAAGCTCATGCAGTAGCCCTGCTCTTGCTACCTTTGTTCCTCTCCGCCCATGCCGCCAACGCGTGATCGCTACTGTGGATTCCACATCCATGAGCCTGATGAAGACGACTGTTGAAACACACCTCCGGATCGTCACCCCGGCCCCCCCATCGATCTCGAAAGGCTTCGCAACCTGTCAGCATCGGAACGGCTATCTCCATATGGGCGTCTGCCTTACTTATACAATTTCACCATCTTCGGCCGACAGCGAGCACAAATAGGTTTTAGTCCTTGGAAGATATGTGTATCAAAGTTCGCCATGGAGTCTTGACAGCATGGCCTGGTGTCAACGATGACCAGACCGGCTGCGATAAGTTCTAAATGACTGGCATGCAACGACATGTGATTCAAGAAAAGAAAATCTGGGGAGAATACGTCTCGGCAGCAGTCTTTGCTGGGGAGCGCAATTGCCACGATTACGCGCCATCCGAGACCCTTTTCACCGCATATTGTGCCCAACAGCCAGTGGACCGTGGACGGCTATCGGAGCTCCTCCGTTGGTCCGCTACCCACCAGAACTCCTTTCGGCTGTCGCCTCTCTAACCAACGCATTCTTCCCTTCCTTCATTCAAGGCTTTGTTTGAGTCGCTTTCACCAATGGGTCAGCTAACTCATGATGGCTTTCTCCCAAAGTTGCTCTACCATTACCTTCTCAAAATTGACTTTTCTATGTAATAGGATACTGACGTCTGCCTGGCTTTCGTACACAAGGTACCTGATTCTTGCTTGCTCGAACCGGTGCTTGCAAGCTCGGTACCGTACGTCAGCTGAAACCCAGAGAGCGGACTTGTAGCAGTCATAACACAATTTCGGTATGCTACCTCCATTTGGTATCGAGCTCGGCGTAGAGGCCATGTTTTGGCTGAAGAGATGCCGGGGTTGGACTTGACCCGAATTTGCTGTGAATGAGCCGTTGTCGACGAAATGGACAGCTCTTGCTCTCCTGGAGCCATGTCTCCAGGCACTGATCTCAAGCTATGTGCCTGCAGGGCAATATCGCGGGGACACTGTCCCAGAGCTTCACGTTTAGGCCTCTCGCCTCTGCCTCACCACGGAGCCCCAAATGACTATGATGGCAAATTTGGCAGACAAGATCTCCCGGCTTGTCAATCAGGAAGGTGATCTTCGGGCTGGGGAAGAACCATCTCCCCACATCACGAGCTTCGGGCAACTGAGGCCTTAACCAGCCGCTGACAAACGGAAGAAATGTATTCTTCATCGTTCCCACGTTTCTCACAACGCCTTGTCGTGAGATACCGGCGCCGAGAAATCGCAAACTCCGGAATGCTGACCATCGTTCGCTATGGCGACTTTTTTCCGTATTTCAATACGTGCTATACCGAGCAAGCGTTTGAGCTGGTATCCGAATTGCTGACGGCTTGGACGGAAGGCATGTTATCTGGCACTGGATTTCGTAATTGAGCCTGCGAGGTCCGGCAACCCCTTCGAATGACTAAAACTCCGAGGATAAAAGGAGGCATTATTCAAACACTTCCACACTTTCATTAAAGTTCCCTCTTCACAATCTCACAAACAAGAAAGACAAAACTACGAAACATCGCACAATGTTTTGTGTCGTAGAACAACGGCACTCGAGGAACACGAAGGCAAGCTAAGAATAAACACCAGTAAGATACTAAAAACAAGGAGCCACATCTCATCCGTGCGTACTTAGAGACGAGCAGATTCAGTGAGCGCTCTCTGCCCCCCGTTTTTCGGGACAGGGCTCAGAGAAATGAACAGTCAATTTCCTGGTCACTGACGATACAAGCCCAAATGACCACAGCAAGCAGCATAACTTGTTGTGGTGTGAACTTGGGAGGAATCCGAACACTCGCCAGCAATAGGGCCTACTTGAATTGCTGCCCTGCTTTGAGCTATGGCAATTTTACCAAGTCGTGAAACGGTCGTTACCAACACATACCCACAAGACAGCCTCACTCGAGAAACGCTACGGAGGGTGGAGATCCCGGCCTCCGAACAGCATCGAAGAAGTGCGCCAGGAAATCACTGGGGCTTGCTTTCGCCTCGCCACCTCACTCTTGGAGGGCTCGAAATTGGTCCATCAAGGTCCAGCCCAGCCATTGCGATGGATGTGTTCCGAGGGCTGATTGGTGCTTTCCTTTGTTTGCCACCTATTCGCTGTTCGGAGGCTCCCTTGAATTCAGTACCAATCGTTGTGGACATGAGCTTCTGTACCGTATCCAAGGCAGCTTGCTCCCTGCTGAACGAATATCCGCCGGCCTTTTGGGCTGTAGGTCTCGTCTGCGCACCCAGGTGTATTAGGACCTGAGAGGAATGTACCATACACGCTGTGGTAGGAAAGCAGCCAGTATGGTCTTGCGTGTGGTCCTGCAAAGGGCTGACGAGAAACGAGCTCGCCCGTTAAACCACATGGCCTGGCCGCCGGGGTAACCTTGGAAACTCGAACCCCAGAATTCACCCTCGCTCTTTGGAAAGGGAGTCTTGTGACTAAGAGTACGGTTAGCGTCCTGCACATCCACGAAATCCGCAGGATGTTTGGTCATGAATTCCGTCGTCGACTTGAAGCATTCGTAAGACTCAGATCAGACGCGGGGCCACAGTCAACATACGTCCAGGACTCTGGATCTGGACTCGTCTCATCGTGATCTAGATCTCGATGTCGACCGCCAAAGTGATCCGAAGCGATAGCGTGCGATGGTCAAAACCTTTTCCTCGAGGTCTGGGAAAGTCTCCCCGTCTAGAACCGGCATCGGCCGCCTCCCCCCGCCTTTGGACATTTGCACTTACAGGCGTTTAGGTATTACCTACCGCCCTATCCAGACATACCTCTGAGACCCGTCCCGGGATTCAGGATTTGCCGATTTTCAAGCCCAACGACTTCTAGACTTTGGGCTAGGGAGGGTTGAAGCGGGCAGACCGCTTCCCAGACCGTAGCCTTCGTGCTAGGCACGAGGCGTTGTCAAGCAGCTCAAGCTGCAATCTGCACAAGAGAGGATGCTTCAGTCAGCTCATTGTGAGAACGAAGGATCAGAATCAAGCCATAGGTATGCTTGTGACAAAGCAAGGCAATGACCCCCTCTCAATGCCTCATTCTTCCTACTGCATTAGCGATGTTGCACAGCGTTCGCGATGTTGTGCTGCGGCCTGTCCGTCCGGCCGGCCCCTTGACCGACCAAAGATCGGCGAGAGTGCGTTGAGTGCCTGGGTGCTTGGGGTGCGCCCCCATCCCTTTTCTTGCTTCCGCAAGCCATATAGACGCGTCATTCGCGAGGGCCTGATGCATAAGACGGCGAAGCTCTTGCCCAGACGGGCGCGATGTCGCAAAGAGCTGCAAAAGCTATGCTGGCTGGTTGGCTGGCGGGGCGGAAGGACCGCTGATGTTTGGAGGGTCGAAACCTCACAGTGGCCCCCCCTTTCGCGAACCTGTGTTTATGGCGTGGGCGGGCCCAGAGATAGGCTATTCTTCCAATTTTGAATGAGATTGAAGAATGGGAGAATAGTGATATGTGAGTAATATTGTAGGTGTCCCATCCAATTATGCAGCTTCACCTCTTGGAGTTACGCAAAGTAGGGTAAAAACAGATGAAGGAAAGGTTTGCTGGGGTCTTTGAGTTGTCCTGGCTATTCTATGTATAAAAGAGCAATGTGGCCTTGAAAGATCGGAGAGTATGTTGCTGCCAAGCTCAACGGTCTCGGGTTTAGGGGCTATGAGGCCAGATCATGCCACGGAAATTATAATTACCGCTGTCCTCCTTGAGGTAGCGAGACGAGCCGCGAGGACCTTCGGTCTTCACATTTCCAATCCACACATACAAACAGGATGGTGGTAGGTCTTGGACGTAATGTGACTCGAACTGACTTGCCAGTGTTTGCTTCAGCATACTCGAGCAGGTAGATGACACGGATCGAGGATCCCTGGACCCGGTGTCCCATTCCCTGGAGGCAAGCATTCCCAGTAATACCGGACCACATCGAACTCCACAAAATGGCAGTTCTTTGAGCTATAAAAAGATGAAATTCCAACAATACCATCTAACAATATGATGCTGCAATGGGGTACAGGCAGGCATCTCGACCGGTGGCACAGGTAGTACTACGTATGTGTGAACTGAACATAGATCGCTTGCCTCTCTCCCTACCTGAGACCATAAGCGAGATGCGCTACAAGTGGACTACGTACTACATTATTTTGTCTATTTTTCATTCGCGTCGTCATGTTATTCAACATTTTCCTAGCAAAACTTGGTTGAATTACGTTCGCTTTCTTGAACAAGGCTTATGATGATATGATGCGTGTAGGTAAAGTCCGCCTCTCAAAAAGAAGCGTCTAACACATGAGTGGAATCTGAAGGATGTAGACAGGCTCGATGGAACACTCGTTCCCTGGTTGCTCGCCAGCGTCTTTATGGAATCTGCTTGATGAGCTGTCGGTAATAACATGATTGTTTTGCCTGTCTCGATTCCTTCGAGACCATATACAATTAGGCAAAGTATAGGGTGAGAAAGGAAGACCGTCAAAGAAACATCTAGCACTTTGAGCAATGCTTCCAATTCGTTTTTGGCCGGTGCCCATCCTCTTCTCAGATGAAAGCTCGGGAGGAAAGAGACGAACTGGAAGTCAGACCATGGCCTGAGCGTCACCCTAAGGAACCTCACCTTCGGTGAGCAGCAGCCATCCAGTCAATCAGACCGAAGTCGGCATGGTCCGGAGTTCGGCATCTTTCCGCTTCCCCACAGTCGACTTTACGGCGGATACAGCCCTCAGGGCCTCTTATAGGTTCTCCACCGTCTCTCCAGTGCCAGTGTCAATTCGGGCGCCAGTTGTGAGAGCCGGCCCGCGGGCAGGCAATAGCGTCATTTTCTCCGGTATCTTTTGCCGGCCGACCAGTCTATTTTTGTTGATTTCACACACGCACCTTCAATCCCACGAGACATCTCCGAAGCGGCTTGGTTTTGTCCCCAAAACACTGCAACGACAATCATCTCACAGCGCGCGCATGCTTGCAACATGCATTGTTCTTGTCAATACCCCTAGACCTTTTTTTTCCTCATTTGACTTTTGTTCACCTTGGTCCCTCTTGACCAGCCACCATGCGCCGTGCAGCTGCATCTTCACTTCCCCTCCGCCGAGTGGGCGCATCGCTCAACGGCTCTGCCGCCACAACCCGAGGCATCACAGAGCAGGCTGCCCACCGACGCTCTCTTTGCACAACTTGCCTTGCCAACAGACACAACACAAGCGCTGGAAGATCCCGTCCGTTACCGAGTATTCTTACGCAACAAACCAGAAATGGGGGCCAGAGGAGGACGGCTTCGGCGGTAGCGACTGCAACAGAGGGAAACAGGGGTAGGGAACCAGAATCGCGAAAACAGTTTGGTGGCGCAAGGGAGGCTAATGAGAAGGCAGCCGCAAAAGATGAACACGGCCCGATACAAGAATACGATCGCCGAGTCGACAACGGCATTTTGCGCAACGACGAGCACCAGAGGGGCAAGTTTGCGCTCCCAGGAGCCGACATTGGCAGGGGGGAGAATCACATGCTGACGCGGGACAGGTATCATCCAGAGCCTCCAGCACCTCCACGACGAGCTGGTCAACTACCATGCGCCCGAAGTGAAGCAGCCGACCCTCGAGTCCATCAAGCCCGCAAAGTCCATGTTCGGATCCTGGTTCGGCGGGGGAAAGGCTGCCGAGGCTGCGATAGGAGCGATCCCGAGCAACCTGCCCCGCGGGCTGTACCTCTTTGGCGACGTCGGTAGCGGCAAGACGATGCTCATGGACCTGTTCTACGACACGCTACCGAGCTCCGTCAAGACTAAGACGCGCATTCACTTCCACAACTTCATGCAGGATGTCCATAAGCGGCTACACAAGATGAAGATGCAGCATGGCAACGATGTTGATGCTGTTCCCTTTGTGGCAGCGCAGATCGCAGCGCAGGGCAACGTGCTCTGTTTCGATGAGTTCCAGTGTACCGACGTCGCAGATGCCATGATTCTGAGAAGGTGAGCTAGAAAGGGAAAGCGCGCGCAAAAGTAGAGCATGTCGCAAACTGACACACCGGGGGGCAGATTACTAGAAGCGCTCATGTCACATGGCGTCGTACTGGTCACGACATCGAACCGACACCCCGACGAGCTCTACAAGAACGGCATCCAGCGAGAATCCTTCATCCCCGCGATCAAGCTGCTCAAGAGCAGGCTCCACGTCATCAACCTGGACTCCCCGACAGACTACCGCAAGATCCCGAGACCGCCCTCGGGCGTCTACCACACCCCGCTCGACGCGCACGCGACCTCCCACGCCGAGAAGTGGTTTCGCTTCCTCGGCGACCCGGAGAACCCGGAGCCGCACCCGGAGGTGCAGAACGTCTGGGGCCGCGAGATTCACGTGCCGCGCGTGAGCGGCCGCTGCGCGTGGTTCACCTTTGACGAGCTCATCGGCAAGGCCACGTCGGCGGCGGACTACCTCGAGCTGGTGCGCAACTACGACGCCTTCGTCATCACCGACTGCCCCGGCATGACGTACCGCCAGCGCGACCTCGCTCGACGCTTCATCACCTTCATCGACGCCGTGTACGAGTCGCACGCGAAGCTGGTGCTGACGACGGAGAAGCCCCTGACGGAGCTGTTCGTCTCCCGCGCCGAGCTGGAGGAGTCGTTGGAGAAGCAAGGGAAGAAGGACGAGGCCGGACAGCAGCAGAGCGGCGGCGATACCGCGGCGGCGACGCATCTCCTGGAAGACCTGGACCACAACATTGATTCCATCAAGGGCATGTCGGGCCTGTTCTCGGGCGACGAGGAGGCGTTTGCGTTTGCGCGCGCGTTGTCGCGTCTGAGCCACATGGGCAGCAAGGAGTGGGTTGAGCGCGGTATGGGGTTGGAGCAGCAGGGCGGCAAGAAGGAGCGCGACGACTGGGCCAAGGTCCGGAGTCGGCAGATGGAGGACAGCATGTAGAAGCGAGCGTTGTTTTGACATCAGAGGGAAAGCATTCTACCCCGTTTGGCCGTCTTCTTTTTGGCTGGGTTGCTGCTGGCTTTGTGCTGCGTCATGGCTGTAGCCGTTGTGAAAAGGGGGCTTACTTGCTTCTTATAGTTACCCGTCCGAGGTATCTAGTTGGTGGCCGGCGCTAACGGCCCCCTTTTCGTCTTTTCATGAGCATTGGTTTCGTTTATGATGCTACGGCAGGACTGCATTTACGGGGAATCTCGCATATTTTGGCCGAGAGGTCTATGTATATAAATCATCCTCGTTCAAGACATGATTCTTCGGCTCAGTCAAGACAACACACCTTGATGATCAGGATTTATTCCAGACTCTCATCGTTTGGTCATGCTTGTGACTTTCTGTCACAAGCGATTGCATATGTGTCAAAAGTATTATGATTGCACCATTTCCGGGAAGCTAGTAAATACCGGGAAGCAGAACCCAGGGCACTTCCCTCTTGAAATCAACCCACTGCTCGCCGTACCGCTTGGAGCAGTACTCATTCAACGCCGGCACGCCGCGCGTGAGGAAATCCACCGCCTGCCAGACGCCCATGATCGTACCCCCGATGAAGCCCGACGCCGCCATGCAGTAGCCCGCCCGCCAGAGCGCGTACCCGCCGTAGTTGATGTGCCGCGCCAGCTTCCAGAGCCCGCCGCGCATGACCTTGCCCTTGTTCTCGGGCCGCGCCTTGAACTGCTTGCGCTGCCACTCGGACGCCGTCTCGAGGAACATGCCGACGCCGTAGAGCACGCTACCCAAGACGACCTGGTAGGGAAGAGAGGTACCCGGGAAATCGCGCGGGGAGGTCAGGACGGAGGTGGACGCCGCGAGGAGGAGGAGGGAGTTTGCGCTGTTGACGAGGGTGTTGTAGAAGCTCACGCCGACGGCGGAGGACGGCGGGAATTCCTCGGCGGAGATGCCGACGAGCCAGTAGGCTTGTTTGACGAAGGAGCCGACGGACATGCCGAGGAGGATGAGGTGCGGGAGCGGCAGGTGGAGGTCGTCGAGGATGGTGACGCCCGTGGTGGAGACGGCGGCTACGTTGAGGGGGATGGTGTTGATGCCGACTTTGGCGAGGGCGGCGGCGCCCCAGCCGCCGGCGACGAGCTTGTATTGGAAGAAGGGGTCCAGGCCGCGGAGGCCGAGGAAGGTGAGGGTTCCTGGCACATTGGACTTTTTGACGCCGCGCTTGATGAGGTCGAAGTTTGGCTTCTCGGATTTGGAGGCCGCCATCTTGGAAAGGCAGCACTCGTTTGGTGCGCGATTGAGCTTAGATGGATGTGGTGCTGGTGTGTCTGAGATGGCTAGAATCAAGAGATGTCGTCGAGATATATCGTGAGCCTATTTGGCTTGGCTCACAAGGTCGGACGAATGCAGGAGGAACACATGCAGGTCACCTCACTAGGGATGCGCGCCGGCTGCAACCAGCGCTTTATACACGCGGCGGGGATGCGCTTGGGGAACCTGCGGTTGCTCCCCCTCATGATATCATTTACTGTCTGAGGATGGCCAAAGGAACAGGTCCAAGCCCGGCGTCTGTTCGCCCATTCAACGTTGTCGGAAGTTCGGGACAGCACTCCATGTTGTTCAGGTAGCGGCTGTTGATGTTTGGTGTTCAGACGAGCTTAAAGAGGTAAGTCGGTACCGGTGTCCGATGAGCACCGAAGCTCCACACGAGCGGGACGACGGGCAGGCTTGGAAACGGGGTGATACCGGTTTGTGTCTTTCATGCTGACAAACCCACCATGCGAATAATCTTGGGCTTATAGGTCTGGACATCTTACGACAGAATTTTCAGCATCTTTTGGGTAAGTAGCCAAGGTATCCTGTGAGTGCCTACTAAGTACAGAGAGGCCCCCGCGATCCTCCAACGGACCAGACGCCGAGTCCGAGACGTTATGGGGCACGCAGACCCGCTCCGACACGCTCCAGCCTCCGTCAGCAGTAAGTGCGGGTAGCCCGCAGTGCGATGCGGAATTGACCTTCCCCAGGTGCCGACCCAAGTACATGCGACCACACCCGCTGGAGAACTCGAGATCCCGTCCGCTCTCTCCTAGATAAACCAGCGAGGGCCAGAGTAGTAGTCGGGTCGGAGACGACCGGCGAATGCCTGGTGTTGCATGTATTCCTCTTTGCTTTTTGGCGGGAAGCGATGAAGAATCTCAGGGTGACTGACGGCTGGGCATGATCACAAGGTGACTGCATTGATTGGCTCGCTGAGCCGAAAGCTGCTCGTAAAGGTAAGCCTTCAGGTACCTACCTTGGCGCTTTCCATCGGGTCGTTCGCGAATACCTTAGGGATCCGCCTTTGAAGCAGAAAGACAATGACAGAATACACGCTGCGTGTTGGAAATAACGAGATTGTGTCTTTCAAGGGACCTGTCCATCATGTCATAGCAGTGGTAACCTTACATGACTGCGTGTTGTCAGATGAAGGCGAAGGAAACCGTTCAGTCAGGTACTGGTAGGGAGCTTGATGATTAGGTAAGGCATCTCCTCTGTTCCGGTCTTACGGACATCCGAGGTACGTACCTAAGGCAAGGTACCCGCTTGCAAGCATTGGTGGCGTGCCAGGATGGATTCGAGACAGGGGAGCTTGCCGAGCTGTCGCAGACCTGCTGACGCTCAGCTTCCTTATCTTATCTAGGCACCTATCAGTGCTGGCGACATGACGCCAGCCATCTTCCCGTCCCCTTCAACAACATCCACCTGAGTACCTTACATACCTCCCACATCATCCCCAGATTGTATCATCACCAACCCGTACTATTCACTCAAGATGAAGGTCGCCAAAGCTTTGCCTCTTGCCGTGCTGGCCCACTCGGTCAGCGCTCGCTTTATTGCTGAGGAGGAGATCAACCGTGTCCAGCTGTATCCCGCCGGCTCCGAGCCCGAGAAGTACCTGATCGAACTCGCCCCAGGCAACACTCGCTGGGTGACTGAGGAGGAGAAGTGGGAGCTTCGCAGAGTACGGTTCCCCTCATCGCCGCTGTATTTCTTCGCAGAAGTACTGACATGACGCCTTGCAGAACGGAAACCGCTTCTTCGATATCACCGACCACAAGGAGTTCGGCGCAAACCGCCTCCACACCAAGACGAAGAAGAGCGTCTTCCCCGAGAAGTGTCGCCTCCAGGACAAGGTTAAGCCTCTCATCAAGGACCTCGACAAGAAGGAGATCCAGACCAACCTGGAGAAGTTCACGAGCTTCCACACCCGCTACTTCAAGTCCGACTACGGCCGCCAGTCTTCCGAATGGCTTCTGGCGAAGCTGAACACCATCATCAAGGACGCTGGTGCCGACAAGCACGTCTATGCCGAGGCCTTCCCCCACACCTGGCAACAGAGCTCCATCATTGTCACCATCCCGGGCAAGTCTAACAGCACCGTCGTCATCGGTGCGCACCAGGACTCCATCAACCTGTGGCTGCCTTCCATTCTCGCGGCACCCGGTGCCGATGACGATGGCAGTGGTTCCATGACTATTCTCGAGGCTTTCCGCACCCTCCTCAAGTCCAAGGATGTCATTTCTGGCAAGGCTGACAACACCATCGAGTTCCACTGGTACAGCGCCGAGGAGGGCGGTCTGCTTGGTAGCCAGGCCATTTTCTCGTCCTACGAGCAGGATGGACGCGACATCAAGGCCATGCTCCAGCAGGATATGACTGGATTTGTTCAAGGAACGCTTGATGCTGGAAAGCCTGAGAGCGTCGGTGTCATTACCGACTTTGTTGATCCCGGCTTGACCGGCTTCATCAAGAAGGTCATCGTCGAGGTAAGTCAAAATGAACCCCAATAACCGCCAGCACGAGTTTGTACTCACAAAATTGTAGTACTGCAAGGTACCCTACGTCGAGACCAAGTGTGGATACGCCTGCTCCGACCATGCCTCTGCAAGCAAGGCTGGCTACCCCTCCGCCTTCGTGATTGAGTCTGCCTTCGAGGACTCTGACAAGCACATTCACAGCACCGATGACAACATCAAGTACTTGTCGTTTGACCACATGCTTGAGCACGCCAAGATGACTCTTGGTCTCGTGTACGAGCTTGGCTTCACCGACTTCGCCGCTCTGGAGAAGCAAGGCCAGGTTTCCGAGGAGTTGTAAACGGCTGGATGAATGATGCATAAGCATGATGTTAGTTATGATGCCCTGCGTTTTTTTGAATAGATGATGCTTTCATGCGATGAATTTACGTCTCATTAAGCTCGCCCTTGAAGTTGCTCATATGATCGAATTGCCCTTTGGCGCTCTTATTTTCCAGCCCATTTACGGCAGAGAGGTTACTTCGTAAAGCCGAATGGCGGGCTTTCGAGCAGCTATTCAGTAATCGCATGTAAAAGGCGGCCGCATCATCAACGGTGCATTGATGTTCATTCGGAACCTGGAAGGAGGCACCCATAGGCGGATGGCGAGATATCAATATTTGATTGATATCATGTTTCACTAACAAGTCTACAATGAAGGTAGTTCTGACACAGGTTGAAATCCACATTTATTTCACTATATGATTAGACTCGCTATCTGGATTGTCTAGTGAAGAAGAACAGCATGGTTCTGCGTCTTGATGTGCGGCAAGCTTACAATTTGCATCCAGTTATACCGCTGGTATCCCAGTGACGGCTTTGGCTCAACGAACCATCAGTAAGCGGTCCTGGCCGCCCACTGGCGTCTTCTTTTGGGACAGAGAAAGCCAGCACGAATTGAAATCTCAATGACTTGACTAGACACGGCCCCAAGAGGCAGGTTGCCGTCTCTTGGAGGCTCCGTGGAAAGATGGCTCGAATAAGGTCTTCAGAAAAAGTTAAGTAGGTAGGTACCTGCATAAGTCGCCTGGTTTTCTACTCAAACTGGCTGCATAGGCCCCGCCCAATTATGGCTCTCAGCTGCAGTCTTGCCCTCGTTCCTACCTCAAGGTACTACCTAGACTTACGAACCTTGGCAGGTAAGGAGGGTATAGGTACTGGGGTGATGTCACTGACGTGCATGCGACGGTAAGTAACCGTTCTATAAAGGTTCTGCTCTGGGGAAGCGACGTTGGAATTGGGATTGACACATGGTCAGGTTGCTTCCAGGACGTCTCCGATGGGTCTAGGCTTCAGAGTGGGGCGGTTTTGTACAGACGCCCGCCGCACAGGGGGTCTAAGCTCGCTCCGGCCCAGTCTGCCGATTCGACACCTCCCGCAAGCCTGCAACCCAGATTCTGTACTTTCCTACTCCACCTCTCAACTTTACATCAACATCATCCAAACCACCACCGCTTCAGCCAACGTCTTATCCTTTTCGATTTCACTCATAACAGGGCCCGGAACGTTGCTTTGATTCCCATTTCTTCGCTTGGTCAACTTTTCGGCAATCTATCTTTGCTTGTGTGCCAAGACAGTATAAGCAACATACGAACACTGCGAACAAAGGCACCTTGCACTGCTTGCCTCGAGTCAGTGCGTCTTGCACTCCCGCAACGAAACACATCTCATTGCCGACTGCTTTTTATTAAACCCCGCATTGGGCATCAGCAAACATGGAGGAACCCCAGGAGCCGATAGAGCATGCCATCGCCACAGCTCCCTATAGCCACAGGCCCCCCAGTCCTCCCTATATACCCATTCCCATGACATTTGCTAAAGGCGACGCTACTTGCGCCTTTACCCCCTCATTCAACAATGTCGATGCCATGCGCCTTACGAGCGAGGATCTCAGGATCATAACTCGAAACAAGACGCAGACTGCCACAGACAGGTCAGTTGGCTGGAACTACGAGGCTCGACGAAAGGCACAGACGCTCCTGGACTTCCTATATCTCGGTCCGTTATCTGTTGCTCGCGACGAAGCTTGGCTTGCCAAGGAGGGAATCACCATGGTCATTGTTACACGACATGCCAGGGTGGCTCAAGCTCGACTGATGAGTGTCGACAAGGTAGCGCAGAAACTCGGCATACAAGTCGAATATTTGGACGTCTTGGACAACTCTGAATTGATCCGTGGCTTCCCAGAGGTGGTGAGGAAAATCAACGGGCATTTGATCGACGTGTATCGCAACCAAGTTGTGGGTGCACAGGAAGGTCGGATGGCAGTCGATGATGAAAGTTTCAGGAGTGGCAAGATTCTCCTCGTTTGCGAAACAGGCAACGACCGGTCAGCTTTCGTCGCTGCAGCTTACATCATGACCATGTACGGAAAGGACATGATCTCTTCCGTGCAATTTGTCTCCATGCAACGATTCTCCGCCAACTTCGACGAGGATGGGAAGAGGATGCTACAAGCATACGAAGACATCCTCAATGCCCAAAGAAGTGTCTCTAGTGTGACCAGAGATGTTCCTCGAGCCGGCCAGTCGCAAGAACACCCCGGTGGAGGCGGCAAGCGCGGTATCGAAACGACCCTTGACGACGAGGACAGGCAGGGCGGAGGATATGAGACATTCGCCGCGGATCGTGAGCGGTACCAGGACAGGGGCAGATTTGCCCCGTTTCGTGATCGGGATACAGTCGCCTAGGGACGACTCTAGTCGATTGCAGAGACCTGGAGCCGAAGAGATTTGTAGCGGAGGCATTGCATCAATGATTTTGGCGTCAGCAGGAAGAACGCCTTCAGCCGTCATTAGGAGCAGACTCATTATGGGGAATTAGAACTTTGCTTTGGGAACATGGATAGGCGTCAAAGGTGTCAGTCAGTATACCCGTTTCAGTCGGCAACGACTTTCTCTTAGGGCAGTTTAGACCTGCTTTCACCTCTATCAGATTCCGGCATTTACAATGTCTCAAATTGTGCCCATTCTAAGATGATTATTTGCGTAGATAGACACGCCCAGTATAAAAGGTCGCACATATAATGACTATGATCAGAACTACGTACATGACAGACGAGTAAATTGGTCAGATTGATCTCATGAATTTTTCATATAGATATGAGTTACTCATTCTTCTTCTAGAATAGGTATCGGGCTGTTATTGTCCTATTCGCCGTATTTCCTCGGTAGATTACCCATAGAACGGATGACAATCATGATATAGAGAGGAACAGTTCGCTATACTCATCCTCAGTGCAATTACATCATGCCACCGGGATAGAAATTGACCCCCTGGGCCAGTAAACAAGCCTGCATGAGGCTATCCCATGGGGAGAAACCGGCCTCCTGTGAACCTCAGGTCGCAGGACTCATCTTACCTTACTTCACCCTACACTCAACCCTTCCATGACAACGAGGAAGGAGCAGCTGCCTCATTATTATTTTTCTTCCGGGCCCCACCGCTCCTTCTTGATACATCCCACTCACCAACGCGAGATTTCTGATCAAAACAATCTCACTTGGCTGTCAACAATCCATCTTTTCACTCTCACACAAGCCCTTTTCTCTCACTCTCTCTCAACCCACACCTCACTTTTCCCACTTACCTCTCACTTTGCCTCATCCATCACCATTCCAAATTCATCACACTCACCATCGCCACTCAAGTAAGTAGTCGCTGCTGCTTTCACAATCCGCCCCCCTGGGGAATATCGCATACTAATACCCATCGAAAGATGGAGGAAGCGGGCGGCCGGAAGCGTGCGCTGCGGCGCTCGACCCAGGCAGTTCAGAGGGGTAGGTACCAGGAGCCGTATGCGCTCGGGGTTCAAAGGCCGGCCTGGGTTCACCCAGACCCGGTCTTTGACCCCGGCGCGGCTCGTTGGGCGTCCTTCCCGACCATTCCCCTGGACCAGCGGGGTCCAGGGGATGAGTATGTGGAGGCGAGAGACCGGGGCGAGCTGGACGCCTGGCTGCGGGAGCAGAACCCCTCCCCTGAGCACTTCAGTGACGACGGTAATTACTTCTTCCCCTTACTCATCGTGTATCCCGCTGATAAGCCGCAGAGGAGAAGGAGGAGGACGAGCGGCTGGAGAGCGTGCGTGAGGCCAAGGGCGAGGACGAGGGCGAGGGGCTCTCGACAAACATGGACTGGGGCAGCCCAGAGCCTGGGGAGGTTGAGCCCATTGCTTGGGCTCACCTCGGCCACGGCGCCCAATGGGTCTTGCTGGAGGTCCTTTGTGACTCCAAGACCTTTGCTTCGGCAACCCGGGCTCTGGGCCTAACCACTCCAGAGGTCATTGACTTCGTTGTGGTCTACATCCAGTACCACCGCCAGATCCAGGAGTGGGCAGAGACCTGCGACCAGATGAGCGCCTCTGAACTCCTCGACCTGATCCATGGCCAAGGGCCGTCGAGGAACGGCGTGAATGTTCTGCACCAGCCGGATCTTCCCACTCACACCATCAAGCCCGACGAGTATAAGAAGGCCTGCCAGTATTTGCGCCAAACTGGATTAGGCGAGCACATCCGAGGACTTGGGAAGTGCCGGGGGATCTCAGAGGGCTTCCTCCAGATTCCCATCGAGCGAGAGATTCTGGCCTCCTGCATTGCCATCCTTGAGAATGGCAAGAATGGTTCAGATGTGCACGACATCGACAATACTAGTCACAACGGACGGCAAACTTGGCACGACCAGTACGACGAGAAGCACCGTGAATTGGTGAAGAGAGTATTGCAGATTCAAGCATACCTCCCTATCTTGGATCTCACGACAGGCATCCAGGCGAGTACACCGTCTGCGACCGATCCTACAGAGCAGCACAGCACTCCTACTCCAGAGTCAGTGAGTGAGCCTCACAATGCCGGTCAAGTATACGCTCAGAACAACCCAATGTTTGGCGAGAACAGCCAGGTAAGCGCCTTCTTATTCTTTCATCTCTATGTCTTCTTTTGCAATCCGTCCGTTGTTCTTGACGTGAACCTCGATGGCTCTCGCCTTTGAAGTTAAGACGAGAACAGGGCTAACGGTCAGCAGTATGCATGGGTCTTTGATAACTTGGACATGGACGAGCTTTACGATCCAACCGAAGTCCACAAGTATCGCAACCGTCCCGCTGTCTCTTATGAGAGCTTCCAGTCTGCTGCCGATGGCGCACCTGAGAATACTCAGGTGCAGGACGATGATCAACATGAGGAGTACCCGCTTCCCGATGATCAAGCACTCGACGAAGCATTCCACGAGGCTCAAGACAACAATCTTCCGGATGCCCTCTTGTTCCCCTTCGAGGGACTCCTGTCCGAGGCAGAGGAGCTCATGCCCTGCCCCTTCTTCGCAGACCCAGAGCCAACCGTGGACCATACTCTCATCTCTACGAACCCGTCTCTCCCCGTATTGCAGGCTCAAGATGAGGGCCAGTTGGCTCCACAGAGCGCAAGCTCAGCGGTGCCTCAGCCCTTCATTTCTTATATCGATGAGGTGGACCCCAACAGGAAGCCTTCGGACTCACCTGCCTACGAATATTTCCAGTCAGCTGACTACAAGACACTTCTCTACAGCAACCACCCAGATTGGTTCGTCGACGAGATGTTACTTCCAGTTGTTCGACCGGAGGTGCCCTCTATCCAGGCGACCGCTCATCAGAGTGTTGTTCAAGAGGCCAGTCAACAGGAGAACAATCTTGAAGCGAACTCGAACGTCAACTTGAGTGCCAACTCGGACGCGAGCTCCAAAGCGAACTCGAAAGGCGACGCGAACATCAACTCGAATGCCGCCGCGAACGCCAATCCGAGCGCCGCCCCGAACTCCAACTTGAACATGGAGCCTTCGCATCCGACGCCGAGCACCGATACGTCTGGAGCTCCTGGAGTGTCTGAAGTGTCTGAAGCGCCTGCAGTCTCTCACGCCCCCAAGCTCTTCGACGCCCCCGGATTTTCTGCAGTCGCCAATATTCCCCAGAGCTCTACAATCACTGAGCCTTCGAAGGTATCTAGAGTCCCTGGAAGCTCTGAGGCGTCCGCGGTATCTACAGCAAAGGAGCCTCGCTTCGCCCTGAAGACTCCTGTGCTTCCAGCCCAGGAAGAAATCACTTTCTACAACACCCCTGCGGTTGTCGCCAGAGACTCGCGCCCGCGCACTGTCATTGACTTGACTGATGATTCTGCGAGACCTACGGCTGCTACTCCAGCGAGGCCCATGGCCAATACTCCTGCGAGACCCGCGGTCGCTCCTCCCACGAGAAACACCAACACAGCCCGAACTCCGGCTATGCGCATGGATAGTCCCGAAGCTCCATCCACCAAGAGCTCTGCCAAGCCATCCCGCAAGCGTGCGGCTGATGACAGCGATGGCGACTACGTTCCCAAGCCCAAGAGAGCCCGCCCTGCGAAGAAGGCTGCGGCCGTTCTGCCCCAACCGCAGGTGATGGGTCCTGACGGAGTACTCATACCCGTCAAGCGTGGCCGAGGACGTCCCCGCAAGTATCCCAGACCCGAGGACATCGCTGCCGCGCAGGCTGCTGCTGCTGCGAATCAGGCTTCTGTGAGTCAAGCTGCCACGAACCAAGCTGCCACGAACCAAGCTGCCACGAACCAAGCTGCCACGAACCAAGCTGCCACGAACCAAGCTGTCACGAACCAAGCTACTACGGACCAGACTGCTGCGAAACAGACTGATACAAACCCAGCTGCCACGAATCAGGCTGACACAAACCAAGCTACCGCAAAGCGATCTACAAACCAGGCGATGGCCATGCAGACTCCCGCGAACAGTTCTCCCGTTCTCAACGCTGCTACACCTCCAGCGAACGACCCAATTCCTAGCACCGAGCCAATGCTCCCGCAGGCGGCCAAAGGTGCCGCGCCGAGTCGGAGACGTCGAAACAAAACGAAGACAAACCAGTCTACCGAGAGCAGCCGTCAAGCTAGCGTCGATCAGCCTCACATGCAGAGAATTGCCCAGTACCAGGACAGAATGACCCCCGTCTCGAGATACAGCAATGAGCCTTCGAACTCATATACCGGCTCCAGAGCTGACGTTCGTCCAACGACGAGCTACGAGCGTATGCCTGCGTCTTTCATTACTGAGATGAGACCGTCTGGTACTGACTTGCGTCAATCCTCGCTTCCTGGAGCCTATGAGCCTTTAAGTTCATACGCTACTTTTCCGGCGCCCGAACCCAGAGCTGGTATTCATCAGCCGACAAGCTACGAGCGCACGCCTCATCCTTCTTCTTTCGGCACGCGTCCATCTGCTGCTGAGCCGCGTCAATCGTCGACTCCTAGAGCCTATCAGCCTTCGAACTCATACACTGCTATGGAGACTGCATCCACAGAGTATAGTCGTCGTCAGGATGAAATCCAAGAGCGTATGCCCACAGCTTCTGCTTCACGCATGCAGTCGTCAGCTAGTGCGCTGCGTCAATCCTCGGTCCCTAGTCCCTATTCGAATCCGAACCCATTCTCTGCTCTAGAGACCGATTTCACGACTTACGGTCGTCAGCCTGGACGCCAAGAGCGTAAGCCCACGTCTTCGACTTCTACGATGCAGCCACCTGCTACTGACGCGCGTCAATTATCGCTTCCTGGGGCTTATTCTCGCCCTCCCGCACTTACACCCCAACCCGACATCGAGATCCTAGAGCCCTCCATGCCAGCCAGAGCGCCAGCTCTGAACCGCTCGTCTTTCCAGCAATCATCGGATACTGCTGCCTCAAACAACTCTTCGCGCAAAGTCGATCCCAAGGACCCAGGACCTCCTCGCCGGGACAAGCTTGGCAGGTTGTTCCCTCCTCAGTATGAGACATACGAGCAGTTCTGGGTATCGGTGCCCGATGGGGCGGACTATGCCTTGAAGATGGTCGAGAAGGGGTGGCCTTCCGACATTGCCATGCAGCTTGCCCGAGAGCGCATTGCTATGAACATGGCTTCGTGGCCCAACAGCATCTACTCGCTTCATTACAAGCCGACTCCTGCGCCAACCCCGTTCCCGGGCGTTACCGCTAGCATTCGCAGAGAGATTGAAGCTGAGAAGGCCGCCGCCGCTCAGAAGCGCAAAGAAAACGAACAGGCAGACAAGTGATTCGGCCGATGACCTTGCTAGCGAGTTCCTACAGCGACCCAGTAGCATCGACGAGCATCAAAGCATGAAGAAGCGAAAGGTTGCAAAATTGGCTTGACGGCAAGGATCCATCAATTGCATCGTGGGACATACTCTGCCTACTATCAGACAACATAAAAGAAAAAAGCCTAAAAAAATACCCCCCCTTACAGCAGAAAAGTTGACCAAAGATGCCAGACATACGACCATCGGGTCTCCTGGTTTGCAAGAGCTTTCTTGCTACATCGACGGTCTCTTTCCTTGCTTCTTTCACTTTCTCAACGGGACGGATTTTGGTCTTCGTTGCATATCGCGCTCCTACCTGGAGGATTTTTTTCGGTGTTGGGGAGGACTCAAGATCGCGATGGCTTTCTCTTTTGCTCATACCTCTATGGATGGCTTGCAGATGACATTGGTTCGGAGGATCATACCCATTTGGAATTCGGGAAGGTTTTCTTGGGGAAAAGGCCCCTTAATTTTGTTGAGATACCCATCGCATCAGTGCGATTGCTTGTGAGTTAAGAAAAAAAATATCAGGTTGCCCAAAATGACGTCCACTATGGTTCGTGATATATTATTAATAGCTGCTTCGTGAGATGTCGTTGAGCCGGGCCGTAGGGAATGCCTCCAGGATTATGTAAGTCAGCGCTGAGCTAAGTGAACTGGGGTTAGTGACGGCGAGCTGTGGGTCGACCTTGCATCACCGAGCTTCCCTCACCGAGCGCACGCTCAGCCAAGTTACAGAAGCACTGCCTCCCACTTCCAACCCGCCGATTACCCCAAATCCACATCCTTGGCCGAGCTCCCGTCCCACGCGGCCTAACGACGATCCACTCAGCAACAACGACACCTCTCCGGCCAAGCCTTCACCATCTCCGGTTCACGAGATCCTCCAAACCTCTGTTGAATTGCTTCATCAAGCAGTCTCCAAAGACAAATCATCTATCTGCGCACCGCAGTTCCCGCTACACGAACGAGGCCCGAGCAAGCTCGCCCGGCCCCCTTCGTCAACTTCCGTCCGCCGACGCTCTCCTCCGTGTACACGAACACATCTACACATACCGCACATCATGGCGCCTCCTCGCATCGAAGCACAAGAAATTGAGACGTACTGGAACATCTTCTCCACCCGGACGGGCGGGGGCCAGTTCCTGACGGGAGAACAGGCCGCGCCGGTGCTGAAGAATAGCGGCCTGACGGACAACCAGCTCGAGAGGGTGTGGGATCTCGCCGACGTCGACAATGATGGAAATCTCGACTTTGAGGAGTTTTGCGTTGCCATGAGAGTTATTTTTGATATCCTGAATGGCGTGAGTATACCCTGAGTCGGATGTGCAGTGGAAGAGAGAGTGGCGCAGAGGTGCTAATCGCATTCGGATGGGCAGGAATACTCAGATGTCCCAACGACACTCCCCGATTGGCTCGTCCCCGAGTCCAAGGCACATCTCGTCCAGGCGAATCGCGCGCTCACAGGAAGGCAAGTGGCGTTTGAGCAAGTCGACGACGATCCAGACTCCCCAGGGCTGAAGGATGGATTCGACTGGTACATGAGCCCAGCGGACAAGTCCAAGTACGAGTCGATATACCAAGAGAACCGGGATGCACGGGGACAAGTAGCATGTAGGTTCACCTGCGCGGGCCACTATTCGCCGTGTTACTTTTACTAACGGTGCATTCGTTACAGTCACTGCTCTCGAGGACCTCTACGAGTCCCTCGATGTTCCTGACACCGACATCCGCTCCGCCTGGAACCTCATCAACCCCTCAGCTGGCCAATCCATCAATAAGGACGCCTGCCTCGCCTTCCTCCACATCCTCAACAACCGCCACGAAGGCTTCCGGATTCCGCGCACCGTCCCCGCCTCCCTCCGGGCCTCATTTGAGCGCAACCAGATCGACTACCAACTAGACAACCAGACCCCCGGCGCCTCCCGATGGGCGACAAAGGCCGACGACTCAACGGCGACGGGCCGCAAGGCCAAGTTTGGCGACCAGTACCTCACCCGCCTGGGCCGCAGCGGCTTCAAGTCCAGCGGAACCGACTTCTCCACGGCCAAGACGGACGACTGGGAGGAGGTCCGCCTCAAGAAGCAGCTGCAGGAGCTGGACGAGAAGATGGCCCGCATCGAGGCCGACGTCGAGCGCAAGAAGGGCGGTAAGCGCGACGGCAAGCCCGCCCTCGTCAAGCGCGAGCTCGAGCAGCTGCTCGACTACAAGCGCAAGGAGCTCAAGGACCTCGAGAGCGGTGCCGGCAAGGGCCAGGGCGGCGGCGGTGGGCTGAAGGGAGTAGCGGACGATTTGCAGACGGTCAAGGAGCAGGTTGAGGGTCTCGAGACGCATCTCGCGTCGCGGCAGGGTGTGCTTGACCAGCTGCGGAGGGAGATTGAGGATGAGAAGTCGAGCAGATGAAGATGAGAGGTGGTGGAGGTTTAAAGAGGGAGGGAGAGGAAAAATCCAAATTTGACAGCGTCTGTTTCTGGTGCAGGGCGGGCGGCTTGCTTGGGTTATCTTTTATATGTCTTCTTTCGAGGTAGGGATGACGGGCCCGGTCTGGTTTGGGTACCCCTTTCTCACATTCAATTCAGGGAGTTGCTCTTTTTCCATCTCTACGCATATTCCACGTGCATGTAAGACTATAATGTTTGCCGGTCCGCTGCTTAGATTGATGAGATGCAGAAGAGGTAGGGGGGCTTTGAGTCAAAGATTGTGCTTCCAATAGGTAGAACACAGGAGCTTAGCAAATAATGCATGGGGATTGAAGTAACGGATTTATTTTTCGTTATGCCTGGCGATCTGCTTCTCCTATAGAGATATTCGGGAGCCATCGGTCTTGGTAAATAATCAGAGCGCAGTTTTCAAGTACAGGAAAGGGGGCTGGGAATGATTGAGGTAATGGCAAGAGTAGTGAGACCAGACTAGTAGACACTTCTCCGTGAGTTTGTATCAGATTATTTGGATAGAACCGTATAAGTGTAATTACATGAATCAAAACACCAAACACCGAGAAGCCGTGCTTCTGCTTCTGCTTCTGCTTCTGCTTCTGCTTCTGCTTCTGCTTCTGCTTCTGCTTCTGCTTCTGCTTCTGTTTCTGTTTCTGGCTCATCATCACGAGCTTACCACTGGCCGCCGTTGGCATACGGCACGGCCATGGGCAACCCCAGGTTCCGGCTCTTGACGGCCCAGATCATGAGAGAAGGGGCCTTGACCCAGCCGATGCGGCCCGCGCCACGGCTGCGACCCGTGGCGCAGACGTAGACGTCGACGGGCATGCCTTTTACGACGGCTTGGTCTTTGCCTTTGAGCGCGAGTTCAATGTTCTTTACGACGCCGGCGGCCTGGTACGGTTTTGGGGAGATGTTAGTCGTGTTTGATAAGAGAGAGAGAGAGAGCAAGGTTGTGAGAGGAATAGAGAATAAGGGGGAGTGCAACAGACCTGCTTATCCGTGAGCATGAAGCCCGCCCTCGGAAACGAGACGATATCCCCGCACGCCCAAACGTTCTCGACGCCCTTGACGCGCATGTACTCGTCCACGTCGACGTACTTGCGCTCGTTCAGCATCCCGGGGTCGAGGTACTCCGTGTTCGGCACGAGGCCCATGGTCGGCAGGTACAGGTCCGTCCGGATGACCTCGCCGCTCATGAGCTTGACCTCGGTCTTGCCGTCCGGCAGGGGGCGCGAATTCGCGACGCGCGCGTGCTTCCGGACCCGCACGCCGAGCCGCGCGATCTCGTTCTCGACGGGTTTGGCGATGGAGTCGCCCGCGAGGATCTCGTCTTCGGCCGCTAGGAGGTGGACCTCCTTGTCCTTGAACTCGAAGCGGATCTCGGCGGCGACTTCTACGCCCGTGGGACCGGCGCCCGCTACGACGATGTGGTTTGCGGACTTGACCTTTTCTGCCGTCGCGTGGAGGAGGCGCAGGGTTTCCTCGTGGGAGTTGGAGGATTTCCACGGCATGTCGGGGGAGGCGGCGCGGGCGCCGGTGGCGAGGACGAGGTAGTCGTACGGCAGGGATCTGGGGCCGGTCGCGGTCGATACGAGGGCGGATTTGCGCGCCACGTCGAGGCCCGTGGCGGTGCCGAGGACGAATTCGAAGGATTCCTTGGGGTAGGATGCGAAGCCGGGCTCGATGGGCTGGAAGATTTGGTCATCTTTGACGATGCCCGGCACGATGGCGCGGACGGAACCCATGTTCCAGTAGAAGTGAGTCGTCTGCCATTTACTCGTCAGCTGATGCGCGACCACTTTCCCTCCCGTGTCATATCTTTCCAAGGCAATTTCCAAATCCCGTCCTCCGACGTTTCACTTTTCCTCATATCCTTTGAATCCTCATGAGGCAGAGGTGAGATAAACTGTGGGTCGTCCGCAGCTGTCTTACGCCGCCCCCACGGGCCTCCGGAGCTCGGTGACGCCCTGACTTCTGCAGACGTCGTCCGATTTTGAGGATCGAGAATGCTCGAGTAACTTGAAATGTACCACTCATAGTATTGGAGGGGCTCTCTCACCTTTGAAACTAGGATCACTCTGAGGTCCGGCTCTGTTTGGCGTGTGTACTTGAGCAGACGATGAGCCACGGCTAGGCCGCCGTACGCGGCGCCGAGAACAACGACAGTCTTGACCATTCTGTCTTACTACTTATTCCAATCCAAGCTCGAATATACTCTGTGCTTCTCAGTGACGATAAGCAATGGGCGAAAAACTCGTCTTGACGGAGCTAAACGAGGTTATTAGTTGAGTTGTCAAAGTACTGTTTGTCGATGGGCCCTTCAGGGAGCTGGATATCTTCAGATTAACAAACATATCCCACCCAGAGCTGCGACACGCCTGCTATTTATTCCCCTCCATAGCTTGCTCGGGCCCGGGATGCATCAAAGCCTGGTGGCATCCTTGCGGCATAGATCCTGTGTCCCCCCATCCTATCTCATGTAAGTCCGGAATACGCGTCCCCTCACTAAGCTGCGCTAATGCCAATGAAGAACGCGAATTGGTGCCATTAGTATTTTTGGTCCAGGTTTCAGTCTCAAAGTCCGTGCCGTTTGGGTAACACAACATGTGGTTGGTAGGAAGGTAGGTAAGGTCAGATAGAAAAGCACTTTGGATTGTTCATGTCCGTCACTGGGGTGGGTGGGCCTGTCGATCCTCCGTTGTCCGTTCGGCTTTCCCCACGCCCAGACCACGCATATGACGGATTGCCATTCGACGACGCTGGCACAGTTGGTAGCTGCACAGCACAAGCAAAAGAAGAGACGGAAACAAAAGGATGAGTTTCGGCCGGAATCGCTCCATCAAGAGTCGGTCCAGGCTCGGGAATAGTGCTGGTGGTGTAGGGCTTGTTGATACCATTTGCCATTTCCAACGATGTTTCCTCGCGCTGGATGTCCTTCTTCGCGTCGATAGCTATTCGAGCGAGCCTCAATGCACCTTCTCGAGGCATACTCATCGGACCCGAGTGTAGCTGTCACTCCCGATTCGTCCAGTTCGGATCAGTCCGTTTGGTGCGACTTTGTCAACGGGAGGCAGACTTTCGTTAGTCAGGGGGGACAGCGATTCCGAACACCCTCCCGAAGAAAGTCGGCCATCCTTTGGTCGATGTAGTCAAGTTGCTCTCATTCCGCTTGAGGCACGAGCCATGCATCCTATTAATACGGGTGTGTGACTGGGAACATTTCAGATGTTGGTCCATCATCTCTGCTTGGAGAGACGTGCATCGTTGCAGACGTGCGATATCAAACCTGGGGAAATCAAGCGCTCGGATGTCCTGCTTTGTATCAGGGTGGCTGCTTGGCCAGATGCAAGAGATGGCTGCACCAGGCGGACGGGCAAACAGTTCGTCAGTCCTGCCGAGTGCCGTGAGCACGGTCGAACGGTTAACGTCGACTTTAGAGGCGGCAGGTTGAGGGAAGATGCTAGCTGCTAGCGGCTAGGTAGCTAGGCATTGTACTAGGTGGGGGAGCATTTCCATCCGGGCAGAGCAAAGAAACCATCCTCGAAACCGATGAGGCTGGCCGTTGGATCAGGGATAGAGCGAAGGTTCAAAGATGTCCCGAGTAGCTTCGGTGACTTGTTCAAGGTAATCTATTGTATCTAGGGAGGTCAGGTAAGTACTCGACCCCCGGGCCGACATGACGGAGAAGGCGGCTTGACATTGAGCCGATGGCCCTCCAGGTTGTGGCAATCCACCCGAATTGCATGTGGCGGTGCAATAGGTCTGAGAGGCACAAGGTGCAACGTACAAGGTGCAAGGGCCGACCCAATGACAGCATCAGCTGCCCCGCGCATATGAGCATATGATGAAGCGGGCGTGTGGGACCTTCCTTGCTAACCCCGCCAAAAGGTCCAACCCTTTCCTCCGCCTCCCAACACTGAGAAGCTCAACAATCCCTTTTCCCTGGATATAACCTCACTTACTACACAATCCACGCAAACCTCTTAAGACCTCATACCAAACACCCCCCCCTAAAAACGAAACATCATGTCTGCCCCTCAGAGCGAAGCCTTCAAGCAGGCTGTCTCCGACAGCAAGAAGCTTACCTCCAAGCCTGGCAACGACGAGCTCCTCGAGCTCTACGGTGCGTCGCTTCCCACAACCAAGGCCCCCACCCCTGTTACCTCGGCTTCTTTCGTAGCTAACATATCATGATGATGAACATAGGCCTCTACAAGGTCAGCACTGGCGAGGACATCTCCAGCGCCCCCAAGCCTGGCATGTTCGACCTCAAGGTACGCAATCACTACCATCTGGGCCGACCCGAGCTCCCCCTAACCGATTCTGGCACGTGATGGAAAGCTGACGTTTGGTTTGCGTGGGTTGCAGGGCAAGGCGAAGCAGACCGCGTGGCAGAAGGTCGTCGACGACAACCTCACCCCTGAGCAGGCCCAGGAGAAGTACGTCGCCCTCGTCAACTCTCTCAAGGAGAAGTACGGCTACGACGCCAACAAGGAGCCCGAGGCCGTCGGCGCGTAAACGTCACCGCACTCCAACGCACTGCTTCTAACGACCATGAGAAACGACAACGGGTTGATATGGATTAGCAATGGCTTCCTTTTGCTCGAGCACATGCCGAGTAGGGGAGTGAGGATCAATATAATGATACCAACGTCAACAAGAGTCACACGTGAACAAGCGCGCACAGGTGGACTCAGTTCTCCCAAGCACCCCAAGCTCTTCCTAGCCTGTCCGGTTCGTCATAGGCCATCGTCGCCACCCAAGGGATCTCGTCCTTTCCATATGCTTGCAGAGGTAGGCTATAAGGAATTCGCAGACCGACCACCGGGTCGCCGTCCCCCGCATCGTTTGGTGGCAAGTCTGTTTCGAATGTCCCCACCATGGTCGCTTTGTCTGCGATGAGTGAAGGCCACACAAGCACTCCGACTTCCCACGACGCGATCCTGACTTCCTGCGATGCACTTGCCGCTTCACCCCACGCTTGTTTGGAAATATTGGCAGATGTGACCAGGGCCCAATCTATCGACTTCTCGCCATAGCGGATGTATGTCTTGATGTGAGGTGCTGCCCGTTGTCTGCCGGCTTCTTTTACAACTGAATCATCGCTCAACGCTATGGAATATTAGTTATGTATTGAAAAGTTGAGAGCCGTCACCCTACCTTTGCCATTAGGCGAATCGTTTGCCCAGTGACAGAATATGGGCCGCAAGTAAGCCAATTGCTTCGCCTGTTGCTGTGATTGAGTCTTGGTGTGGATTGAAGCTCCTGAAGCATAGCCGTCCAAGCTTTGCCTAATCTCGTCCGCGGTAGGGAAGACGACCTTGAACGTTGGCCTGGGTGTCGCAAGGGATTTGTTTCTGGATTCGGCTAGGGAGTCGAAGAGGCACCTTTGGAGCCAGCTGTCGGTGGCCCCCAAAGTAGCAATGGATGAAATCTGAACCGCAATTTCAGACTTCCCTTCTTGGACCGGAACATTGCGCAGTGCTCTCTCGAGGGCTGGCCATCCCCAGGTTGTCTGCGATGTGTCGTGAATGGGGTGTCGGCCGGGGACGCTAGCAATGAGTGTTGCACGTACACCTGAAAAGTCGTATCTGCGCAACTTTTCGACCAAGTCTATGAGAATTGGTCTCCGTGTGTTGTACGCTTTGAGATAGCTGAGAAGGTCATGTTTGAATCTTTCTCCCGTGCCGACCGGATGACTATCCGCTGAGTCGTTCCCGTCAACGACCTTCTCCGGAAGGAGTGGCAGGATAGGTGACCTCCAGACAGCATTGGTCATATTCGTCCAGTCTTTGGCGATCATGTTGGCCGTATGTATGATCACTTGGGCTGAGTCGTCATGCCGAATCAATACCATCATTTTAGTGTGGTGAGTGCCAAACATCTCTGGCATGAAAGCCCCGTGTAGCTCAACATTGGGATAAGCTCCTGCCTCTTCCTTTTCGACGTCAGCGTTCGGCTCTGTTCAGTGGCTTATCCTGGTCATCGTCGGCTGACCTGAAGGGCTATGCGATTTGGGTCTTCTCTCTTCCAGAAACCGTGAATGACGTGAACTTTGACTAGGTTCTTGGTATCCTCGTCAAAGTGGCTCATGAGAAAGTGTATGTCGTGCAGGAAGTTGAACTCCCAACACTCTGCAATCATTGGATCGCCCAGGATGTCAGCGAGGCCGACGCAGTCGCGGTTGGCAGCCTCAGGGAGATCCCGTATGGTTGTCAGCTGAAACGGCGACTTGATACGCATGCCTGGCTGTTTTCTCTTCATGGGAGGACTTATTGGCCGGTTCAAGGATTCCACACGGTCTGTCGGCGGCGGTCCCTCCATCTCTCCGGCACGTCGCTGTCGTTTGAATGCTCGCTCCATGGCGAAAATAGAATTAATGAGTGATCGTGTGCGGCATGTCCAAAGGGGATAAAGTTTGTTTTTAGGCGAGCAGATCACTTGAGACAGGGTCGGTGGCTGGGACGTTATGAGGTGGACGGATGGAAGGAGCGAGATGTGCCAAATCGTTGTTCTAGGCAGTTGGCTCCGGCTTAGATCAGTTTAGGTAGGCACACAACCGCGGCGTGCTTAGCCCTTGCGGTTACTTCTGTACCCAAAAAAACCACGAAGTGAGCCAAAACTTCTTGGACTGGATTTATAGTCAAACAGATGAGTTACGTATCTTGGTATATAACTAATAACGCCTATCTATGCATGGTTCAGGCAATTCTGAAAGCCACCCGTTGTCCTTGTTACAGCATCCGAAGCCAGTCTAGCAGGGTAGTGACGTTATCGCTTTCGAAGTGCATTTACTGTATCTCTATCTTCTACCTTGTAAGTGCACTCCAGACCTACTCATTCATCTCTCATAGAGATGCCACAGGAATTTCCATTAATTCATGACTGTGAAATGATGGCTTCAGCAATGTATCAAGCATGGCCTCTCTCCTGGCCTCAAGCTTCCTGACCCGCGATGTGATAGGTTGAGCTTTTGCCTGCAAGCACCTACACTGCCTCCGCTGTATTGATCCCATTTGGGCCGGCTTCACTTTTTCAGAGAAGATGGTTCGTCGAGACATTTCAGCTGATATGCGGGCAGGCTGAAAAGGCTTGGCATCCCTCCCAATCACGCCCTACTTCAAGTTTGGTGCTGCATCCATGCTTTCTCATCCATCTACTCTGGCGGCCAACTCAATATGGATCCTCTTTCCACCGCTGCAAGCATCATCGCCTTGATACAGGCATCGGTGGCCGTTGGAAAAGGAGTGAAGATACTCCTCTCTCTTCGCCATGCTCCGGCGGACTTTTGCGAGCTCGTTGATGAGTTGACGGCACTTCAGGGTGTTATCGAGCAGGTCAAGAGTCCGCTTCAGGAATTGGAGAAGGGAGATATTGCTCTTCCGGCGTTGGACGTCGTCCCGACGCTGGCTTTGAGACAGGATCTAGAGAGTATACAAGAGGAGCTGCTCGCTCTGTGTCATCGTCTCACGGGAACAACGTCTGGCGATGAAATGAGCGGGCAACTTCGAGTCTCAATGTCGAGGTGGATCCGGGAGAGAAGTAATGTTGCCAAGCTAAGATGCAAGGCAAGCAAGACCAAAACATCTCTAATCCTTTGTTTTGGCGCTCTAACCTCCTCACAAAGGTAAGTGCGAGTTGACTGTCGAAGGCGAGTGCTATTCAGCGAGTCGCTGACCTCGAATAGCTCTCATCACGCCAGGGCCATACTGGAAGTTCGCCAGCTCGTTGAGACTTCTTTCATGACTCTGGAAGAGGAAGGCAGGATACATCGACAGATGCAACTCATGAATCAAGCCGACTTAAACGATATTAAGGCCTCTCTCAACCAGATGCTTGCCAAGACTTTGCAACAAGAGGACTCGCTGCAAGGTAGAGACCAGCCTTCGATCGTGATGAGCAACGGTCCACGCTACATAAAGACCGGAGGTAGCCCCTTTCTGTCAGTTCAGAAACCAGTCGACCGAAAATGCACATCGTATTGCAAATGTCAGTGCCATCGACACTCTAGGCTACAGACACCGACATGGCTACGCTTGATATTGGGGACCCTGTTCCTCGAATTCAACAGAAAATCACTACTGGGGCCCAGAAAGTGCGACCTTGAGACGTGCAATGGAGCGCCGAACTCGACACGGATGATATACATTTTCCCCCAGTGGCTCCTCTTGCGTGCCTTGTTTGTCGCTGCTTCACGGGACAGTCTGACCGGAATCGGCTCTTCGATTCATCTCCGTATCCCACGAATAATTCCACGCGACCAAATGATATCGATTGTATACAACTTCGACATCGATTGGATAAAAAGAGGAATCATCAACTCAACTGTACTGCCTACAGATGTAGATGAGGATGGGAACTCGCTCCTTATGGTACGTCCGTGTGTATCAATGTCTGTAGATCGTCCTAGTTCCTCAACCTTATCGCAACGTCTTCAGATATCGCTACGCGACGTCAACTTGACGCTTTCGGAATTTCTGGTCGAGCAAGGATGGCCGTTGCACACTGAGAATGTTACTCGCTGGTAAGCTAGCTTGATCCGGTGCCCTAACACTCGGTTGACGGTTCGAGGTTGACTCGTCTCAGGACCGCTGCCAGCCGCTCTCGCATGCTCTATTATGCGGCGAAGCAAAGCCAGATACAGTCTCTCAAGCCCGAGCATGGCCGTATGCTCGAGCAATTGACGTTTTCTCAAGAGGTTGAAGCATCATCCCTGATTCACGATGCAATGCTCGGGACCGTCCCGACATCTTTGTCAGACGCAATCACGCTAGCTCGTTCTGATATTGATAGCCTGGATAGTTACGGATGGTGTCCGCTGCACTGGGCAATCTATCTGGCCGATTACGCTTCGTTCGATATGCTGTTGTATCGCGGGGCGAGCCCCGAGACGACTACCAGGAGAGGGTGGACACCTCTGCATTACGCAGCGCGATATGAATCTCCTGGTTCGGTGAGGATGACTAAAGCACTACTCGACGCTGGTGCAAACATTGATGCCAAGGTCGACAACTATCGTGGGTCCAGAGGAGAGACCGCAATCATGTTCGCATTCGACAACCCTGATGTTGTAGACTTACTACTGCAGAGAGGAAGTGCTTTGGTGGTTGAGACCGACACAAACTGGGTGTGCCCGCTCTCGTACAGGGCTCGCCGTACAAGTAACGTCTCCCGTTGGGATCCGAGGAGGGCCTACTGGGACCGATCTCTCGACTTACTCTGCAACGCCGGCATGGATCTTAATGTACCGTCCAAACAGAGGGGTTTCGAAGGCAGAACACCCATCCATGACACGATTCTGTGGCGCAACGCAGCGTTGTTGGAGCTCCTGATCCAGCACGGCGCCAGACTCGATGCCGTTGACAAGAAGGGGTCCGGAGTGCTCCACTTCGTGGCCCAGAGTGCGAATCGGGAGCTCATTGACATCTTGAGAGATGCTCGTATCCGCGGGTTGAACCCCGATCAAGCAAACGCGGCTGGCGATACTCCGATGAAGATTATGACAGCCAGGCTTTATAGCAAGGAAGACTCTAGACAGCCGGGCGAGACGGTGCCGACGTTCGACGAGTGGTTGGCTTTTAAAAACATATTAGAAGAGATTCGAGAACGCAATCTCGAGGACTTCTTGTTGGGACATAAGTGCATGGACATTGTTGATGATGTCAGCTCCAGCGGCATTTCGAGCAGCACCAGTGACGACGTGGATTAGTTGTCGACTCAGCCAGATCAAGGAATGGAAAAAGAAATCCAGTAACCGTTGGGTTCGAGAATTAAGCGTACAAGTGCCATGGTGTTCAGGGTCTTTTCGTGGGCTTGAAAAGCCCCGAGCTTGAGTTTACTCTTCCTCGTGGGATGCGATGACGATCCGCACGTGCCACTGGAACGCTTCTCCATAGCTCTCGAGTTTGTTGCATGGCAGTGCGTGGTGCGTGGCACGCGTGGTGAGATTTTGAGGTGGCGATCCGAGATGGACAAGGCAAGGTAAGGTAAGCAGCATTCTATTCTTATCGCAACCCAGATCCACTTTGCTGCCGCCCCAAGATGCAAGATTGAACTTTGCCCAACTCTTGAATGGCGAAATGAGCCAATGTTTAGTGGGGGCAGATCGAGCAGGCGGGCAGCTGGCACCACAAGTTCCCGCTGTTCTCCCACACTCTCCGCTTCCCGCCCGCCAGGCTTTGCCAGGGGACACCAAGAACAGACAGCTGGAGGTTGACTGGAGACGGTGGCCTTAGCAAGAACACGCACAAAGCATCCATTATTGCCTCATACCTAAGGCAACAATTATCTCCCGTGTTTGGCTGCGCAACGGCTGGCACCAAGGACCAGAACCAGCCAGAGAACCTGGACCGCGCTACAGAATCTTGACACACGGTCTTTCTCCTGACCTGCCAGTCCTGTCGCTCGCTTTCGCTGGTCCCTTTGCTTGGCTTCCCCCTTTGCCAGAAGCAACCACCAATCTAACCTGCCACCACCACCACCACCCTTTTTTCTCCTTCATTTCGACGCCGCTGGACGATTTTCGGGGGGCTTTGACCCAGACGACGAAAGGAACATTAGCTTCTTTCTCGACTATTCTACCCTCCATGTCTTTGGCGATCTAAAAGGTTTTATCTAAACCCTTTGCAAACCCCTCGAACCACCTCAATCGCGACTTCCGATCCGATCCACACCTATCTGACGCTGCACCTTGCCATTGCGAATTGACGACACAACCGCGCTTTGCCGCGCCCTCTCGACTGATTGCGTCTGCTCAGCCGTCGTTATTGGCATCGCCTGACAGACTTTTCTTTCCATCTTTCGCTCCAAAGTCATCGCACTCACGCGGTGCACCCTCATCGCCGCAATGAGGTTATCACCTTTGTTCCTGTTCCTGGGCTCGACCCTCCTCTCCGGGGTTCAAGCAGCAGAGGCAGACAAGGATGAACGGGAGAACACCTACTTCAACTCCATGAAAGTGCCGCCAATACTCGAGTTGACCCCGGATACCTTTGACAAGGAGGTCAAGGCCTCGCAATTCATGCTTATCAAGCACTACAGGTACCCGATCATGCTATCGCTTACCCGCCCTTTGCGCAATGTGCTGACGATGGAATAGCCCTTACTGCCCGCATTGCATAGACTATGCGCCGATATACCAGACCCTCTACGAGTGGTACTACACTTCGAAGCCCGAGTCCAAGGAGGACAAGACCTTTACCGAGCTCTACGATTTCCGCTTCGCCACGATTAACTGCGTGGCCTACTTTGATCTTTGCGCTTCCCACAATGTCGCGTCGTACCCTAGCACCATTCTCTACAAGAATGGCGAGCTGGCCGAGTTGATCAAGGGTGTCAAGGACATTGACCAGATCAGCCCCATCATCGAGAAGTACCTCGAGGCGGCCAAGCCCGGAACCAGGCCCCGCAGCCTCGAGTATCCCGAGCCTGGCGACAAGACCTCCCCCGAAAAGGCCCCAGGAAAGGCCGACGACTCGAAGAAGCCTGTGGACGACAAGGCCGACGCCAAGACGGACGCCAAGACTGATAGCAAGACTCCCGCAAAGGCCGACGAGAAGACGCCGCCCAAGGAAGAGACCAAGGCACCCCCGAAGGCTCCTCCCGCGAAGGAGGACGACAAGCCTGCAGGCAAGACCGATGCGAAGGCTGATGCTAAGGGCGATGCCAAGGGCGACGCGAAGACTGAGACAAAGACTGACGCAAAGGCCGACAGCAAGGCAGAGGCAAAGCCTAGCACCACCTCAAAGGCTATCGCCGTTCCTACCAAGGCCGTCGTTAAGAAACCTACAGTCACACCCAACAAGGAAGGTGCCTCTGTGTCTCTGAGTGCCGAAAGATTCCAGACCTTGGTCACCATGACCCAGGACCCTTGGTTCGTCAAGTTCTACGCGCCCTGGTGCCATCACTGCCAGGCCATGGCACCTAACTGGCAGCAACTGGCCAAGGAGATGAAGGGTCGTCTGAATATCGGAGAGGTCAACTGCGACGTGGAGACCAGACTCTGCAAGGACGTCCGTCTCCGCGGCTACCCCACCATTCTCTTCTTCAAGGGTGGCGAGCGTGTCGAGTACGATGGCCTGAGAGGCCTCGGCGACTTTGTTCACTACGCCAACAAGGCCATCGACATTAGCGAGGGAGTACCGGATGTAGACGCCGAGTCCTTGGCGGCTCTCGAGGAGAAGGAAGAGGTTATCTTCATCTACTTCTACGACCATGCCACTACCTCTGAGGACTTCATGGCTCTCGAGCGTATCCCTCTCAGCCTGATTGGCAAGGCAAAACTCGTGAAGACCAAAGATCCCGTTCTTTTCGCCCGTTACAAGATCACGACCTGGCCTCGCTTGCTCGTTTCCAGAGAGGGCCGCCCTACGTACTATCAGCCGCTGACACCCAAGGAGATGCGTGATATCCACCAAGTCTTGAACTGGATGAAGTCAGTCTGGCTTCCGATTGTTCCAGAGATGACCGCTTCCAATGCTCGCGAGATCATGGATGGCAAGGTCGTCGTCCTCGGAATCGTCAACAGGGAAGACCAGGAGGGCTTCCTCAGAGCCAAGCGCGAGTTGAAGAGTGCTGCCAATGAGTGGATGGATAAGCAGATCCTTCTCTTCCAGCACGAGAGGCAAGAGCTTCGAGATGCCAAGCAACTCAGAATCGATGAGGCCGATGATCGCGGCGACGGGCGTGCGTTGCGTGCGGCCAAGGCCATCCGCATCAACATGGACAAGTCGGACCGCAAGCAGGTTGGCTTTGCCTGGGTTGATAGTGTCTTCTGGCAGAGATGGATTCGCACCACCTATGGCATTGATACCAAGGACGGAGACCGTGTCATTATCAATGATGAGGATGTAAGTACAATTAACGCACGCATGCACGTGAATAGCCAAACTGACTTGATGTTTAGAACCGCCGCTACTGGGATACCACTATTACTGGCAACAACATCCTTTTGTCCCGGACGTCGATCTTGGAGACCATTAACAAGGTCGTCTCTTCGCCGCCCAAGATCAAGCCCAAGCTCACCATCTCGAGCTTCGAGAAGATCTTCTTTGACATTCGTGTCACCTTTGTCGAGCACCCCTATCTCACCATGGGCTGCATTCTCGGCCTGGCCTTTGGAGCCTTCTCATGGTTCCGCAGCCGCACCCGCAAGGGCCGTGGCGGCCACTTCCGCCTTGAAGAATCATGGGGCAACAAGGAGCTGATGAAGGAGGGTCTCCTGGGACCTAACGGCAACGGCAAAGTGGACTAGAAGTTGTGCTTGCTCGAACAGGAGTGGAAGAAGCTGGAGGAGCAGCAGCATTGGTGCCCTGCACAGCATGATCTTGGCAAGTTGGACTAATGGGAAAGGCCATGAATGAGGCTACGACGATTTGGGGAACATTGAACGTCAAAAGTGTGTGGGTTGTGCTTGTCTTTTTTTTTCTTGCTTTCAACGAAAGGAAAGCAGAATGACGTATTAAAAACCCAAAGCATTGAGGTGAATACTCACGGAGTTTGACGGGGACTCTTTTTTCTTATTAGTGTTTCTTTTTTTTCCCGTTGCGTGTCTTTCTCTTTGGTCCGGGATTTGGCCGATGAGGCCTAGAGGTCTGTATAATAAATACTCCTTTATGTTTGATAGGGTTGGCGGTGGTGGCGGAGAAGGAGGAAGGAGAATACAACGCCTTTCGCGTCTACCTTATGTGCCACTTTGACAGATTATACATTGTTTATTTGACATTTTACTCACTAGACCCCTGAACGTGGATAAGTACTATGCCTCTGGATATGGGAATTGTGACTTTTCTTGGATGGTGTGTTGCTCATATGACATCAAGTTACAAGCTGATAGGGTTCACTGTGGCCTGTGATCATGGGGAGACGAGAGATCGGGAGATGTGGGCTTAAAGGGAGGATCGGTTGACTGATGGATGGGCTGCTTGTTTCATTGTTACACACGAGACTTTAGACTGAACGAGGCTGCTTTAAATCCCCACCAAAAAACGTCATCTGTTTCCTCCCCAGCTCTAAATTCCAAACTTCCCACCCATACACGGACAATCACTGTGTCGTTTGTGTCGGCAACACATTCCAAGATATCGTGTTTCTTCTTCTCTTACTTTTTCTTTGGCGTTTCTGGTTGTGAACGGAGAGCCACGGACCGAATCCACCCTCCATCCGTTCACGTGTAAATCTCATCAGTGAAGCTGTTGAGAGACAGACCCTCCTTGGCGATATCGTCCACGTCGACGAGGAAGTCGAGCGGCATCTCGACAATGTTGCCGCGCACGCGGTTCAGCCAGTCTTTAACCTCGCGCACACCGCCCGGGAACTCCTCGCGCACGACGTGGCCGTACTCGACCTTGCCGCGGTTGGCCTCCTCCTCCTTCTGCTTGTCATCCTCCTTCTTGGCGCCGGGGATGATGAAGTATTTGGAGAAGAACTCGTCGTAGTCCTTCCAGGTGCGGACGCGGTCGTTGGGGACGTTGTGGAAGACCTTTGTAAAAACTTCCGTGTTCGTGCGGGCGGTGCCCTCCCAGAGGTCCCAGACCTTTGTAAAAACTTCCGTGTTCGTGTGGCGGTGCCTCCCAGAGGTCCCAGAACTGCGGGACAACGGCGGGACGCGGCGCGTCGGCAGGGAGTCCGGCTCGTTGGCGCATCCGCGCCGGCGAGCCGTCGTGGCGTGGTCGAGGAGGCCGAGGCAGGCGAAGGAGTGGGAGGAGGTGGCGAACTTGGCGGCCGGCCATCTCGGACTCGACGGGGGTGGGGTCCTCGATGACGACGGCGATCTCCGAGTCGTGGGTGCCGAGCTGGGAGCGGTCGTTGAGGTTGGCGGAGCCGCAGATGACGAGGTTGTCGTCGGCGATGAGGAGCTTGGAGTGGATGTAGAGCTCCTCGCTGACGAAGGCGTCGAGCTCGGCCTCGGGCTCGCCGTGCCAGGGGACCGAGTGCAGGTCGCGGCCGCTGTCCATGTAGCACGCCGAGACGGTGTCCCAGGTCTGGTCCGAGACGCGGGACGCGGCCTCCTGGTAGCGCTCGTACTGGGAGTCGCCGCGGGTGCCGTAGCCCTGACCCTGCTCGCCGTAGCCCGCGCCGACGTTGTCGTCGTGCTCGCGGCGGGCGTCCTCGTAGCGGACGCCGGAGCGGCCTTCGGCGTCGGCCATGGTGGAGGAGATGTTGATGCGATCGTAGTTGCGGAGGTTGTAGAAGCGGACGTAGCGGCCCGGGTCGTCGATGCCGCCCTCGGAGCGGAGAGTCTCGATGATGGAGTGTCCGCCGCGGGAGATGGAGTTGTATTGGAATTCCATAATGGCGCGGGTGCCGAGGGCGTCGTCGGCCTTGAGGTCGCCGGCAAAGGCGGGGACAGCGGGCATGGCGACGACGACCTTGAAGTCTTCGCCATTTTGGTGGGCGCGGATGATGCGGTCGACAATGGCACGACCAATCTTGTTGGTGACGGGGTGTTGTTCCTTGCTGGTGGCCGTGATGAAGAACTTTGTCGTGCGTTAGAGTGCCTTATGGGTGAAGTTGTGGAAAAGGGGGTAGAGAGGTTTACCTGATTCTCCATGTAGACGTAGTGCTGGGCGTTGGTGATGGCATGCATGTAAGCATTCGCGATAGAGTGCTCAGTTGGGTGACCAGCAGACCACTCCGTGCAGCTGTGATAGCCCGTCAGTAACTTAATTCGACAGGATAAGGGTCTTAATTACCTTCGGGTGAGCTGAATGTTAGCAGCCCGGTCACCACGGTCGATTCTGCGGGGACCGTCATCCTGGTTATCGTCACTGACAGCCATGCGACTGATGCCTCGGTTGATACGGTCAGAGAGATCGCCAAAGAGGTGGCTGGTATGGCCACCTCCGCCGAAGAAACCGCCGCTCTCTGTCTCGTTCTCGGCGATTCTGCCAGCATCCGCGTTGGCAGCACCTCCACCGAGAGCTTGGTACTTTCCAGGGTTCTTCTTACCATACTTCTCGCCATAGATGAAGTTCCTACTCACGATCAGTATTCAGCGTTAGAATCGTCGGGGCCATGAGTGTCCAATACGGACCATCTATCGACGAAGTGGTCTGCCAGGTTTGCCACGATGGGGCCGCTCAAGCTGAGACTGACATCGGACCAGCCCATACGAGAGCTCTTGGTGCGGTCGACTGGTTGAATGTTAGCACAAACAAGAGCAGAACATATTATAGTGCTGGCTTACGCTTGTTTTGCTCCCAGTTGTCGACGTCAGCAAAGTCATAGACACGGGCGTTGTTGTAGTCTTGGCCGGGGAAAATGACGGCATCCAGGTTGCCGGGGTGGGCGTCCGCAATGGGGTGGCCTATTCCTGTTAAAGACAGCTCCCGAGGACCTGAGAGATCATTTCGACTCACTGTTGGTGTCCCATCTGCCAAAGCCTATGAAACTGTTAGTGAATGGCGTGCGTGCTTGGCATCACGACTTACACATATCGAGACCTCCCATGAAGGCAATCTTGCCGTCAATCAGGCAGAGTTTTTCGTGGTGAGCCCAGAATAGGGTGACTCCATCGGTAGCAGTACCGTAAATGGCCTTGATGGCATCACCGGAAGCCTTGGATAGGGTGAAAGTGTTGACGTTCATGTTGGCGAAGTTCTGCTTGAGCTCAGCCTGGAAGTCGTATCCGGTGGGCACATGGTCAGGGTGTCGAAACACGCCAATGTTGGGATGAAGGCTTTCCAGGTATGTCCTTGTGTGCTTGATGAGAGTGTCAGCATGACTCGAGTTCTATGGACACGCATTGTTGGTATATTGATATAAGTCATGTTGACTTACAGAGGACTTGACTAGTTGACATTGGTCGTTAGTGTGGTGTTCAGACGACTGCTCAGGGCCGGGGTCACTCACGGGTCAAGGCGGCTTCAACCTCCTTGTAGACGATAATGTTAATCTTGACACCCCTCTCGGCGGCAGCCTTGAGCAGGTTATCGATGCGATAGCGCTCATTCTGAGAGGGAGGACGGCGCAGGTACAGCTCTGGGCTCAGCCACCAATCCAAGATGTAAATGCTTTCGCGGGCCTCTGCAGCTCACACGGTCAGAAACAGATGGTTGATGCTTAGGGAATCGGTAAGATCGTGGTGCAAGCTTACGTTCGATAGCTTCGGAAACGGCCCAGAAGTAGGAACATCCGTCGACATACCACTTGGCGTTACCAGTGGTTTGAGGCGCAAAAGACTGGAATCTGTTCTCGGCGTGACCGGCGGGATGGTGCTCATGGCACTCGTGGCCTGAGTGAGTGTGAGCGTGTCGCTCATCCCCAAAAAGGGCGTCGATGCCCCGCTCCACCTTGCGGAAGATGTGATCCATGACGGCAGTGAGCTACTTCTGAGCTGGTATGAAGCCGAAATGGGAGAGTGAGAAGGCAATGGTGAGAATGAAAGAAAGAGAATGTGGGAGTTGTAAGAGTCGCGGACCAAGGTAGGTGAGTGTCGTTGAAGGAAGCTTTGGAGGAGGAGGGGAACTCGGAGTTGGTGTTAGGTAAAGGCGGCGATGAAACAGGGTCTAGACAGCGACGTCAGAGGGGTAAGTGCATGTGAGTGCGAGGGGAGTTTGGGAGGTAGCCAACTGCAAGCTGAGATAGCTACGGATACCATGGGTAGTGCCTATTGTCCCCTGGTACTTTGCAGATGGGACCATGCACCTCAGGACCTCTGGACCCAGGTAGATGCGGTGAAGGCAGCTGAAGGTGAGACGACACCAGCGGATGGTCCGTGTGTCCGAACTCCCGTGAGTGGGTGGCCTTGAATGCTTGCACCAATGGACCTGCAACTCCCTACCTTCTTGTGTAGGTAAGGTACCTTAAATGGGACGGGAGTCTCTTTTCCTACCCATCTTAGCTACCTTATGTAAAGGCAACGAGGTACTACGTACCTGACAGCAAGGTACTGCGAGTAAGTTGTGCAGCCTATCAAAGGCTTATGTCGTGGGGGAGAGTTGGGCTTCAAGGGTTTCGGTGGGCAGCTGTGATTTGTCCGTCCGAAAGCTGAATAGAATGTTCAATGCAAAGAAAGCAAGTTTGACCCCATGGAAATACTGACGTTGGAGGGGCAGTGCAGAACGAATACGGGCCATGGAGCAAACATGGTCAAGTGAGAAGACCGGTACACTCACCTTACCTTACATGAGAGCTCAAAGTCAATAAGGTACTGAAGGTTACGAATTGACGATGCTGCTGCTGCTTTAGAACTGTAACAAACCCTACAATACTACGACACATGCTGCATATAGATGGAATTGGCATCTTATCTTCAGCGTCAGCTTTAAGCTTGTTTGCTCCACTCCCAAGACAGATCATCCAGGGGTCGAACGGCAGCTGGGCCAAGCACTTCAACTCGGACACGTGCCGTGCGTTCCCAGGGACAAACTGCATCGTAGGGCCGAGTCCGGCCTAAGAAGCGGGCTGAATACGGAGGCATGTTGGACGTTGATGAATGAGACACGCTTCACGGAAGCGAACATAAGTGGAAACAATGGAAGCCTACCTACAGAAACCTGGAAGTTATTGCGGCTGCTAACAGCCGTTCAGGCATGTATCCGTAGGGCCGACGAAATCGGTTCTGCTTGATAGATTGGCACTGCCAAGGTGAATTGTCACAATCCATCGCGTCCTTCCATTCTATGCGGGGTGCTGTTTGTCTGCCGGCTTCTCTACGGCCCCTTGCGCCGGGAATTCCCTCGTAGCGGCTTCCGGTGCCTCTGGGCTTGGGCCACCAAGCCGCTAATCCCACCTTAAAGACACCCAGGCTGGACCCAATTGGATCTGGCAGGAGCCATCGAAAAAAAGAGCCTACCTGCACGAGTTGATTCTTGTCACCAATTCTTCCCTGATGTCCTGATATCCTCAACATCTCTCGAGAGTTCAAATCTCCACTTGTTCCCCATCTCCTGACAATTTTGGCGAACCTTGGTCATATCAATTGACTCATTTACTGATACGGACAACTCTCTTGCTCACGTCTCGTGCTGAGTCTCTTAAAGCTGAGGTGAGCTTTTTTGACAAATTTCCCCTCACTCAGTATTAGAACAGACACGCGACCTCGCTGCGCCGACACGAGACAGACACCAAGTCACCCTAACTAACTGGCTTGAAAGATACTTCGTGACCGGTCTCAATTGCGTGCATCTCATCACCGTCTAGAGCCATCATTAGCACGGCAGGGCCAGAGAACAAACTTACGCTGTTCCTGCATTGTCGATCTCTGTTAGCTCTTACTTCTTCCTGCTCTGGTCTGGCTGGGCTGCGCAGTCTCTAAGCCATCTGGTCCAAGTCACGACCACTATCGTATTTCTAGTGGACGATACTTTATTGAGACAGCAAAAAGGGCACGTTACCTTCGCACGCACGAGGCGAGGAGGCCTTCAAGATGTCCTCCAGCTCGGGGACACCGTATATCTTCTCACCCGCGGATCACACCCACTTGATTCCCTACTTGGCAGCACTACATGCCGGCTGCATCAGCTCAGACCGGACTCTCGCGACCTTCTTGCCCCCTCTGTCACACGAGAAGCTTTTAGGATGGTGGAAGGAGCGCATAGCAGAGGTGACTGCAGGCACTCGCATGATGTTGATTCTCCTCGACGAATCCGACCCGGGCGCCAAGTTTAAGGGCACCGAGCTCATGGGCGTCGTTATGCTCTCCATGCCCTACTCCGAGACGGGCCCGTTCCGCGGCTTCGTCGAGAAGCTTCTCATCAGCCCTAAGTTCCGTCGGCGTGGTGGCGCAAGGATGTTGATGAGTGCTCTTGAGGGTGAGGCTTTTCGGAGGGGACGAACGCTGTTGGTAAGGAACTTGGAGCTATTGAACCTCCAGCCCTTGAGGAGAATGCTGACGGGATGTGCTTAGATGCTTGATACCGAGGTTGGTAGCCCGGCAGAGGATGTCTGGAGAAAATTCGGATACGTCGAGGTCGGCAGAATCCCAAACTACGGCATCAGTCCCGCCGTTCCACGGCAGCTGAAGGATCAGGTTTTCTTCTATAAGCAGCTCTCGACGTAGCGAGTTTCCATTTCCAGAGATTCCACGGCGTTGAGGGTTTTGATGGTCTGTTCTAGATAGTTTATTACAAAGACAGAGGCGACCCACGTCACCTGTTGATTCCCGTGCGGACGAGACCGGGATTTGAAGAATCAAGTGAGATTCCGGTACGCATGACTGATCTTCTCGGGATCCCGACACCGTTGTTTCAAGGTGACCCGGCGTGCGAATAAAGCGTTACGGGGCCAGTCGGAGCGGCTCGGTGACGGCTCTCCGGGATGATGCAACGCCGACATTGACCTTTTTTGCACTTAGGACGCATCCACTTTCGCTCTTCAACGACTGCGTATCAAGAACGTCGTAAAGGCAGGGTTGCGTGGGCGAAGAACTTGGCAACCAGATCGGTGACAGAGGCTACAGCTTACCAATACCGCCGATCGGTCCCACGATCGAACCCCACATTGGAATCGGGGTATCTGGGCACACTCACCTTTCCCAGCCGGGACCGAACTATTGCTCTTGGATGCGGGAGACGGCGAAGCTCGTTGGTTGAACGTCTCGGTGTGCACAAAGGCCGAAAAGCACGCCATATACCCACATTCAGATATCACAGGATTTCAGTGGTTATCAGTGATCACAGGCGCGGCACTTGGAGAACTGCAAGTCGGGCTTGGGGCAGAATGAGAGAAAGAGGGGAATATGTAAAGGCCAGGGGATCTCCCATCTCTTACAATCCCGAGACGGTCCTTGTCAAATAACCTATATACCATATCTACTCGGGAAGAACCAAGACAAAACTAAACGTCCCACATAGCGTAATTCACAGCAAGTCTTAAACATCATCATCTCACACTTCATTCACCATGTCCGCAATCCAAAAGAACGTCGAGGCCGCCTCGGAAACCTACTCGTCGACCTTTGACAAGGGCCACCTCGCCCTCCCGCCGGCGAAAAAGTACCTCGTCCTTACGTGCATGGATGCCAGGATCGATCCGGCGCGGGCTTTTGGTATCGAGCTGGGCGATGCGCACGTCATTCGCAATGTAAGCCATATAAACCTCACGAGAGGCAAGCATTCATGCTAGATCCGCCTTGGCTCACTATGAGATGAAAAATCCTAGGCCGGCGCTTCAGCCATAGACGCGATCCGCAGCATCGTCATCTCGCAGCAGCTCCTCGGCACGCACGAGATTGTCCTGGTCAAGCATACGGGCTGCGGCATGTTGACTTTCAAGAACGAGGATGCGTTTGGTCTCGTCGAGAAGAATCTTGGGTGAGTTGCCATAGTCACATCATCTCTCTTATTGCATTAACGTGTTTTGGTCAGTGCCGAGGCTTCCTCGGAGGCGGCGAGCCGTATCCCAGACTTCCTCCCCTTCCCGGAGCTGGATGCGGCTGTCAAGAAGGATATTGAGTTTATCAAGGCGTCCAAGTTGGTGCCGGAGAGTGTTGCTGTGAGCGGATGGGTTTATGAGGTTGAGACGGGGAAGACGAGGCGTGTTGTTTGAGGGTTGAGGGCTGTCAGTTTACTAGGTGTTTTGATGGGTTGGAGGGCGTAGAGAGGCGTTTGATTGTGTTGGTGCCTCAGGGAGTGCTTGAATGTCATTTTGAGATATGAATGGTAGTGTGAGTGAGGAGATGATACGGCGGTATGATTAGGTCTTTCGAATTCGATCAACTTGTGCCAGAAATGACGTTATGTTTCTTCCTGCTGTTGAGGCTATATCAATACTTAATCGCCCTAAGGTACTTTAGGTAGTATATGATAAGGTGGTGAGTGAAAGTTGACGGGTTGTGTCTTGGGCTTAAGGTTGTGGGTCTGGCTAGCAGCTCCCGCTGGTCTGGTCTTGCACGGAAATCTAGTGCCACCGCGACGCCTCAATTGGACAGGCGGCGGGGCAGAGGCAGAGCGTGCAGCTGGCAGATGCCGGGAGGCAAGGGACGTGCTTTTCCCCCGCTCGCGCCGGTACTCTGGCGCCACGCCGTGGGACGGGAGGTGATATCTCAGGTAGTGGCAGCGAAGCACAGCAAGTAGGAGGGCCTGAGGCAGTAAACAAAGGGGGAAAGACGCCAAGGGCCCCGACGCGGTCCAGTCAGAAAGAGCAAGGAGGTGTCGCGACTCCATTTTCCTTCACCCGTCAGGTTCCCAATTTGTTTACTTGCCCAGGTGCCAAACATCAACATCCCAAAAAGGGTTGCTACCAACAACAAGGAAAATCATCCCGTCGCCCAATCCAGTCCCGACAAGATCGCAACACACAAACTCCCTTCACCATACCCTCTTTTCAATGTAAAAAGACCCTGCTCGAGCTGGCACACTCGTTCCCCTCCTCCCTCTCTTTTTCCTTACCAACTTTCGTGCCAATTGCGCGCCTGGTCCGCCCAGCTAGCCGTTTCGGATCAAATCTTGTCGTATCCTCCTCGTCCTTGTCTCGCCGAGCGATTCCTCGACCATTTCCTCCATCACCACGTGTGTCGACTACTACCGCGTTCCGAAATTTCTTGTGTTCCTCCCCGCGCCTCGGGGAGCGCATATTGTACAAGATGTCGTCCGACGAAGCGTCCGTCTTTAGTATGGGAGAGGAGTCCGACTTTGCGCCTGCAGTATGTTTGCTTCCTTTTTTCTGTCTGCAGAGTATTCCTGTCTCTGCTGGGGCCCCTTCGCTTTCACCCTCGTGCCCCTCATCGCAATCCGGGGAAAGAGCAGTCGTCGCGCCTGCCTCATCATGGGCCGTACCCAGATCTGGCGGTGCGCCGCGCCTGCTCTGCCTGCCCTCCATATTGACGGACTCCCGTTTGTCGCAAACCAATCCTTAGCCGCGAGAATATTCTTCACGACTGCCCTACGTCTACTTGCGCGAGCTCTTCACATTCCAAACCCCCACCAGCGGTCAGATCTCTGGTACCTTGCCACCTCCTGACTACCGCACCTCCTCTGCCCATCCGGCCAAGATGCCGATCCTACAGCGGCCCAGCCAGTTGCCGACTGCTCCTCGGATCATTACGCGACCCAGTACTGACCCGTCACAGAAGCCCAAGGCAAAGGCAGCCGCCGTTAAGAAGGCGCCAACGAAGAAGCTGACGCAGACTACCTTGAAGACGAAAGCCGTACCCAAGAAACGCGCGAAACCCGAGAGCGACGACGAAGATGGCGCCTCAACTTTCTCAAACACCCCGCCTAGCGCCAAGAAGCTTAAGAAAGCGCCCGCTGCGAAGAAGTCCAGTGGAAACCCCCTCTCAGAGATCGAGAACGACAGCGTCATGATCGACGACGAGGAGCCTGCCGCGCCCAAGACCAAGAAGAATGCCACCGATACCTACCAGAAGCTCACCCAGCTAGAGCACATCATCAAGCGTCCCGATACCTACATTGGTTCCGTTGAGCCCACTGAACAGCCCATGTGGGTTTTCAACAAGGAGACGAAGCTCATGGAGTACCGCAAAGTTACATTCGTGCCTGGTCTGTACAAGATTTTTGACGAAATTCTTGTCAACGCCGCCGACAACAAGCAGCGCGATGCCACCATGACTACCATGAAGATTACCGTTGATCGCGAGGCAGGCGAGATCTCTGTTGAGAACAACGGTAAAGGTATTCCCGTCGAGATTCACGGCAAGGAAAAGATCTACATCCCCGAGATGATCTTTGGTCACCTCTTGACTGGTTCCAACTACGACGACGACGAGAAGAAGACGGTCGGTGGTCGCAACGGTTACGGAGCCAAGCTGTGTAACGTCTTCAGTGAGCAGTTCACTCTTGAGTGCCAGGACTCCAACAACGGAAAGAGATACAAGCAGGTCTGGACCGACAACATGAGCAAGTGTGGCAAGGCGAAGATTTCCAGCAGCAAGACTAGCGACTTTGTCCGCGTCACCTTCAAGCCTGACTTCAAGCGCTTTAGCATGACAGGTATCGACGATGATCTGGAGGCTCTCATCAACCGTCGCGTCTACGACATGGCGGGTACTGTTCGCGGTATCAAGGTGTACTTGAACGGCACCCACATCAAGCTCGCGTTCAAGGGCTACTGTGAGATGTATGCCAAGGCCATCTCCAAGGAACGTGGCGCAGAGGAGGGCGTCGAGCCCAAGGTCGTTGTCGAGGTTGACAAGACCGATGCTCACCCTCGATGGGAGATTGCTTTCACCGTGTCAGACGGCTCCTTCCAGCAAGTCTCGTTCGTCAACTCCATTGCCACAACGTCAGGTGGTACACACGTCAACTACGTTGCCGACCAAATCACCGGCTCGTTGCTCAAAACTCTCGACAAGAAGAAGAAGGGCCACGCCCTCAAGCAGAATCATATCCGCAATCACATCTTCATCTTTGTGAACTGTCTTGTCAACAACCCAGCCTTCACTTCCCAAACAAAGGAGCAGATGACCACCAAGGTCAGCCAGTTTGGTAGCAAGTGTCCGCTCACTGAGGAATTCCTAAAGAAGATCGCCAAATCTGACGCCATCCAAAACATCATCGACTTTGCCGAGAAGAAGGCCGACAAGATGATGGCCAAGAGCGACGGAAACAAGCGATCCCGCATCAGCAACGCGAAACTAGTTGATGCTAACTTGGCTGGCACTCGCCACGGCCATGAATGTACACTCATTCTCACGGAAGGTGACTCTGCCAAGAGTTTGGCTGTCGCCGGTCGTGCGATCCTGGATCCCGATCGCATCGGAGTCTTCCCCCTTCGTGGTAAGATGCTCAACGTGCGAGATGCGTCCATCGACCAGATTACGAAGAACGCCGAAATCCAGAACATCAAGCAGTTCATGGGCCTCAAGCACAAGCAGACATACACCGATACCAAGAGTCTGCGATATGGTCACCTGATGATCATGGCCGATCAGGATCACGACGGTTCTCATATCAAGGGTCTTCTCATCAACTTCTTGCAAGTCCAGTACCCGTCCTTGCTGCAGATTCCCGACTTCTTCCGGGAGTTTATTACTCCTATCGTCAAGGTCTGGCAGGGACCCAATCCGAAGAAACCGCAACGCCTCAAGTCATTCTTCACTCAACCTCAGTACGAGGAGTGGAAGGATAACAACAGGAACGAGCTTTCCAGGTGGCACTACAAGTACTTCAAGGGTCTGGGCACCAGTTCAAACGAAGACGCCCAAGTCTACTTTACCAACCTTGATGACCATCTGAAGGAGTTCGACACGATGAAAACTGAGGAGGCCGACCTCTTCGATCTTGCCTTCTCCAAGAAGAAGGCGGACGCCAGAAAAGAGTGGCTCGGTAGCTTTGTGCCCGGTACTTTCCTCGACCAGTCTACCAAGACCATCTCGTACACCGACTTTGTCAACAAGGAACTCATCCTCTTCTCCATGGCTGATAACATGCGTTCCATTCCCTCTGTTCTGGACGGATTGAAGCCCGGTCAACGTAAAGTCATGTACGCCTGTTTCAAGAGGAACTTGGTCAAAGATCAGAAGGTCGTTGAATTGGCCGGTTACATTTCTGAGCAGACTTCCTACCACCACGGTGAAGTGTCTCTGCAGCAGACCATCATTGGACTCGCCCAGACCTTTGTGGGTTCAAACAACATCAACTGCTTAGAGCCCTCCGGAAACTTCGGTTCCCGACTTGCCGGTGGTTCAGATGCTGCCAGCCCTCGTTACATTCACACGAGACTGTCACCATTTGCAAGGAAGATCTTCTCTCCCCTCGACGAGCCCAACCTGGACTCCCAGTACGAAGACGGAAAGAGGATTGAGCCCAAGGTCTACGCGCCAATCATTCCCATGATTCTTTGCAACGGTGCTGACGGTATCGGTACTGGTTGGAGTACTTCCATCCCCAATTACCATCCAATTGACATTGTCAACAACCTGAAAAGACGCATGGGTCGCCTTGATGGTGAGGATGGCGAGGATGGCGTGTTCCAGACCATGATGCCGTGGTTCCGTGGCTGGAAGGGCACCCCTGAGCAGGCCGAGAAGGATCGCTACAAGTTCAACGGAATATGCGAGCTCGATGAGAAGACTGGTGAGGTCATCATCACTGAGCTTCCTATCCGCATGTGGACAGATGACTTCAAGGCCAAGCTCGAAGAAGTCATCAGCGGTACTAAAGGCCCAGTCTGGATCAAGGACTACAAGGAATTCAACGACCACAAGAACGTCCACTTCGTTATTCAAATGGACGACAAGCAAGTCAAGGACGTTATGAAGGACGGCCTCATGGAGCGTTTCAAGCTCTCCAAGCAGGTCGCAACCTCCAACTTGGTCGCTTTTGATACCAACGGTCAGATTCGCAAGTACGAAAAGGTGGAAGACATCTTGGAGGAGTTCTATCACTATCGTCTCGATATGTACGCTCAGCGCAAGAAGCATTGGCTGGGTGTCTACCACTCAGACTTTAGAAAGCTTTCTGAGCAAGCTCGCTTCATCAGGGAAATCATCGACGGCAAGCTCGTCGTCGCGAAGAAGAAGAAGCAGGTTCTCGTCGAGGAGCTCGCCAAGCGCAAGTACGAGCCTTTCCCCAGAAACAAGGACAAGAATGTCAAGAAGAAGTCCACAGACGAAGACATGGAAGGCAACGACGACGGTGAAGAGGATGAGGCCGACGAGCAGACGAACGGCTACGACTATCTGCTTTCTGTTAGTATCCCCTGACCTCAATGACCAAATCTTGTCACTAACAATTATCTCTAGATGCCAATTTGGAACTTGACTTATGAGCGTCTTGAAAGACTTCAGAAGCAAATTGACAATAAGAAGGCCGAGCACGATGCACTTCTTGCTCTCAGTGAGAAGGACCTCTGGTCAAAGGATCTTGACGAGTTCGTGGCCGAGTGGGAGACCCAGATGGCCATGGACGCTGAAATCCAGACCAACATTCGGAGACTCGGTAGGCGTGTGTCTAAGAAGATTGGTGCTGGCAAGGGTCGGAAGACGAAGAAGGAGGACGACGACTACGCACCCGGGGAGAAGAAGCGTCCTGGGCCTAAAGCCAAGGCTGCCGCCAAGGTCACCGAGAAGGCTGCTGACAGATTCGCCGCCATGTTCGAGAAGGACAAGACGAAGCCAAAGAAGGAGGACGCTGATTCAGACGCATTCTCGGACAATGACTTTGCAGCTCTTGGTGGCAGAAAGAATGCTGCTAAGCCCGCGGCTGAGCCGACCCGTCCCAGAGCCGCCGCCATCAAGAAGAAGCCCGTCTACCAGCTGAGCGATACTGATGACGACGACGAAGATTTTGCTAGCCTTGGCAAGAGTACCTCTGCCCCGGTGGAGTCGGCGGTTGAGGACGATAACTCTTCGCAGAGTCAGAAGTCCGCAGCGGCCAAGAAGCCCGCGCCCAAGAAGTCTGCACCCAAGGAGCCTTCGCCCAGGGTGGAAGAGTTGCTCAGCGACGATGATGATGACTTTGAAAACCTTGGCAGCAAGAAGACCTCCAGCGACAAGGCCGCATCAAAGTCCGCATCGGTTGAGCCTGCACCCAAGAGCAAGCGCGCTGCTGCAACGAAGAAGTACGTCATTGAGGATGAATCTGACGAAGATGACGACTTTCAGAGTGCTGCCGAGATGAGCGCATCCCCTGAACCGAAGCCTGCAAAGCCTGCCGCCAACAGCAGAAACCAGAGGGCTGCGACCACCACCAAGAAGTCAAAGTACGTTATTGACGATGAATCTGAGGAGTCCGAGGTGGAGGAAAACCACATTGGAGACATTGGTTCTCTGGTCCGCGGAATCGGCGCGCCCAAGTCAGAGACGGAGAAGGGCCGACTTAGTTTGTTCGCCATGAACCGTCCTGACAATGGGCGCGACTCCACCTTGCCCAAGATCAAGACCAAGGCTTCGAGGACCTTTGACGACGATAGTGTTGACGACACCAACTACGAGATGCTGGCTCGGTCGTCTCCTCACAAGACCTTCAACAAGGGCGACGACATTGACAGCTTCTTGAGCGATGACGGTGCTCCTGCCACCAAGGGTTCCAAGGCAAAGGAATCCAAGGCTGCTCCTGCTGCTGCAGTGGCCAAGAAGGCTCGCGGTCGTCCCGCTGGAGCGAAGAACAAGGCCAAGGACGCCGAAGCAGCACCAGCACCCAAGGCTAAGCCCAAGGCAAAGGCAGCTCCCAAGCCGCCTACACTTTCACCCGCCGCCAAGGCCTATGCTGCTAAGAAGGCGACGAAGCGTGCGGTGAGCGACGACGAGGATGATGATGTTGACATGGAAGACCCTGAGTCCCCGCCTCGTCCCGCTGCTCGAAGCAGACCTGGGCGCGCGGCTGCGACCAAGGCCAAGGCGAAGCCCACCTATGTCATTGAGGATGACAGTGAGATGGACGTCGACGAGGACCCGTTCGACATGGATGATAGTGATTAGGGGGAAAGGCCCGGGGTCAAATGACGCGTGAGCGCGTACATGTGCTGTGTATACTGGGCCAGGTTAGGCAATGGGGGCTAACGGCGGGAGGTTTCACGGAAGGGCAGACATTACTGCTGCTACCTTTCTACTTTGCTATTTTATTGCTCACAATTGTTTTTTATTTCCTTTTGGCAGAGGACCCAAGGGGGAAACAGCATCTCTTGCTCCTTTTTTTTTTTCCCTCTTTCGATACCTATGCAGACAGGCCCCGGCGGCAGTGAGTCTATGCCTATATTCTGGTATACCTACATACTGCTTGCTGTAACAAGAAACGATAATTCAGTTTTTCAACTAGATATCGTGTCTTCCGGAGTGATGTACTACAGCTTGACGTGTAAATCGGGTTCGCCATCCAACTCGGCCCATCTTTGAACCGGCTTTGCAAGGTCGTTACCATAATTGTTGCCCCTCTACACATTCCTGTAAAGAAGTGATCTCTTTTGGCTTGGGATATGATCCGTTCGAAGGGAGCGCAGGTCGGTGAAGGAGGAATTTTTGTATCAAATGGCGGACCCCCGCCTCGGTCATTCGTTGGAGAGAGCACGATGTCTGCAGACAAAAAACAGAGGGAGGAGGGGAAGACTTTATATAGCGAACGAGTGGGCTTTGATCTAACTAACCATCTGGGGTGATCATCGTTGACCAGATATGCTGCCGAGGGAGGGAGAAACGACTCTAGTCAAATTCTCTTTACCTTCCTACGTCACCAGCTTACGTGCTACGAATAATATGGTGATGTAGAGGCTTCCCGAGCACGCGGATTATGCTATCGAGCAAGTTGATGTGTCTAGACTGCGAGGCAGCTTCGATACACCGATGTCACATGCCCCCAAAACGTGTCCAGTACGAACAACTTCAGGAAAACACTGCCGACCGATGCTTGGCATGCAGTAATCACCAAGCACGAAACAGAATAGAAGTAACATGTTTCTTTGCGTCCCCTAGACAATCTGATGATCCCCCGTTCGCCAAAGCCGTGTGCCATGAAGAGAGAACTACAAGCCAATACACTACATGCGTACACGATAATCCGTTCAACGACCCTTGCCTCCGCTTGGAGACACTCTTGTGATATTATCCTTTTGTTGCTTACTATGTGCAACTAAACTCCAGAGAACCGGCCCGCGAACCTTACCACGCCGATAAAGTCGCAGTGAGAGAGAGAAAAAGTGGTGTGCATGATCCCATTCGTGTTATTCGTGAGTCATTCCGTTGTCGTCAAGCCGGTGGCACAACGCGAAAACCGCGAATGCTTGCCAGCCTGTATACACTCAGAAAACCAAACGAACGAGATGTTTAGGAGGCGACCATGGGGGTCTTCTCCTCGGCACCCGGGACAACGGGCTCCGTGGTGGTGCTCTCAAAGTCGGCCTTGGGAGCGGACGGGAAGTCCTTCTCCTCCACAGAGGGGATGGCGGTGTCTGCGGAAGGAACACGGGCGGGCTTGGAAGAGGCCTCGGGGGAAGCAGAGCGGCGGCCGAGCAGCTGCTGGGCCTTGGCGGTGTAATCTCCCATGTACTGCTTGGTGATGTTGGTGGCCTCAGCGGTGTGCTTGCTGGCGACAGTGCGGAACTGGTTGGTCTGCTGGTTGATGACCTCACCGGCGCGGTTGAGCTGGGCGTCGATGAGCTCCTGGTTGGAGGTGTAAAGAAGAGGGACCATGAAGAGCGCAGTGGTGGCAATCAGAGAAAGGCCCCAGAAGGGAACGATCTTGACCAGGTAGTAGGCAATGAAGGAACCGATGAAGGCCTGTGGTAAGAAATTGCGTCAGTCACCATGATGTCAAGAATTGTGGAGATTGTCACGCGAGCAGCTTACAGCAGCAGAAGCACCAATGTTCTCGGCGAAGACGATGCGCTGAGCCTCAATCACGAAGAAGTTGATCAGCTCGTGAACGTCTCCTATGGCGGCATCGAGCGTCTCTCTAGGAATGACGTGGTAGCGTCTTGGGCGGAGCTGGGTAGCAAGGCCGTTGTTGAGGACGAGCTTGCCGGCGACTTCGGCAAGAACGGTGGTGCCGAGCACCATCCAGGTAAGCTTCAAGCTGTATCGCAGAACGTCGAGGTAACGAGCAGCGAAGATGAGGGCAACGATGGAGGAGTAGGCAATGGCCGAGGCACCTGTGGGGTAGTTTGTCAGTCGGGGTCGGGGGCCGGAAGGAGTCCGAGCTATCACGTACGAGGGTTGTTCCACGAGATAAGCTCGAAGAAGAAGGAGTGGTAGTGAGTCAAGGGCTGGCCGGTGGCAGCGGGGTTGGCGGGCGTCTTGCGAGAGGCAGCGAGGTTGCCGAACTCATTTGAAGTCTTTGCGGACTGGTCCTTGACACTCTGGGCGACGGGGCCTGGAAGGAAGGATTCTGGTCAGTATTTGACGATGCGCCACAAAGACGTCATGGGAGGGAGACGTGGGGAAATAAGACGTACCGGAAGCGACCTGCTGGTAGGCAGCGGCAGCGTCTGGGAGGGAATTATTAGCTTAATGTGGTCGCTGGCGATGGGGATTGAAGCTTGAAACACTATGCGCACAAGTTAGCCGGATGTTCGCATGAGGGGGGACATCTGGAGCGGGAATGGCGGGATCTCGAGGGACAGCGATAACGTACCTTACTCTCCTTGGTAGCCTGGATGTAGGAAGTACCGTTGGCAGAAGGAGCCGTGGTAGGGGCATCCGGGAAGTCAGACATTGTGTGTGATCGCAACGAGGATTCTGGCGATGTATGTATGGTGTTCTTGTTTAGGAGAGGAAGTACTGCGGTCGGGCAGTTGCGGATGGGAAACGTCGTGTGATGGTGGAGTTGCTAGAAAGCTACCTTGTTTGCGTTTCAAGAAATCGAAGCTTGGGTGGGATGGAAGAGAGAAGCTTTGGTAAGAAGCAAGTGGTAGAAGCTTTGGGGTATTGAGAAGTTCTTGAGATGTAGGAAAAGGTTTGTAGGTAGGTAGGAGGAAGAGAGAGGAAGGCCAGGTGTTTTTGTTGCAATGATGTGTGTAGCCTGAAGGTAAGGTAGGTCTGGAAGCTCAGGCAGAGGTGTAAACCGGAAAGGTGAGGGCGTGTGTTTGTGATTGTGTGGGTGGGTAAGGTCCAGGTGGGTGCAAGACCGGCAGCAGGAGGTGGAAGGTCAGGGAAAAAAACACGGGCAAGGAAGGGGGGAGAGGGAAAAAAAGACTTTGTGTGCGAGAGAGGTGGCTCGGTTGGTAGGAAGGTAAGGTACGAATATTGGCAGTGCTGCTGCTGCTTCTTCTGCTGGTGGTGGTGCTGCTGCTGCTAGGTGGCAGTGATGTAAATGAAGATCAAGAAGAAAGGAGCACCGCAGAGCCCACTGGTAGCGTCCGTGCCAACGCCGGGCAGGCCAGGCTTGCCAGGACAAGCCCAGGGCGGCGGCGGGACAGCCAGCGGGAGCAAAGGATAAGGTACCTCAAGGAGCAAAGCAACAACAGCAGGAGTAAGGTACCTTACTGCGTAAGAAATGACCCGAGAAGGAGCAATGGGAAACTCCATCAGTCCGTCACCTCCGTCCCGTCTGGGAATTTGGCAAGAGGCAGTGACGCTGTTGTCTCCCAAACAGGACCTACTAGCCGGGGGAAAAGACCCACGTAGAGGAGCTTTCTCTCCCTTATTTCACACTCCCGTCTACGATACTCCGTAATACTGCTCGTCCTACACCATTTCTTACACCACCAGTACTCCGTATACGAACACCTACTCAAGGTATGGCACTGCAGCACGAATACCAATGACTGCATAGTGGAGAGAGAGAGAGAGACTGGCGAGCACACGCAGCAGTAGCACGCAGCACGCAGACGGGGAACGACAAGAAAAAAAGAAGAGGGGCGGCGGGTCGGGGTGTGGCTAGTGCCCGTCAAGTTGCTGCGTACTGCGTAGGTACTGCGTGCCCAGCTTGGTTTCCAACCTGTGATGACGCAAAAGCTATGCCACAGCAACCAATCGCTCGGTACCTCTGGACTACCTCCCTAGGCGCCCCCCAAGACGCGCTCCAAGGGGCTCTGCCTCCATACAATTGCTACGCCGTGTCCGCCAATGACGAAGTATCATGTCAGTCTTTCCTCCCCTCCCCTCCGTCTTTGGCGTCATCCCACTGCGTAGCGTCCCTCGTTGGCCGCTAGTTATGCAGCAGGCATGTGACGTGCTCCTGCATTTTCCTCTCAGGTCTCTTCCTCCCATTGCTGCCAGTCTTCCTTCCTGCTCGCAGAGGTCTAGAATTAGCTGCCCACTAGGTACCTATCCTACACTAGGTACCTAATGACTGCAGCGGCTGAAGCGACCGGGGATCACCTCAAAATCCTGGAAATCCTGAAACCATGGCATTTCGCTGATATCTGATGCAAGCTGCCCGCCACCCTCCTCTCTCTCAGTCCTTCACCTCTGCGCCAGGCCATTCGTTGCGTCCTCATTACCGTGCCACAAATGCAGACGGGCCACGCACGCAAGCCACCGTGATTCCCGTTCCAGGTTACGTCGTTACCAAAGAAGCCAGCCTGTTCATTCACCGAACCCTCCTCTCGTGGTACATTACCCAAAGAGGTTGGAGAAGCACAACCCACGATGATCGGGCCTGGTCCTAGCTTCAGAAGCAACACACAAGCTACCCACTCCCTAGCGCCGCCGTGTGGCCCGTCCACTTTCAGCCCCTCCACCACTCCCAAGCAACCACAAGGAAAAAAATTCACGATATCACCTCGACCCTCCGGTACTTTACAACTTCAAAGAGCCTTCTTATCCGTTGCTCAGACGCCCGACATCTTGATCCAGGGCATCCCGAGCACATCTGAAAGCTGACGACCTGCCAGCACATCACTTATAGCCTCTGAGATACGATAGCTAGGTCTTCCTTGACCCCCGCCGCCAGCAACGCCCACACGCCAGCCCACCGTTGCAAATGAAGCTACAGCCATCAGACGAACCCATCTCTTTCCATCACTTGCCATTCAAACACAGGCAAGCCACAAAATAACATCAGTCGTAGCTCGCACCGGCCGTCCGTCCGTCCCCCCCTACCGCGCCGGCCGTGAATCGGATCTGAACGCCCGGTCTTTGCGGCACGTGCCCCCAGGCTCCCCAGCTACCCTTCTCTACACGTGCCAAACGCTGCCACCGGACCTGATAAGACGATGTCTTTATTTTGTCACTTGACACTTGACATGTCTTTCTCCAAGTGACAAGTCAACATCAGAGCTATCCTTCTTCACAGACCACATGTACCACTTGGGTAATCTACCTTACAGCAAGGCAGTTGTGGCTGCTGCATCTATCCAGCCGAACAAGAGGGCTTCCAAAACCCTCCCATGCGAGAATGTCTCGGTCAAACACACACACACCACCACCACCACCAAACAGAAAGAAAAAAGCAGACCAGATTGTCGATATTCTCCATCACCAAAAGTGACCCATCAGTCTCTCAGACAACGATATCATAAAGTAAACAGGGCGCAAAACAAAAAAAAAAGTTCTTTCCTCTCCCAAAATCCACTCTTAACCACAGCAACATACCCTCCAAACCAGCAATATCCCAGTCCCTCTCTCTCTCTCTCTCTCCACCCACCACACTTAGTGTCGTATCTGCGCCACAGCAATCACATGTGAAAAACAACACCATCCACCATCGTAGCATCGCACCGCCACACTTAGAGGGTCCCAAGCACAGACAGAACAGATACCTATAGTACTCACGACATGGGTCACCCAAAAGCCAAGCAAACCCAAAACTGCTGCAGATGCAACATCAAGGACCCACGATGTTGCCCAAACGGGTCAAAAGAAAAAGGGGTTCGCCTTTTCCAGTCCCCATCCCCCCCATAGGCATGGGGATTGGGGTTGGACTCACAGACCACTGATAAGGGTAGCTTTGCACTTTTACAGCTCTACTTTCCAGATGCTATGGTGATCGCCTGATAGCTAATCTACACAGGAGAGGACACATTGGCAGTCACTTTGCAGCGTATCGTGGATTGATCCAAGGTGTTGATTGATTATCCCTTCATGACTTTGAATTTCTTTCCCAATGGTATTCTGATACTATCTGTACTTTGACAAAAAAAGGTCCTGCTCCTCCCAAGAAACCTCCAAATCCCTCTCTGCTCATGATGGGGGAAGGGGAAGAGAGGATTGAAAAGAACAAACAAATGGGGCCGACGGATGTCCCTAGTTTCATAAAGGGCGGAGACGATAATCCGTCCGCTCCCGCCGTCGGGGTCTGGACAGTGCCCTTTCCTCAACTCCGATGCCATGAATGGTATGAATGGAATAATAAAAATCAGTAAACAGTCTAGAATGCCAATGCCATGCAATGGGTTGTGTTTCGAAAAGAAGAAGAAAAAGAATGCTCCTCCAGGCCTGGACTCCAGGCGTGGAGCAGGCCTACTTCCACAGATGCAAAAAGCCGCCATCTTGCCCCGTCTTTCCGAATGCAGTGATGAAGGTGTGACGAGCAGACGGGCCTGGTACCCGTTGCAAGAACCAGAATGCAAAATACTCTAGATGCTCCGAATGCTCCTCTAATCTTGTTGTGTTTGGAACGCCGATGTGATCATGAAAGAGGTCGACCAGGGTCCTGATTATCTCCTCCAACCCCAGAAGCCTCCCGCCGCGGGCGCGGGAGCTGCTGCGGCTGCTACTGCTGGGGCGGGCGTCGGCGCGGCAGGCTTGACGGGCTCTGCCGCTGCTCCCGTGAGGCGACCAAATACGCCCATGGCCGCCGACGCTGCCGCTCCTGCCGCCGTTGCTGCAGGTTGTGCCTGTGCTGCCTCTCCAGTAACGAGGCTGTATGCCTTTCTTAAGCTCTCGAGCTTCTGTTTCGTCTCTTCGGCCTCTTGCCTGGCGATAGCTTCGGAAGTCTTGGCCTGCACGAGCTCCAACAGCAACGCCTCGTGCTGGTCATCCGTCGGTGGCGGAGCCGGCACGGGAGGCGGCGCCTGTGTAGCCGGTGGTGGCGTCGAGTCGTGAGGCTTCGGCATTGATGAGGAACGCTTGCTGAATATCGATCCAGCTTGGGACGGAGTTGACTTGCTCCTGCCAAGTTTCAACTCTCTCAAGCCGCTCGCACCACTAGCAGAACTCTTCCTCACAGGCGAATCGCCATCGGGCTGAGTATTACTCTCCGCACCGGCGGCGGAGGCCCGCGCCCTCATCGTGTGTATTTGTTTCTCCAGTCGCTGTTTGTCCTGGTGCAAGATGCGTGTATGCGAATGGGATTCCCGTACTTGATCCTTGAGTGTTGTAATTTCTTGTTCTAGGTCGTGCATTTTCCGGTTGTAGTCCTGGGACTGTGATACCGCGCTGGCGAGCTGGTCCTTGAGTTGCTGCAATTCCTGTTGCATTTGCGATTTGGATTCGCCTCTGGACATTCTGCGTTCGACGCCGCCGCCGCCGCCATGGCGCCCGAATCGTTCTTCGACATTATCGAGGAGCTGTGATAGGTCTCCTGGTGACGGGGTATCTTGCTCGCCTGTCTTGGCAGTGGACACATCTCCCTCGCCTCCCTCGCGTGCCTCATTTGCGGGGTCATCGGTCGCCTTGAGAGTATCGACGCTCGCATCGGTACCGACAGAGTCGTTGCTGGCCTTCTTGCGCAGACCATCCAGTAGCGACCGGACGGCCTGCTTATCGTCCTCGCGCTGTTCCCGTTCCTTTTGGAGTTCGTTTGCGAGCGATGCATGGTTTCGTTGCAATTCGGTCAATGCAGTGAGGAGGTCTTCGATCTGGGTGTGCAATGCATTCTCCTTGTTGTTCTTTCCGCCATTGAAGGCCTTGCCGCTGCTAGGGATGGGCGTCGATTCGCGGATGGATGCGCTGTCGGTGTTTGATGAATCTCGGGAGACGGTGGTGGCTTCGGTGGATGCAGAACTGAGAACGCTGACGGAGCTGGCTTCCATCGAATTGAGGGTGGAGGCCAGGCTCTGCTTCGATGTGCTCCTGCGCAGCATGCTCAAAGGCCGTGACGGAGCGGTGAGGCCCGGGCTGAGGGTGGAGGAGGACTTCGGGGAGATGATGGTGGAGGAAGCCCAAATGCGGCCGAGGAATCGGGAGGCTGCAGTGGTCACGTCGGAGGAACGCGCCGCATTAGCGCTAGCAATTTGCGCGTCTCTGTACCCCTGCTCCAACTGTAGCAATGTCTCTCTGGTGACAACGCCCGATAAACTGACAAAGTCCTGCACAAATTCATCTGCGTTGTAATGGTAGCAATCCCACAGACCCCTCGAAAGGAGAAGTTGCATGACATCCTCGAGCTCGGTGCACGCTAAAATCCGGGCCTGATTCTTCTGCATCAGGGATAGGGCGACCCGCATCAGGGTCTCCGGGGCCCCCTCGGCAAAGATGACATCGTAGATGCGAAACAGCATCGGCAGGGGACATGTAACAGCAAAAAAGCTGAGGAACCATTGTGAAACGTACGCCGGATCGACTTGCAATTCCTCCAGATGGTTCGATACTGGTGTCATGTGCTCTCGAAGAAGCTCTCGAAACTGGTAGATGCGGACATGCAGTCCTGACAGGTCTGGCAGGAAACAGCTTCGCAGATCATATCGTTCCATCAATCTGCCCATCTCAACATGTTAGCCCCAACGTTGCATTTGCATTTGCATCGAAACCTTGTTTTGCTTTTTCTCTCGGACCCCTTTTCCCAGGAAATCGGGTGAGGGGGGTCGGGCGGCTGGTCGGGTTTGCTTTTTGGGATTTTGACACGTACCGGACTAAAACACAGAATGCCTGTTTATCGGGCATGTGCATCAAAAGAGGGCCGACAAGAAATGCCAGCCCTTGACAGTAACCAATTTTCGTATCGTAGAGACTGAAGCATTTGAGAACCCGGCCGAGCATGCGTTGTCCGTCGCCTTCGGGGTCGCGAAACATGTCGACTCCAGGGAAACTTCGACCAAGGTCTTTGCCAATAATGGGCTCGTAAGGACTCGACTCGCCCGTGAATCGCTCATACTGCTCCTCAAGTGCGGAATCTCTTGCGCCTGCCATGCTTTGCCATACGACACCTCGTAGCGGAGGGGGGATGCCTTTGCGTATCTTGTTCGATAGAAGCGTTGGCAATCGAGCTGCCGTTTGTTGATAGTCCTTGACCAATGCGGCGTAAAACTCGAGATCGGTCATTGGTGGCGGCGGGAGCATCGAGTATCGCAAGGCCGGTGGTGTTGGTCCGTGGACCATGTGTCGTAATTGTGCCATTGATGGCGGTCTCGGGCGATTGGAAGCGGCCACTTGTTCCACGGCTTGAACTTTGATGGTCTTGGGGTTCGTAGCCAACTTATCGTTCTCCTGCTCAAGCATAGCCAGTAACATGGCTGTAGACTAGAAATTGTGAGCTTCGACAAAGTTGCTGCTGGAGTAACTGCAGCATGTACTTACTCTGTCTGTATCCGCGTCCCTAGGTTCTTGTGCTTCGGATTTCTGCAGTTCCTCCCAGTTGACTTCCTCCTCGTCGTCCTCTTCGGCTTCGTCCACCACAGGCCTCTTGAATTCTATGGGCGTCTCGAGTAGGGTTCCCCTAGCTGGTAGTGAAGTGATGCGGTCTCCCTCTTCTTCAGCTTCGTCCTCGCAGTCCACAAGCTCGTCTTGAAGATTCCGAGTAGCGTTCGTAACAGGTAACGGCGTCGTGGGGTCGCTCGGTGGCGTGTCGTCGGTTTCGTTCTCTGGCTGGTTCTGTGCCTTGACCTCTAGCGTCTCTGTCGGAAAGGGAAGCTTTTCAATCTTGACAGTGCTAGGTCTCCTCCTCGGGGGTGAATCGGGGCCAACATTGGTGTCGAGGGTCAGAGTAGGCGGCTCGGAAAGCCTAACAGTGACCATGGAATCGTGGGCCAACATCTTGGGCGTCGTCTCCCGGTGGTCGTCGTCGTCTTGGTTGGCGTTGGCGTTGGCGGCAGCGGGTCTCGTGTCGGGTTTGGCATGCGTCAGCTCGGTGTTGTGGTCGACCTCATCCCGTTGCTGCAGCGCCAGGTCCATGGCCAGGCCGCCCGACTGCTTGATTGGTGTTTTTGCAACAAGAAATCACAGTAGTGACTGGAATGTGGACTCGTCGAGGGTGATCCCACAGTATGCGTGTAGGACGGTCAACGACGACGAGTGCGCGCGGCCGTGGCCCTGTTTCCAAGACTCATAAAATCGCAGGCCAATCTCGTCTCTCGACAAGTTTGCCGAATTCGAGGCTCGATGTAGTTCAACGTTCTCGGTGGGCGGCTCGCGAGCCGAAAGACTGTCGTACCCAATGAACTGCGTACGGGGTAGGGGAAGGAGGGCGAGCGGCAGGAGAATGAGTTGAAAAGCCACAAGCAATGCGGATGATCAGGGATGTGCACAAGGTTGGCAGCGGTAACACAGCAAGCAGAGAGAACAAGACTCGGTGCGGGTGGTGGTTGTGTCCAACAAAGTGACTGGCTGGCTGCTGCTTGCTGCAACGGCGGGTGGGTGTGGCTTTGGGTCCCGAAATATCTCCTCCAACGGTTTCCTTGTTCAATGGAGAGCAAGGGGGTATCGAGTAACGAACGACACGGCAGCGCAGCAGCGGGAGGGGAAAAAAAGAAAACAGGGGGAATCCACAGATGGGCAGCCTCCTTGAACGAGCCGCGAGCGAAGTCGGGGGAAAGGATGATGAGTAGGCACGTAGGTAAGCCTAGGACAGCCGAGAGGGCAAAGGGCGAACTTTGAGAGATTGAATGGGAACTGGAGGGAGAACCAGGAACTTGGAAGAATCAACCTGGAAGAATCAAGAAGGGATTGGACGGCGACAGGAGGGGATTGAGATTGGGATTGGGATTGGGCCTGCAGGCGCGTCAGTCAAGTTGGTCAAGTGCTCCTGTGGTTATGTCGTTTCATCGAGGGGCCAAGGACGCTGAAACGCTGGGGTGGGCGGCCCAGGGTAGGTGGATGCCGATGGATTGGCAATTGCAACCTCTCGAATCTCCTGGGTAGCACCTCAGTCTAGGTATTCTTGCAGAGTAGGGCAGCAGCGGGCAGCTTCTCCCTCTGTTATCCGTAGGTACTTCCTCCACTTGCACTTTGGATTTACGACTACATACAGGCCCTGTGCCACCGGGAGACGTGGACTTGGGAAGGGGGAGGCGGTCACTGAAAGACACAAACGAGAGAAAGAGGCAGCCACAGCTGAGCAGTCAGGCAGTGGCAGTTCAGACGTTGCCAGGGCCAAAGAGTTCGCCTATTCTAGCGCGGATAGCTTGGGAAGCTCGGGTGTGGTTTAGCTAAGACCACCGCGGATACCAGGAGGCGTTTGTTTCCAAGCCCGGTCGATCCCCAAGGGCCTGGTGGCGGCTTTTTGGTGATGGTGTTGCAGTACGGAGTAGTGGTCTCACGGAGTAGTAAAAAAAAGTCTTGGTCTGATGGATAGGCACATACGAAAGAATGCGGGATGTGCGACAGGGGGCAAGGCAGAGGGGTGATGATCAGATGAGATTGGGTTGCGTTGGCAATGGGGATTGGGCGAATCTCGACTGGTCTGGAATGAAGTGAGCGGTCAAAGGGGGACTCGGGAATCCATGCTGGGGAAAGGGAACTACGGATCGATGATTCCTAGAGCCCTGCTGTGGCATGTTCTTTCCACTTGCATGCTTCCCTTTCATCGTTTGAGTATGGAATTCAATGGTCACATCCCAGGGCGGTCATGAGAGAAAGGGAGCTCTCAAACAAGATACTACCTATGCATGTACGAAGTGTGCCCACGGATAATTATTGCCTAGAATGCAGCTAGGCAGCCTCGGATGCCATGGAGGGAGTTGACAAACGACGCGATGCCCGGGTAAGAAGCGTTTAATTGATGACAACATTTTCATATGAACCGGATAGCAAGAGAGGGGAACTCAATTTCCCGAAGGGCGGGCACCGGGGGGTAAGGGTTCACAAACGAGAAACCGCGAATCCCACGCGCTCATTCGCCCTCTTGTCTGACGTGTAACCCAGGAATTGTTTACATCACTTCGTCACTCGTCACTCGCCTACCTGGGTATTTGTACCTCGCTTGATCATGAATACATCAATTGTACGGAGTACGGAGTATGGCAATTTGTATCAACAAACCCCCTATTTCTAGCACCACCGGTCAAAAAGGATCAACACTGCCAACGAAACAAAGGACCAATAGCTATCTATCTGTTAGACCGTGGCTGGCCAGACCAACCCAAGAGAAAAATACAGCAAGTCATCTCGAAAGCTCGGACGAAATTAGCAGCAAAAAAAAGGCACGCCTGGAAAAAAAAAAAGCGGCCACTTTCTGCAAGGTACGGGACCGCTAGCACCCGTCAGCAATCCAATCACGGGTCATGCCCCCCCCCCCCCTCCTGCAGGCTGCAGCACACCTGCACAGAAACAAGCTTCCACGCGTGCTGCACGACGGCAGGCACATTTCCGTCATCTCCCATCCCATCCTCCTCCAGTCCAGAGTCCAACCTCCAGAAGGCCGTCTCGATGGCCCGCCGAATGACAAACGCTGGAATTAAACACGCCGGCGGGGAGCTTGCAGGTTCCACTCTATTCATCATTTCGTGATTTTTCCCTTCCCTCCTCTCCTTTGCCGGGTATTACCGAGTACCCAACCGCATCCACAAACGTCCAGCCCAACGGGCGGTCCAAGGGGTCCTTCCTCGGCTTCAGCCTTCATACTACAGTGACACGAGTGATTTACGCAGTATCCGTACTCCGTAAACCTTTTGGATATCTACGATCCACGAGTGATGTACTTCGTGGTCAAGGCATGGTACGCATACACACAACATGCGTATCCGCGTAGGTACAGAGAATGTCATCTCTATGTATCTCCGCTGCCTAACCTCTCAATATCACCATCATAAGACTTTCTTGCATTTCCAAATTCCATGTACACACAGACGCTACGGTTCAGATCCCGTAGCTTCCATCCAGAGTCTGCATATCACAAATCCTTCTTCATAACGATGGGACAGGGGTTGGGCAGTGGCACCGTACCACAGCTCCAGCTCACGGCCCTTCGGAAAACCCACAGACGTGTAAGAGCATGCCATTCACTCGGGACAGACAGCGTCAGATTCAAAACCTGCCGTGGCGGGAGATTGAGAGAGAGGTCATCCTTACGCCACCTGCCTGTCGTCCTTGCGCAAGACCCAAGCGCAAATCTCTGTGAACGGAGATGTAATACTGATGAATCCAACTTTGACAAAGTACCTTTCGCACGGGGATGGACTCTGAGCGGAAGACACACGAATCGAGTTGAGATAATTTGATGCTCTGGGCACAAATGCCTCTTTCTCAATGATACCCATCCACGAATGACTTCATCGCTTTATGTTACTTAATGTCTGTACAGCCGCAACAAAACGCATAGCATGGCACGGCCGTCGATGAAGCTGTCTCGGTATCGGTTGTCACCGGCCCGAGTCAAAACGTATCCGATCCTGGGGCCGCGAGGATTCCAACGAGTACACAAACCTCCGTGATAATTGACAAAAGAACATAGCGCTTGCCCTTTGAAATTATCCAATCTTCAATTCGTCTCATCCACCTCTCTCGAGCCAATGTGCTTCCCCTATGCCGACCTATATAACACACAGTATGCCGCAACTCCATCGGCTCCAAAGAGTATAGTCTATGCAAACTTGGCTGACGGCCTCCTCTAAATCCATCAAACGCCGCGCAATTGCAACTCGTACAGCTCCAAACACAACAAAGTTTGTAGCGGACATCTCCAGCTATGGCTCTCCAACGTAGAGGGTGCCAGCGGGAGAACCCGCCACCCAAGCCAAAGACTGTGACTTTTTTTCTTTTATACATCTCCCTAGGGTCCTGAACGCCACCATGTCACCCGATGGTCGAGTCCGATCCATGTCGCTTCCTCACGCCTTGATCATGATAGAGACATGCCCTGCTGCTGATGTGCTCCGGGCATGTTCTGCATTTGCATGGGCCGTTGAGCTTGAGCCATGGCGGGGCTCGCGTGGTGGCTCGGCGGCCGCTGACCTTGTCCCTGCTGCCCCGGCTGACCCTGAGGGCGGCCCGCGGCCTGGAATGGTGGCTCCTTCTTGGGGTCCGCATTTGGAAACAGCGCTTGAAGCTTTCTGTACAGCTCAGATAGGTATTTGGATCGTTCCTCGCGGTCTGTCATCGGGTCTGGATTGTTCTCGGGAATGTCGCCTGGCGGAGTTGAGTTTCGAATCTTGAGCGCCATATTCAGTGGCGGGGAGGACAGGTAAGCGGGTGATGGAGGAACCTGGACGTTTCCCTTGCGATCGGCCAAAGCGGCTAGGTATGCGAGATTCGCTTGAAGTCGTCGCATACAGCTGTGAAGCAAGATGTCAGTACTCCTTTGATTTCCATCTCATGTCTGTCTTAGTGACTTACTGGCTGTAGTCCTGCTGAACCGACCCTTCTTCTTGGGTCGGTTTCCTCGCCTGATCTCCTTCTCCCGGTGTCTCTTTCTTCAACTCGCTTAGCGTATGTTGCAACTGCATCGACTCGAACAACAGCTCTTGGTTGATCTCCAACAACAGTGAAAACCTCTCCTGTTCGCGGGACTCGCTGCCGGGACTAAGGGGCGTCGATACCGACGATGTGCCATTTGCAGTCGCGTTCTGGTTATGTTGAGGGAATGTCGGGGTCTGGGGGGTCGTCACGGACGCGATGGAAGCCGAGTGCTGGTGCGCTGACGCTGCAGGAGTCTGGCCATGTGACTGAGGTTGCGATGTGGGGTAGTGCTGCTGTGGTTGCTGTTGCGCGTGTTGTTGTTGAGGCTGGTTTTGCTGATGTTGTTGTTGCTGCGCTTGCTGCTGTTGGTGTTGCTGCTGCTGCTGGGCGTGTTGCTGTTGCTGCTGCTGTTGATGTTGGGCTTGTTGTTGCTGATGCTGTTGTTGCTGGTTTTGCGATTGTGGCGGCTGCTGTTGCTGACCCTGCTGTTGCTGGTGATGTTGCTGGTTCTGCTGGTGTTGCTGCTGAGGGTTCTGGGGATGTTGAGGTTGGTGCTGCTGATGCTGCTGTTGTTGCTGTTGCTGCATCGCATTGTTTGGAGAGCCTTGTCCGCCTTGCGCCGCGCTCATCGGCCTCTGAGGTGTCGAGCCCAACTGCATGCCGCCCTGGTTTCCATGATTTCCTTGTCCCTGCCCTTGTTGCTGCTGCTGCTGCTGTTGTTGTTGCTGTTGCTGGTGTGCCTGCTGCGCTTGCATGCGCTGCTGCATCATCATCTGCTGCTGTTGTTGAGGCGTCATGCCCGCCGCGTTCATCGGGAAGCCTTGCATTCCTCCAAAGTTGGGATGTTGACCGCCCGGCGCGGGCATGTTGCCGCCGTATGGATTGCCCTGGTAAGGATTCTGGAAGCCCACTGGTAGAGACATTGGTGTCAGCAAACGCGTGTTCCCATGGATAGATGCTGGAAGATGCTGCGGTGCCATGTCGTTTGGCGGGTGTATGTTGACGATGATGATGGTGACTATGGTGACGGAGTGACTGCAAGACAGACGCGATCTCGTGGCACCACGATCTTTGTCTCGATCATCTCCGGGCAACACATGCTGCCACGGGGCAGCATCAGAGGGCGTGACGCAGACACGAGACTCTCTGACCGATGGCAGACGTGGACACACACGGGGAGAGACAGGGCAAGGAAAGGGGGGAGCTCACTTTGACCATTGGCAGCCATGTGTGGCATGCCGGCGTTCTGCATCATGCCTGCAGGGCCAGCGCCCGACATCATGGCGGGATTGGGACCGCCGACGAAGCCGGGCTGGCCTCCGGGCATACCAGCGAATTGATTAGGGTTGTACATCATCTGCTGGCCCGGCTGGGTTGGGACAGAGCCTGGCTGCATGTGAGGGTTCTGGTTTGGAGGTGGGGCGCCGGTGTTGAAGTTCGGAGGGACATTGGAGAAGCCGTAGCCGGGAGCGTACATGGCTGGGACGGGATGGGATAGGATGGGCGCGGAGCTATTATTATTATTATGGTTTTGGGGGGACGGGGCTTGCTTGACGCGACGGTCCCAAGGAACAGGTCGAACGGGGGGGTCCCAAGGGGCCTAGTCGAGAAGAGCGTGTGAGCGTGTATCCGTACGGATAAGGTACTGTAGCAATAGACTCGGGCTTGAGACTCGGTCAGACACGGGCTGACTGGCTGGCTGGCTGGCTGGTTCGCTTGTTGTCTCGCGCTTGGCTGGGTTGGACTGGGTTGGCCTAAACTGGGCGGAGGAGGTGAGGGAGAGGCGCGGCCGCAGCGGGCGGGCGACGTTTCGTCAAGTCGATCGCAACAAGAGAGAAGAACGGCGGGCGGGCGGCGGGGAGTGCGTGGAGTAAGGCGAGGTGGTCCTGGCCTGTCCGGGCCGCAGGTTTGTTAGGCTGGTGGGATGACTGGCTCGTTTGCTTGCTGCTTGACGTGCGTGATGAGCGGTGGGGGACAGGGGTTGTATCGTCCGGCGTCAATGGGCTGGCTTGTCTCTCCGATAGACTGTGACCGAACTGACAGCCAGACTCTTTGGCCTATGAGCGAATTGAATCGGCTTGCGGCTTGCCAGTGATGGATTTATTTCGTATTAAGGTACAACCATGCATACGGAACGAATCCAGCAGTTCCTTTCTCTGCACTCGGGGGTTGGCTGTTTGGTATGGCGTACGGTATGAGGTACCTGGGGGCTGGGATGAGGCCGGCCCTGTTTGTCTCGGTCTCGTCCGTACTCGTCCACTACCTTAGGTAAACCTCTCAGTAGTTACAGTAAGTAGAGGGAAGTAGAGCAGACGGGGGTGTGAGAATGTGGAAATCAGGGGTCCAAAGTGAATGAGATGGGTACGGTGAGAAAGGGTGAAGGGCTAGGTACGGGTAATGGGTGGGAGATGACGTGGAGTGATGGGGCGCCAGATGAGAGGTTGCCAAGTGAGAGATGAGGCAGGAAGGGATTGTGAGAAGCGTATCCGTAATTGCTCGATGATTGATTGACAATGTCCAATCTGGTAAAGAAGGAGCCAAGGAGCGTCCAAAAAAGTGCCACAGCGCGGGCCGGTGAGACAAGACTAGAGCAAGCAGATGGCAATCTGGTGGTGGTCTGCGCCGGGCTGCCACTTGAATCAGGAACGACGCCGACCTGGATAAGGTACGGAGTATCCGTAAGGTAGGCAAGCTGGCAAGGTCCCACGCGGTAGGTACCTTTTTAGAAAGTAAAGGTAAGATGTGAGGATACGCGGAGAGCGGAAGGGGTGGGTGGCTGGTGCAAGACGGCACGGTAGGGTGCGGTTGGAAGCGAAGGGACAGGACGCAAAGCAACCCTTTGCGTACGTTTGACACGACGACAGGACAAACAGAAAGGACCTCAAATGCGGCCTTGGTGTGAGTGACGGCGGGCGTGGAGCATCAAGCGGAGAGAGAGAGAGGTAAGGTAAGGTACGGATAGGGAGGCCAGGCGTGGAACGGCACGGCACGGTATCGGTGTGTCGGTGTGCGGTAAGGCAAGGTGAGATGAGGTGAGGTGAGGTAAAGGTGAGAGCGGGTGTGGCGGCGCGGCGGTAACCTTGTCTAGAGTTCCAGTCCAGTTGCGATCCGGCGATTAATATTGTCTGGGTGTGTGTGAGAAATGAGGAGCGAGCGAGCGAGATATCGGGGTGTCGGTGTGTCGTGTTGTGTGAGGTGTCAACCAGGCATTCATAGGCAAGAGGGACGTGGAAAGGCAGAAACAGAATTTTCCTGCGTTGCTTTTCCACATGGGCCCTGGGGGGAGCTTGAGAAACGGCGGGGCGTTCTGGGAAGGGGGGAGGGGGGCACGGGGGGCACGCGCCGGGGTCTTTGGAAACCTGTTGCGAACCTGCGCTTGGAACCCAGAAAGTGCGAAAGGTGGTCAGTACGTACCTCGGGACGTCAATCGAGCAGTTGAAGAGCCGAGACGAAACTGCCCTTTGATTGGATCAAAGCTAAGGACCCACTCCAACATCACAGGGGTGTGCCTGCAGCGGTCAAGGGTCATGTCTCCCCTCCCCTTCCTCGAACTTCTCAAGAATAGGTAATATGTAGAAGGCACGATTGAATCAATTACCTACCGGTACCTTGTACCCGTACCTTTGTTGATGCTCGAGAATCTGATTAGCAGAGAGCATTCATCCTGCAAGTAAGAGGCTAGCATGATTCAAAGTCAATTGGGGACATTAAGAATCGCCTTGCAGTGATGTGATATGGCACCTCTGAATACGTCTAAATGTCGAGACTAGGACTGTGTCTGCCGCTAGACGAAGCACCTCGCATGGTCTGGCATCGCTGTACCTGCTAGAGCCTTGGAGTACCTGGAATTTCACCGAAAGCTAGGTACGTAGACGCCCTGATGCCAGGTCAGGGACCAGGCCAGATGGACCTTCCTGCAGTTCCTAGACTTTCTTGTATTTCCTACCATTACATGCCGACTCTTGTTCTTCCAAGACAGACATTCTGAAGGCTTCATTCCATTAGCCATTAATCTTACCTCCAACATTGCCACCAGCCCATGGACCCTTCAAGCATAAACCCCACCCAACAGTAGCTGGCCGGATACGAGGCCCTCACGACGTATATGTTGTACCGTACGTCGAGTTGCCGTACACAACGTCGATGAAGTTCTGCGCTATAATCTCATCTTTCGATATCATTTACGTTAGCCCAACATCCATACAAAAAGAAGAGCCCGCCAAACACTCTAGACTTACCCGCACGTTCCGAAGGATGCAACTCGTCATACCACAAAAAGCTCGACTTGGCCTCCGACGAGTCAACGCAGGCCCTCGTCACCGCGTCGCAGGTCCGGTATGGTGCCGTCACGTTCGCAGGCGACGATAGGTAACTCGAAGGATCTGCGTGGACGTCCCGCAGCAGAGAGTGCACGTCAAAGATTGAAAAGCTCGCCCCGGGCCAGCGCTTCTTGACGAGCAGGTGGAACGGCGCGCCGTAGTCAAACATGGTGTTGACGCTCGTGCTGTACTCAAGCATCTTGAACTCCGTCTCCGTCGTGTTGTACGCCGTCTTGTTGGTCCAGAACTGGCTGTCCCCGAACCCGCTCTTCCCCGGTCCCGTCGCGGCGTACAGCGGCGACTGCTCAAGTGGTGCGATGTTCAAGAGGACAAAGTGGCGCCCGCCGGTCTCGTAGACGTTGTCGAAGACCTCCCAGATGCAGTCCACGTAGCTGGAGATAGTCGTGCCGGCGGCGTTGGTGTCGGTGAGGAACGCGCCGTAGCCCAGGTCGTTTGTGCCGATCCAGAGCGCGTAGACCGTGTTGTCCGCCTTTCTGTTCGGATAGAGCGTCTCAAAGGCCGTGTCAGCCTTGTATGCCGGTATCTCGTAGTCGAGTACGGATGGGAACGGCTGCTTGATGGCTGCGAAGTCGCGCGATATGATCTTGTTGGAGCAGGTGGCGCCGCTTACGGCGTAGCCGTAGTAGTTCGCTCCCGTTGAGTTGGCCGCGATCCGGCCCCAGGCATAGCCGCCGCTCGCAGTCGAGTTGCTCGGCGGTAGCAGAGTGCCGGCTGGAGGAGCCGTGCCGTTGTTGTTGATAAAGTACGAGAGCCGGCCTTCGTCGGTGTAACTGTCGCCGAAGGCCACCAGGTTTTCAAACTTTTTGAGACCGCATTGGGAGGCCGTAGCCACCGAGGCCAGAGCTGCGACGACGAGGGGGAGCATAACGGCAGTAAGAGACTCGCAGGACGAAGACACTCGGCCGGACAGACACTTTCGAAAGGTCAGGAAGGGCAGCGGGGACCAGAATAAGCAATCACCATAGCTTCGGTATCTGCGGATTGATGTTCATATAGCTCTCACCCATAGCTTGGCTCCCATAGCCTCACATCCTTGCGTCATGATGGACCATAGGTCCTTTCATCCGGGACACTAGGATCGGGAGGGGCGGGGGAAGCTCGACCGATTCAGAGACGGACGAAGAATGGCCGCCTATGAAATGGGCCGGACTGTAGATAGTAGGGGCTTTCCCCCTCTCCCGCGTACAGGGCGGGAGAGTGGTGACGAACCCGCATGATGCGGAGTTCGGTAGAAGAGATATCAAATCTCTGTAATTTCCCCAGATCCCACCACGATCATGGATGAGGGGTAAGTTGGGGAAAACATAACCTCGAGCTCCATAGCCGTCACATCGGTCCAGCACTAGCTTGGTTCTGTCGAGCTGCCGGCGCGAGGAGCTACGGCCGGCAGGTGAGGCACGACGTTGGAAATCCTTCTTGATCCTTGGAGGATGTGTCGGGGAGCTGTTTGGCTCATTCGTCATGCAAACTAGGAATTCTAGCTTGGGCGGGGTTTCCTGTTTGTTTCTCTACATACTACCTACTGACATGGACATCCGACATTGCCGTAATTCAAGAAAAAAAAGCTGGCTTGGTATTGGACCAGACCCGTGGTGTTGGCGTGCTCGTCCATATTCAGGCTGAATGCAGGCGATGGCAGTTGACCCGCGACCCCGGGCCAGGAGCGGGGCATAAGTCCGGGTTGGTCAGTGGTAAGATCAAGGTGCATGCTCAATATAGTGACATTGGCCCCCAAAGACGAGTTGGATCGAAATGCTAAGACTCGGCTGTGTAAGTATGGTGAAGATTACAGAATGCTGCCCGTTGAAAACGAGGATGAAGCTGACTGGGGAATCCGAATAAGCTTTTGAACTAGCCTGAGAGCATGCTTCAGCATGCATCCATTCAGCTGCACAATTGCGTGAGGAGGGGAATCTAAGTGCTTATTCTCTATGCAGTCCATTTGATATCAGAATTGCGGCTCTGTGGAAAGCCTGAAAATTATAAGAAGTATGACGAATCGGTGCTCACTTGAAGGCCGTCTGCGAACATTGACTTGCGGCATGAAATTATCAATCGGCTTCATCACTTCAGACTCTGCTCCATGTCCCGCGTTGGAATTGAGCCGATGCCGAGCTGGACGGCTTCGGAGCGCCTGTTTTGAGCCGAGATTGCAACAGGTCACGATCAGTATTCCTGCAGGCTTTCCGCCCAAGCGTTGCCCCGATCTGCGCTGAGCCCTGTGAGCATCTCAGAAATCGATTTTTTCGGGTGAATGACAGAGGCGACATATCAAATCCCCATTGGCCAATTGCCATTCTCGATGACCCGCTTAGGCCCGGGCAGGTGCCGATGTATGGCTCCGGGGTCGGCGGACCCAGCTGTCGGGATCCAGTTTACAGTGGCCGAGAGTTGACTCAACCCGACGTCGACTGTCGTACTCAAGTGAGAGAGAGATTGGCGATATAAAGATTCACTCCGCTTCAGTATCCTCGCAGCATCTGACCAGATTAGACTCTCCAGATACCCGAGCCAAGATGTCACCTTTTAACCTCGAAACGTGTGCGCGCCCAAATATCCTGGCCCTCGAGCCTTATCGCTGCGCAAGAGAGTAAGTTTCTCACTCACCACAAAACTCACTCACAAGACTCTCATAAGCATTCCCCGTCTCTGACACCACTCCTTAGCGACTACAAAGATGACGGCACAAACGTCCTCCTCGACGCAAATGAAAACGCCTACGGGCCCTCGCTACAGTCCGACTTCGAGGCCAGCAACCTAGGCATCGACTTCCAAGGCCTGAACCGCTACCCGGACCCTCACCAGCCGGAACTCAAGCAGCTCCTCTGCCGCCTGCGCAACACCCACACCCACACGACAAAGGACCTCGCCCCCGCGAACCTCTTCGTCGGCGTCGGCAGCGACGAGGCGATCGACGCCCTGCTGCGCTGCTTCTGCGCCCCCGGAAAAGACCGCATCCTGACGTGCCCGCCCACCTACGGCATGTACTCCGTCTCGGCGCAGATCAACGACGTGAGCATCGTCAAGGTCCCGCTCAAGGCCGCGCCCGAGTTCGGCATGGACACGGACGGCATCCTCGCTGCGCTGAGCGAGCCGGACAACAACATCAAGCTCGTGTACCTCTGCACCCCCGGGAACCCGACGGGCTCCGTGCTGGCCAAGGAGGACGTCCAGCGCGTGCTGGAGCACCCGACGTGGAACGGCATCGTCGTCCTCGACGAGGCCTACATCGACTTCGCGCCCGAGGGGAGCTCCATGGCCGAGTGGGTGCTCGAGTGGCCCAACCTCGTCGTGATGCAGACCCTCTCCAAGGCGTTCGGCATGGCGGGCATCCGCCTCGGCGCCGCGTTCGCTGCCCCGCCCGTCGCGCGCCTGCTTAACGCCATGAAGGCGCCGTATAACATCTCCACGCCGACCAGCGCGCTCGCGCAGTACGCCGTCTCCGATAAGGGGTTGGCCGTCATGCGGGACAACCGCGCCAAGATCCTGGCGCAGCGGGACCGTATTATTGCCGAGCTGCCCCGGGTGCCCGGTGTCGGCAGGTTGCGCGGCGGTACGGAGAGCAACTTTTTGCTGTACGAGATGTTGGACGCGAGCGGGAAGCCGGATAACGTCACGGCGCTGGCTGTGTACGAGCGTCTTGCGGAGAATAAGGGCGTCGTGGTGCGGTTCCGCGGTAAGGAGCACGGCTGCCTGGGATGTTTGAGAATCACGATTGGCACTGAGGATGAGGTCACGAGGTTCCTTGCTTCTATTGCCAAAGTGTTGGCCGAGGTGCGCGGTGCTGGACGGCAGCCGGACGAGGAGAAGAAGGAGGCGGCGGCGAACGGGGTGGTTGCATAGATGGGACTGGATTATAACGAGGCATTTGATAGATGATGGAAAGACGGCCAAAATAAAAGTGGTTTTTTTTTAGCATTGAACGTATTCGGTCGGGGCGATGGGACGGCGGGAAATCATATGGAGGCATCAAGACTAGAAATTGAGGCTTGAATCCAACTTTTTCTTTTCTTTTCTGACCAAGTCCGTAACTAAAGGTCTAGAGTTGGCGTCTGTTCATGTGTCTTGCACACATGATCGAGAATCTCCTCGGCTCCCTCTTTCGGCGTGTTCCTCGAGACATCAACGTCCACTACAACAACCTCATCAACTGCCTGAAAGCGATGACGAAGCAATAGGTGGGCGTGTGTAAGGTACCTCTTAGTTGAGAATGGCTGTTTTATGTTAATGACTATCAGGTATCTATATTGTCAGTTGACATGAAGGATCAATGAGTCGTTTACAGAGACCGGAGTGAGTCACTTTAAGATACATGTAGAAAGGAATCACCACCTCCAGGATCGGTGTCCCTGACTGCGCAAGCTTTCTTTACTTCAGGTTAAAGGTGACTGCACTGTAGATTGGGCTGTTTCATATCGTGAGCAGCAAAGATTAAAGTGCTATTCGGACATATGCGTCGCCAGCCTGAGGTATCAGTCTTGTGTGTCCCATGACAATCTTGTTGAAGATGGGTTCGCAGCATCTCCTATAGAGTAAACACGGTAAATCAATGCCCCAGACGTTTTCTATATATCTCCAGCTAATTCTTACATTGTGCGTATGGAATGTCTCGTAAGCGAGAGAAGTCAGGTCTCGTTCACTGTGGGGTGTGGGAAACTCACCCCTACTCCTTGCCGTACAAGAAGTATTAGAGTATTATTTCGGGATAAAGTGCCTGTAGGTAGGCATTGGTGAGGTCTTCTCTATGCGAGGATTGTAGAAAATTTGACAGTGTTTAGCTGGGCACTCTGCATGCATGTGAGCGAAATCAATCTGCAACCTCAGGCGACAGGCCGAAGGGGGGATATAGAGAACGATTCGCGTTCCTATCCCAACAAAAGTGGCGGCCGCCTAGGTGGCCGAGGAGAGAAGGTCGTGAAATCCTGAATAGTCCGTGATACTCCGGATTATTTCTGGGCTCCGGCGTTTGAACCTCCATTAGCCCGATGCTTTTTTGTTTTTTTCTTGCTGTTTTCTTTTTTAATACTTCGATTTGAAAGTAGGCGCTCGTCATCATAGCCTTTCAAGTGCAGAAGACCAGCTTTCTACTTGCAGAAAAGTAAGACTGTACTACTGCGTACGGAGCGCAGCTTTCACATCTTGAATGCATGTGAGAGGGTAGTGATGGCTTCAAGCATCAGGTCCCCTATTGTCACGTGATTTTGAGCAACTGCGCCGGGCAAGACAATCAACCTCAACCTTTGGACAAGAGCCATATGTCATCATAGATGTCTCGTCACCATGGTCAACCTGGATGTATTCGAGGTGTTGATACCGATGAGAACCCGACTACCTTTCATTTTGGTTCTGGTCAAGGTGAGTCGTCGCCTCTGCCCATTGACCCTGTCAGTGCTTACCTGGCTTTCAATCGACCTAGGTGGATTTGAGAAATGAACTGCCAGCAACACGCCATTGAGAACCAATCCATTGCTTTTCCCACGTCGTTCACGAGACACGGCAATCGGCACGGCGCCACCACAGAAGAGTGGGAGGAAAACGACCGCCGTTCCCTCAACGCATTTCCAGAAATCATGATTGCCGATGGGCATCCCCCAGGCGCCCCGCCATTCTCCATTAGGCAAGGGCTAAAATTGGGTGCCGTCGCTGTTTCATGTGTCGAGCTGGAGGTAACGGTAACCCGAGCTAGCGGCTCTCAAGTAGATCATCCCGTCCAAGGGTTTCTCACCACTCCTCCAAACAAGCGCCCAATCACTGACCCAATCGTCGACATCCTACCTGGTTATTGCTGGCCTTGCAACATGTCTGGACAGCAGGACTCCAAAAGAGCCAGAGGTCTTCTGTAATCCTGTCCTCTTTCGATCTGCCATGGGTTGCCCCGGTACAACGCTGGCCTGTCAATCACAATTCGAAATACCCTTTCTTCATGCAAGTTTGTTCATTGTAAGCTTGCATTGAGAACCACACGAACCGCCCACACCCCGCTCTCCCGCATCCCCCTCCCCCCCTTTTCGGCGGCTCTGGTCCCGTTGGAACTTCCCCTTTTGACCAGTCAACCACCCCTCCTCCTCCTCAGCTCTTCAGCCCAGTGACAGCGTCTCCAGACTGCAAGTATATACATCCGTATGTGCGTACCTGACTAAAAGGCCGCCGCCGCGCTTCTCAAAACATGGGGGGATGACCCAGTCGATGCCCCTGTCTACACCCAAGTTCACAACCGCCCGCCCCAAAGGTCAGGGGGGAGACCGGCGGGATTCATGTGGGCAAGGAGACTTTTTTGTACGAGCAGCTGTCAAGAAGTCTAAAGGAGATGGAACATGGGATGAAAGGTGGGCTGAGTCGAACCAAAAGTTCAGCGAGTGGCCTCCCCCCCATTGGCCGGAGCTGCCGTCTATTCCTTGAACTTCACCCCTCAACGCTCCTAGTGCCACCTCACGAACCGCGCGCCGGGACCTGAATAGCGAACTGCCCTCCTCTCCCCCCCTCGTTGCGACGTTCCTTTTGCTCATTAAGAGGAACGCCTCGGTTGCCCTGTATGTAGATCGGATACTTTTTCTTGCCTGTTTATTACCCATGCTATGCGCTGCCACTCTCGCTTCTCGACCTTTTCTCGTTTCTCGTGAACTGTTTCGCTGCTTGTTTCTCGCCCTCTTTCACCCAAAAAAGCCATTCCTTAAGGAAATACTGTTTCTCTCACCCTACGTCCCTCTTTGACGCAGTCTTTTTTGTGTGCTTGTATACTCAAAACATTCCTTTGTGAGAAGCGGCGGATAAGGAGACTGCCTCTTGGAAGTACCATCTGTGATCAGAACAGTGGCATCCCACCACGCGCAAAGTCTGTAGATCAGCTCCTAGCATCATCATGGTCCTCGTCAAGCCCGCCCTCATCGCCTCAGTGGCTGTCGCGGCGGTCTCCGCCTTCACATCGCCCAAAACGCTCGATGTGAATAACGCAGGTTGGTCTATACATCCTTATCAGTGTTACAAAGCAGTCCTTCTAACAGTGCCCCAAGACTCCGTCAAGGCTATTGCCGGCAGTCTGGCTTTCGGTGCCATGTCTTACTACAACGGAAACGTCTCCAGCGATCCCAAGGTATGACAATCTAGAACAGACATTCAGCTCTTCAGACACGAGGGAACACTCAGTGACAGGAAAACTGACCAACACAAACTCTATAGATGGTCGGCGACCTCCCGGAACCATACTACTGGTGGCAAGCCGGCGCCCTCTGGGGCATAATGATGGACTACTTCCACTACACAGGCGACGCAACCTACAACGCAGTCCTGACCCAAGCCCTGACCGCAAAAGTCAACACGGGGCCCAACTACGACTTCATGCCCCCCGAGCACGAACTCGAAGAAGGAAACGACGACCTCGGCTTCTGGGGCTTCGCCGTCATGTCCGCCGCCGAGCGCAACTTTCCCGACCCGGACGCCTCGACGGGGGCCCCCGCCTGGCTCCAGATGGGCCGCAACATCTTCAACTCCCTCGCGGGCCGCTGGAACATGACGCACTGCGGCGGCGGCCTCCTCTGGCAAATCTACGAGTCCAACCCCAACGGCCTCAACTACAAGAACAGCGTCAGCAACGGCGGCTTCTTCCAGCTCGGCGCCCGCCTCGCCGCCGCGACCAACGACTCCCGCTACGCAGACTGGGCCTCGTACGTCTGGGACTGGTCCGCCGCCGTCGGCTTCCTCGACGCCGACCTCAAGGTCTACGACGGCGCCGACTCGCGCGACAACTGCACCAAGACGAACTACGTCTCCTTCACCTACTCCACGGGCATCTACCTCTACGGCGCGGCCGTCATGGCCAACCACACGGGCGACGCCCTCTGGGCGGACCGCGCGACGAAGATGCTCGCCACGGCGCGCAAGAGCTTCTTCTCCCTCAACGAGAACAGCACGAACATCATGTACGAGCCCGCGTGCGAGACGGTCGGCACCTGCAACACGGACATGAAGACGTTCAAGGGCTACCTCTCGCGCTTCATGTGGCAGTCCGCCGTCGTCATGCCCGCGCTTCTGCCCGAGGTGAAAGAGATCCTGATCCCGAGCGCGCTCGCGGCGGCCAAAGTCTGCGAGGCCACGGCGGGCAACGTGACGTGCGGGCAAAAGTGGTACGTCGACGGCGACGACGGCAGCTACGGCCTAGGCCAGACAATGAGCGCGCTCGAGATTATCCAGGGTCTCATCGTCAGCCAGTAGGTTTTTTTGCGACAACTTCCGTTGCGAAACCAACCCTCTTTGCGTCCTTCTGCGTCCTGCGTGCGGCCAACAAGCAAACGATAGAAATCACCGCTGACGGGCATCTCGTCAGCCTGACAAATTCAACAGACAACTCGACGAGTAATTCGACGACTGACCCGCCTCCTGCCATCGTCCCGAACCAAAGCGGGGCAGCAAACATGTTATTCAAATGTACATACACAAGCGTCTTGGGCGCCATGTTGCTATTTTGGCATTTCCGTCTTGTGTAGAAGGGAACCTAGGGAAAATAGGCGTCACTGGCGTTTGGTTGAAGGCATCATTTCTGAACATATGAAAAATCATACATACCCCTGAAAGTTTCTAATGTTCAAGAACTCAAATTCAACACATCATGCTTGTCGCCCTGCTGCTTAGTGAAGAATCGATCGTCCAAGAGGCGAATATAATAGCTGTCCGCGTTCCACGCACATGTCGTCATGCGTGGAGCGTAACGCAGGACTGCCGACCAATCCGGCGGGGATCCTGTCAAACGTGTGACTGCTCGAAGGATCCGTTCATTCTAAGATTACAAGATGAGTGACATATTTGCTTCGACGGATATGCTCTCGGTAGGAAAATGACACGAATATTCGATGAAACTGATTGCACAGAAAATCATAGGATTAGGAGTCGTCCTCTCCTCTCCTTTCCATGTTTATATTTGCCGTTGAGCCCTTGATCGTAAACAATTCAACGCCGATACGGGGTATAACTCCAAAAGGGAGCACATTGCGAGAAATGACAAAGCTCTCTGGATAGAAAAGACAATGGGCTCGAACGATCCTTCACTTGCTTCCCCCTTTACGCTGACATGAGGGCAAAACTCCTATAATGTATCACCCTCTCCAAATCGTTGTCCCAAGATCCAGGCTCCTAGTTTTGGTCTGCTTCGTATGCTGCCTTTCCATGATGATGATGCCGTTTTCTATTTCGTTTTCTTTCGGATTCCGAGGGGCAGATCATTTGTGATCGCCATAGTGGGTATAGTGTGCCCAAGGTAGGTAGTCTGAGGGCGTAGAAACGTGGCCGGTTATGCCACCAACGCGACAACTACCATGCTGCATACTGATGCAATGAGAGCCCAGCCTCGACCAAGACGAGAGGCAGCGCTCGGGTTGGTTTCGGCAGGTAATGAAGGCGACAGGCTGTCCGTGTATAAGAAGTCGTCAAAGTTCGAGTTGTCGGCAGTCGTTGTCGTCGCTGGGGTTGCTGTTGCCGCGGGCTCCTCGGCCATAGTGAGAATACCCCATTCCACCTCAGAGCCGGTCATAGTCGATGTCCATGACACCTCGGTCGGTCCCGTCAATTTGCCATTGATGTATCCGCTCTTCAGACTCGAGTATCCTGAACATGTCGCAGCTGTCGTCCCGCTCAATGTGCAGCCCAGATCGGCGATGCTGTCCGCCCACGTCAAGATTAGCCGTCCCACTCATTTCCAATCGACGCACGTGGGAGGCGAGAACCTACAGAGTTGATGTCTTGGTGCCGTGGAACTGAAGCGTGCTCTCGCCCTCGGAGAAGACGAAGGGGAACTCGATGGCTAGGTCGCAATTGGGGCTTGTTTGTGGCGGGCAGAAGACGGTATATGTCGTTTCTTTGGCATTCTACGATGGCGCAAATAGTTAGATCACAGCAATCGCAGTCGAGAGGAAGCTCCGGCAGCATTGGGAGTCTCATACACTTGAAATTACACTCCCCCGCAGCTGCGACCAGCTATTCGCATCATAGTGCGGCAGGTAGATCGGAACAGTGGTCGTATCATCGGCGAGAACGGCATTCGAGAAAAGGAAACACAGTGACAGCAGAGCGGCGGAAGGCTGCGAACACCTCATCGTGGCGACGTAGAATGTGGATTGGTCGAGTCTCGAGCCGGTCGAAAGGTGCAGCAGTGCTTGACGTCAACGAGCTAGCCACCGGAGGCGGTTCATGGGTCGGACAGCTACCGATACGGGTAAGGCAAGGTTATGCAATGCAGCGGACCAGGCTGACAGGGCGGGTGTTGAAGCTGGGGGAGCCAGACGGGGACTCGGTGACACGCCGTTGATTTCCCTATCACAGTAGGAGAAAGGTCGGAGGAAAGGCCGTTGGCCGTTCTTTGGGGCGCAGAGTGGGTTTGTTCGTATGCGGCGGTGGTGAGTGACCCTGGTTATAGCATGGGACGGTCGTAGCGGGTGTTTCGCGGTTGTAGCGATGGCATAAGGTACGACGAATACAGCAAAGCCGAAGCTGTCAGCAAGCAGGGAGAGGTTGCGTCTGGGTCGGAGGGGTCCGTTTCCTTAAAAGAGCAAGCTGGGAACGGAGCCGAGAGAATGAGGAGGGGTTTCCGGTGAGGGAGATTTACTGTCGTGACAGCAGTATTGCGAGCAAAGGGGAGCGGCTCAACTTTCAGGTGAGCAGAAAGACGTGTCGGGGAGAGATTGAGGACTTTGCAGCCTTTGCCAATGCGCCGTCCTTGCCGGCCAAGGCTGGGCGGGAGAGTAGGTGAGCGATTGGCATTCTTTTGGCAAAATGGGACGAAAGCCAAGACTTTTGGACAAGATGGTACGGCGCCCTTTGGAGACTCGGCGAATGTGTGAGAGGGTCAAAGGTCCACGACCCACGGGAGACGAAGGTGGCTTGCCCTTGTCTCGGCAGACCTCATGCTCACTGTATCCGTAAGGTGTGCTCCGTAGGCTGGCTTCCTCGTAACAACGGCGTTTCCCGTCAGTTCAGTCAGGTTGAGACTTCAACCGTCAACGGCCTTCCCAAACGGCAACCCAGCAGCAGACCTGCTGCTGCATTGCAGGCAGTGGGTGTAATGCGAGCTGAGCAGCTCCATCTTGGGGGCGATTCAATGCGTGCGATAATAGCTGGGTAACCGTAGCATGCGTACGGAGTAGGAATCTGCAGTGTGTGCGTGTACCACTGTAGCCGTAGCATCCACCGCGGCTCGCCTGATGGCCAAGGGCCGATGGCTGCTGGATCATCCAATGCTAGTGGTGGACATTGGCAGCTGGGCGAGGGAAACGAAACGGGCGACGATGAGAGGATGGAAGGGAAGAAAGCCAAGAAATGCCAAGACCGCGAATTTCGAAAAAAATAATAAGAGCTGGATGGGCACGGGCGCCCGGACTGGAGACGGTCCTCTTGTCACTGGCCATCTGACTGGCCGGACGTTGCCAGCCAGGCAGGAACCGGCAGGGGTTGGCTGTATCCCCCGTGGCCCCCCGTGCCCCCGTCATGCCCGTTCGTCCCCGCTCCGCTGCGCTATTGAGGAAGTCGCAACTCACCTCACAACAGTGACTCTTACTTACGGTCTTGCCTTTCCAGAGGAGGCTTAGGTAACTTGCATCCCATGAGGAAACCTCGACCAAAACACCAGCACCTTCCCATCCCGTCGTTAATGCTGGGCATCACTCCGGGACTTCATGCCCACAACCCGGCCTGACCAGAAAACCCCTCTTCAGAAACATCACGGTCTCACTCTCACCTCCCCGCCACCCAACGGTTCCTTTTGTCGGATCTTTCCTGGATACCTTTCGATCGCAGCTGATCAGATTTGACCATGCCCTCGTCAACGTGGAACATACGATATCTGGACCCCGAGTGGAAGTGAGGTCCAAGTGGGAGCCGATTCCGCCTCGATTTGCTGTTTGATAGGCTCCGACTGCGAGTCTCGGGGCCCTCTTTCCGCCCGCTGCAATTCCCTCATCCGTGTTAGGCAGGACCCAATCTGTGGTCATTATCCACCGCTGCAGATGCATCCATCTACAGTACCTTACTTTCTACCCACGCGCGATAGACGATTATCTCGGCTCCCGCCGGTGGCCACGCCTTCGTCTTTGTGACCATCTCAACGTTGGAGTCAGTCGCACTGCTAGACTCAGTCTCGATCTGCATTGTGTGCGTCTCTGTGCACTGGCCACAAGATTATTCTGAGCGACTGTTCCAACGAGTTCGTTCCATCTTTCATCCCATCACTCACGCCGAGCTCAACCAGCAAGGGCTTTCGATGTTGCCATTTCATCCGACCCGTCCTTCTCCCCCCCGGGGCATCCTGCAACTGAAGCGTCCTAGTAAACTCACCGCAACAGTTCGGCGAATCTAGGTAGGCCCGCAGAGTCGCAGACCGGAAGATGTCAAAATAAACTCAGTTCCAACTTGCACAATTACCACGCCTATGCCATAGCGACCAATCGCTGACGTCTCTCTATAGCATACTGATACTAGACGAGTTTTGATCTGCGTTCAGTTGACAGCAATTGGTGCCTTATTCGATGCAGAATGCACGATACACTCCACCAAAAAGAGTATCTCTAGCGGCAGCTAGGGACAAATATAATATTTTGCCAGCTACCTAATTGCGTAGTGCACAGAGGTCACGATCCGATTTTTCAGAATATTATAGTGTACGAAGCTATTCAAGTGTGCCAGCGAGCCTCGATTATTGGGGGTCGCAAGAAGTCGTTTTATGGCATCACTTCCAGAACACAAAACCTTTGATTTCTTTCATCAGAATGACAGCCAACGTTGTTGCGCGGCGTCCAATCGGAATATTACTTGCCAACAGCAGCCCGGACTGACATTTTGGGACTTTGGTTCATTTCTTTTTTTTTTCTCGCTAGCAACACACGATGACACGAGCGCTTGACCAGAAGTGGCCATGGACTCTCGGGCCCAATTCCTCCAGTAAGCCTGCGGCACAGCTTTGCCGGGAAATTGACCACGATGACCAGCCAAGAAAAACATTGCTTCGCCGCGATACTCACGAGAGCAACTTTCTTTGCCCTCTTAATCACGTATTGATCACAAGATGAAGCACTGCACGACAGTCTTGTTAGCCTTCGTCGGCATCGCCGCGGCACAAACCACGTCCGTGATCAGCGTCCTCAACCCCTATTTCGGTGACAACCCCTACGACGCGTCCATCAAGGACGCTAATCCCACCGCGACAACGTACATCGTGAGCTGCCAGACCAACAGCACGAATTATCAATGTCGCGCCGACCCCTCCGCCTTGATGACCCTCGTGGGAGGGCCGTCGACCGTGGAACTTCACATTGACCATACTGCCAGCGGAGTGTAAGTCGTCCCCACACTCTAACTTACTCGTCATTCCATCACCCAGGCGCATCCCGTAGTGGGCGGTTGAAACTCTCGACCATGGTTGCTGAATTCCCTTTTATCCAGATCAATCGAGTACATTGGTACCGTTTCAGGTGATGGCCTGGACTACCAGCAGATCGTGACAAAGAGCGGAAACACGGCCATGATGGCCAACATGAGACTTTCGCCTCTGACGGCCGCGAGCCTCTACGTTCCCCTCACCGTCACCGCTGGTCTGGAGAAGTTGCAGCAAGCTCAGACCGGCGCTACTGCGACTGCGACCGCGACTGCAACGGCCACAGCCACGGCGTCCTCCTCAGGGTCGGCGCAGAGCGGGTCCGGTTCCGGGTCCGCTGCATCGGCGACGTCGACGGCTAACGCCGCTGTACCCCGTGCCGGCCGGGATGGTCTTCTCGCTGGTGCAGTTGCTGCAGTTGGGTTGATGATGTTTTGAGTATGCCGGTGGCAGAGCCAGGCCTCTGAAGATGTTGTTTCAGTTGAGGCATCGAGCAGTGGTGTATATCTCGGGAACAGCAACAGGTGGTCTCGCGAATGATTTGCGCGCCTTTTTTGACGCATAATGACTGTTCCGACTGTAAGAAAATGCTTGTTTTTCATTCATTATTCGAAGATCGCCTTTTGTTGGCTGTTGTGGCGATGATTTCCCTTTACCTCATTGACTTTGTGTGAGTCAAAGACGATATGTTTTCTTCTTCTTTGGCTGACATGCCGACGACGACCAAAGCATTGTTTGTTGAACCAGTCTCAGCACAGCTGAACAATGAAGCGCAATAGTTGTCGAACATGAGGAGTAGCATATTATATAGAAACAATCCTATTGAAGAAGAATTTATTTCCCACTTCTTACTTCCCCAACGTTCACCACTTAGCCAGACTAAAGATTGCAAACTGCCCGTGTCTCGCCTTTCACACAGTTTCAACCCAGGAATCGAATTCATACTTGCAAGCCAAGGGACCTCTCTCTCTCTCCCTCTCTCCTTCTCACCTCACCTCGCAGAAACTCAGAAGCAAGCCAAGCAATGGAACCCGGCGTGCAGGCCGGTATCGCGTTAGCCTGCATCGGCGGCGTCTTCATCCTCTGTTGTGCAGCGTTTATAACATTCCGCCACATCATGTCGCCGCGCGCGCAAAAGGAGTATTTCAGGCGGAACGGGGGCGTCGCAGAGGAAACGATGCCTGGCGTTTGATGAAGCGGTAAGAAGAAAAAAAGCGAAAAAAGCATGCGTATAACGGTGCGAGATGGGATCCCTTGAGAAAGTACAGTGTTGGTGAGTAGAGTAAAGGGGCGTTGCAGAGCGTGATGTAGACGCATCTCATCAGGTATCGAGAGTGCTCGGATTGACACGGATAGAAATACGTGCTATCATAGAATCGGATCAAACTCATTCAACATGCAAAAGAAGAAGAAAAATGTACTTGCGTTCGATGATGATGCTTTGAATACTCATAAACCACGAAACAACACCGAACTCTGTCAACTCCAACCCTGCTATGCTGAATAATGCTCATGGATACAACGACACCCCATACCCGACTTTCACGATGCTGTCTTGCTAACCCCGCTCCTAACATGCTTGAAAACCAGCTTGAGAAGGGGGAAAAAAACACACTCTCGCGCACAATCTCCCCCTTCATTGGACAAGAAACTAGAGGATAACCTCATTACTGATGAGCCCGGTCCTCGCGCCCGTCCTGCCAGCTGGTGCAGTTGACGCAGCGTTGCGCCTAATGCTCGATAGATTAGCTTTAACGGGTTCTCTTCCCATCTTGGGGGGCTTCCTGGGGCTGAAAGCAAGGGCCTCACCTTATTGCTTATCCGCTTGCGGCAGTACTTGCACTTAACGGTATGCTTAATAATCGGCTCCCGGGAGAAGAACTGGAAGACGTGGGCCAGTCCGTAGAGCGAGATGCCGACGCAGAGGAAAGAGACGAGTTGGTTGAGGAATGAGCTGTGTGGGTGTTAAAGACGGTCGAGCGAGTTTCCTTGGGTGTGTGATTCCCTCGGAGTCACAAATAACAATGTTTCCAGACGAGGACAAACCCGCTACCGCATGAATTCTTTTCGTGGTGATAGCCAAGCAGAAACAGTGTGCGTGAAGTAAGAAAAACTTACCCGTAAGCTAAGACGACGGCACCATCATCCTTGGCGCGTTCGAGGGTCGTGTACTTGTTGTCGTGGGTGTAGTTCGGGCCGCCCTTTAGGACGGCGAACTTTTCTTCCATGTTGCGGTTGAGTGGGAAGATGACGGAGATGGGCGGCATGATGATGTTCTGCACAAAGTTGTTGACGAGGGTCGTGAAGGCGGCCGCGATACTATAAAGCAGTGTGTGTCAATACAACAGGGCCACCTTCCATAATGGCAAAAGTCCAACATGAAGCTGGCTGACACTCTCAAAACAGCATTGTTGCATATAAGCATTGTTGATTTAAGAGTGGCCTGCTCTTGAGTCGTCTCTCCATGCTGGGGGGACGGCATGTATGTTGGGCATTACTAGGGGAAGGACGGCTTACATCAAACCAAAGGCGATCTCGAGAATGTTGCCCTGCAGGGCAAAGTCGATGAAGCCATCCCAGAAACGCCGCACCTTTTGCTGGCCCCGTCCGAGGAGGGATTCCTCTTCGCCGTTGTCGTTGCGGCCTTGCATGTTCGCCGCGGAGGAGATGCGGTCTGAGAACGGGAGGGAGGGCATCTTTGACGGTGCTCTACTGGCAGGGAGGGAGGAGACGCACTATACTTGGAGGTGAAAAGGAGAACAAGGAGATACGGAACTTCACAGCCGCGAAAGCGAGGTGTGCAACGGTGCGACTGCGGTGAAGTGTGAGAGTTGAAGCGCCCTTGAGGTGAGGTGTAGTTGAACTGTGGCGCGCCTAAGGCGACGGTCAAGGTTGGGTTCGTTTGACCAAGGTTGAGACATGGTGGTTGTTGCCTGTTTGGGGAGGAATGACGTACCCCACATTCCGGGGTGCGTGACGCCGGAGCCGGGGTGGGTCTCGTCCGAAGGCAGATTCCGATGTTGAGGATTGTGAACGAAGTTGGACAGCTCATCATACCTCACGCATGGGTTCTCATATTGAAGTTGAACTTGACTCATATTCACTTATCCACAGGAAGTCATAATCACAGCTATAGTCTCACCAACGATGGACTGGGAGTGTCAAAAGCCGGCACTGGGTTTACTTGATTGATGGCATCTTTATTGATGGGGTTCTAGAAGTAATGCTATGAAATGATGCACTCCGGGTTTATATATCGCAACAATGGTATCTTGAACAGGGTTAAAAAAGGATCGTGACGTCGGGAATAGCCATGATACGCCAGCTATCGGGGCAAACACGACAAAGGTATCGTTTCAAATGCATCGCTTTCGTACTGCGGTTTCTCAATCTGTGAGAAGTGAAGGCGCACCTATGGTTTGACGATTCTTAACGAGTCAAACCGGTGGGAGTTCTGCTTCGATTCTTAGAAGCTGCCCTTCTTATGGCGCTTCTCGGTATAACCGCGCGGCGCTCTGCGCGACCGCCTCTCAGCGCAGAACTGCGTGACCCAGTACACGGACGCCGCAAACATGACGGCGAAGGCCACCCAGGAGATGATCATAAACTTCTGCCCGACCTTTGCCGAGATGCCGACGTCCTCGCCAATGTCGGTGATCTGCTTCGCCCCCTCCTTCGCGCCGATCGTCGTAACGAGACTGCCGGCGAAGAGCACAAGAGCGGCCAAGAAGGCGAATGCAAAGTTGGTGAGCGTCATGCGCTTCTTGAAGCCGAGGAAGAAGGCGGCAAGCGAGCCGAGGATGGCGAGGCCCGAGAAGCCGATGCCCATGACGTAGAGGACAAAGATGGCGAGGATGGCCTTGTTGACCTTGTCCATGGCGTCCTCGATGGTGTCGGGCCAGTTGAGGTCGGACAGGCTCAGGCTTAGAGGGCCGATTTCGAGTTCTTGGTCCAACATCTTGGTGAGGTTGACGTTTGCTAGAGTTTCCATGTTAGCGTTTACGACATATGATGGAGCAAGGTACTAGTGGGGTTTTACTTACGACCAGGGGACGGCTGGGTGCAGTTCGTGACGTTCAGCCAGACGTTGGGCGCCGTGACGTTGGGCGAAAATTGGCCGTGGCACACGTCCATCAGGTGCAGGGAGTACCACTCGGAGATTCCCAACTCGTCGGCGAGGCGGTCAGCAACATCGTTGCCAATGTCATTAAGGACGTCGGACACCTTGTCGCCTACGCCGTCGATGAACTTGTCGAGGAAGCTGCCGGTGGTAGCAGCGGGATCGGCCTCCGAGGTTGCGGAGGGGATGAGGTTGTGGCCCAGGGTCGAGGTGTTGAGGCGGACGACGTCGTAGTCTTCCATGAATCCCTCCTTGTGCCCGGCGAAGAGGGCGAGGAAGGAGAGGACGAATGCCACGATGGACAGTACCAACGGTACTATCACGGTGAAATGCATGTTGTCGGTGTTGGCTGATTTTGCTCGCGTTGAACAAATGAAAGAATGGTTGGATGGAGACGGGGTTTGGTTGTAGATTGTTTGGGTACACAGCGGGACTTTGTGACCGCGGACCAGAGATTTGACGAGAGACTTATGGTAGGTACTGCCTATCACTTGGAAACGTGGTGTTCAAAATCAAAAGACCCCGCGACAGAAAGACTTTAAAGGTAGCAAAGGGGTCCAGGCCTTATTGAGGAAGACCAAGACCCTGGACCGGCAATGATGCAACCGAGGGGACCCTGACTGGAGGTGAAAGAATGCTGTGATGGAGACGATGGACAGGAACAAGGCCCGCGGCCCCATCAGCGTCACTCGCCTGGACGGGGGGCAAAGCCATGATTAGAATAGGCGCATAGGCTACGGGGGGTGGAAGGGAGGGCGGTAGTTGGAACTTGGGCGTCTTAGAACAACGTGGGTGCCACAAACAAGTGCAAGAATCCACAGGCAGGGAGACATCATCTTGCTCTGGTGAGGCGTTGAACAACGCAGCAAGTCTAGGTCGAGCCTGACGTGGCCAAGATTTTTAGTCATGGAAGATGGGTGTGTGGTTGGTGACTTGTTGTTCGGGTTGTGGATGTGCAGGTAGGTAAGGTACGGAGTACTGTGTAGGACGATATCCAAGTTTACGTCATCGGTCTTTCTACGGCTAAGGTACTGAGCCACAGCATTTCTTTCCCAATTGGGGGCTACGCTTAGACCCACACTATTGGATGTGTACGTACCCTTTTCACGAGGGTGACAGGGCCCCGTCGCCAGCCGGCCATCGGATGACACCCGGGAAACCTGTTTGGACGAGAACAACAAAAACAGGAGACGAACAAGGATGCGACAGCAAGTTTTGGAGCCTCCATATCCAGTCAAGACTTTTCAGGGTCTTGCTTCTGAGGTCGTTTACCGCCTGTGGAGGCTCAAGGTAGGTTCTATTCTTTGTCTCCTGGTTCAGTCGCCGCACCCGTAGCCCCAAGGGACCACAAGTCCCCAATCTTGGCCAGCGCTAAACTCTGATTTGACCCTTGACTCTCTGGAAGCATTCGTTCCCAGGCTAGATCGTCACTCCATCGGGAGCAAAGAGGAACTGACTCTGTCCATGCTTGGCACCGTTGTCCAAAGCAGAAGACCACAGTCCGAGGTAGCTGCAGTATGCGGTGTCGCGAATAGCTTCATTGTTTTGTCCAGTTCTTGAGTGCTGCTAGTTTCATTCATCTCTTCTCCTGTCACCTGATAATTACCGCTAGCCAAGTTAGTCTTTCTGCTTATCTACCTTCCTCAAATAGACTTGTCTCAGGGGGACACTCTTTGGCTGACTGTGCCGCAACGTGCAGCTTAATCTCCCGTTCCTTAAAACGAGCCATCCCCCTCATACCCTTTCATTTTTGTTCATTTGCTTCTCCAAAACCATTCCGTGATCATTCCTACCATCATTGAATACCACGCTCATCATGGCCAATTCAACCTCTGACGGCTGTTCCCTCAACGCCGACGATGCTTTCGGACCAATCGTCCAGCACTGTCGCGACGGTTTTGACTTTACTCTGACATTTGAACAATGTCTCTTCACCATACTCCCCGCCTCGCTCCTCATACTCATCGCGCCCCTCCGCTTCCGCTACCTCGGCAAACTCCCCTACGCCGTCAACGGCACCACGCTCCGTCTAACCAAACAGGCCGCCATCGCATTTCTCGCCATCCTGCAATTGGTTCTCATAGGTTTGTGGTCAACGCACCGCCGCGGCGACATCGTCGTCCTCGGGGGCGGGGAAGGCGCCAGCAGCAGCGGAAGCCGCCTGCGCGCCGTCTCCATCGCCGCCTCGTGCGCGTCTTTTGCGGCCACCGTCATGTTTGCCGGACTCTCGTACATAGAACACGCGAAGAGCCTTAAGCCTTCGTCCATCCTGAATACATATATCCTCGTGTCCCTGGTGCTGGACGGAGCCATCCTCCGCACCATGTGGCTGTCGCACCTAAGCGTCGCCATCAGTGCCGTCTTCGCCGCGTCCTTCGCGTGCAAGGCGGCCGTCGTGATCCTCGAAGCCCAGGAGAAGACGCGCTACCTCGTCCCGTCGTCGTCGACCGGCGGACGGTCATACAGCCCCGAGGAGACCAGCGGCATCTACAGCCGCGGTCTCTTTTGGTGGCTTACGCCGCTGCTGCTGACGGGATTCCGTCGTCTCCTGAAGCCGCTGGACCTGTTCGTCCTGGACGGGTCCATGTCGGCTGCTGCGCTGAATGAGAGGTTCTGGCTTCACTGGAACAAGTCGTCCCTGTCGAGCGTCTCGACGGACGATGACGACCAGCCTAGTGAAGCATCACGATCGTCGTCAAAGTACCGTCTCATCAGGACGTGTATCGTCACGCTGAAATGGCAGTTGCTGGCAGTGGTCCTCCCTAGACTCTTCCTGCTCGGCTTCACCATTTGCCAGCCCCTGATCTTGAACCGGTTTCTCGACTTTTTGCAGAACCCGTCCGAGACGGCCAACCATGGCTACGGCCTTATTGGCGCCTATGGGCTCGTGTACCTGGGCATTTCCATCTCGTCGAGCTTCTACTGGCACGCCGCTTTCCGGTGCCTAACCATGCTCCGGGGCGTATTGGTCGCTGCCATCTACACCAAGACGACGGAACTGCGCGTCGCTCCAGGAGACGACTCTGCGGCTGTGACTCTCATGTCGACTGATGTAAGTCATGGCAGTTTTTCACCTCCCATTTCTGACATCAAATGCTGACCCTCGTCGTCAGGTTGAAGCTATCATTCGTGCTTGGCGCGAACTTCACGAGTTCTGGGCTAACACCATTCAAATCGCCCTCGCCACATGGATTCTCAGCACTCACCTCGGCTACGCTGCCTCTGGTCCGATCATTGTGTCAGTCTTCGCGCTGGGTGCCACCGTATTTCTCGCACCCTCTGCTCAAAAGTACCAGATCATCTGGGTTGAAAAGGTCCAGAAGCGCATTGGTCTGCATCATCCTTCCCCGACAGATATGCCCAGCTAACCCCCCTAAAGGCATCACCTCAGCCATGATAGGCCACATCAAAAGCATCAAAATGTCGGGCCTGACCCAGAAACTCTCCCAGTCTCTGGCCGACCTCCGGCTCGCCGAGATGAGGGCGGCGACTCCCTTCCGCGTGATCGGCGCCGTCACGTCCGCCGTGGCCCAAGTGCCCCTGATGATCGCCCCCGTCGTGGCCTTTGCCATGTACACGACGGTTGCATCTAAAGAAGGGCAAGCTCTCGATGTCACGAAGCTCTTCGCCGCGTTGTCGTTGATCATCCTGCTGGCCCAGCCGCTGTTTTGGATGTTCGAGGTCGTGCTCGACATGAGTGCGGCTCTGGGGTGCTTCAACCGGATCGAAAAGTACTTGTGTGAACCGCCGCGGACAGAGTATCGAGATCTTCCGTCAGACTCACCCGCTAGCTCCGCTGGACGAACGGAGTCTTCCTCTCAAGATGTGCAACTTCAGAACCTGGAGAGCCGCAAAGGGCAGGTATCAACAGGTACGAAGTCAGGAGACACTGTCGCTATTCGCGTGAAAGACGTGACGTTGGCGTGGAAGCCTGAAACACTTCCCGCCGTTGAGTCAATGAATTTCGACATATCAAAGGGCCAACTCGTCATGCTCGTGGGACCTGTTGCATCCGGGAAGAGTACGCTTCTCAAAGGTCTCCTCGGTGAACTACCACACGTTACTGGAACAGTTGCCCTGTCCAGCGATCGCATCTCTTGGTGTGAGCAGAGCCCCTGGCTCATTGTGAGTGAACTTCCGGTCTAGGATATAACGGCATTACTGACTGGATGTTCAGAACGACACCATTCGAAAGAACATCATCTGCTTCTCTGACTTTGACCAGAAACTTTACCAGCAAGTTCTTCAAGCGTGTGATCTTGAGAAGGACCTCGCTCAGCTCCCAGATGGAGACGAGACATTGATCGGAAGCAAAGGGATTGCCTTAAGTGGCGGCCAAAAGCAGCGTCTCGTATGTAAATTCATTAGCTGGATTCACCTCCTTCGACTGACTAGGCATAGGCACTTGCCAGAGCCATCTATTCACGCCCTCAAATTGCTCTCTTTGACGACATTTTCAGCGGGCTAGATAACCATACGGCTAGGGCAGTGTTCCAGCGCGTCTTTAGTGCCAAGGATGGAATTCTCCGAACTTGGGGAATCACGATTGTGCTTGCGACTCAGTCAGGTATCAACTTCTTAACGCTCATCACCCTTCAGGATACAAATCGCTGACGAGCAGGGCCAGTGAGCTTTCTACCTCAGTCAGACATGATCATCGCCCTCGAGAGCGGCAAAGTAGTAGAGAAAGGAAATTTTGAGGATTGTCGAAAGGCTAGGGGCTACGTCTCAAGTCTGGTCTCCACCAGTACTGAGGAACAGGACGAGAGCACCCCCGAGCCAGAAGAGGTTGCAGATGGGACTGCGAGTGACGTCCCGGTGGAGAAGAGCACCAAGGTTTTGAAAGACCAGGATGACAAGAGACGACAGCTGGGAGACTGGAGCGTCTACGGCTACTACTTTGGTAGCGTCGGTGCTTCTCTTGTGGCCATCTTGATGGTCTTGGAGGTGACGTGGGCGTTCTTGTCCACTTTTCCGAGTAAGTCTCACCCAGAACTCTGATGGGAGCCCTCCAAAGAGGCATGGTTAACATATGAGACCAGCCGTATGGTTGAAGTTCTGGACGGACTCACAGGCAGAAAGTCCAGACAGTCATGATGCATACTACCTTGGGGCCTATGCCGCTTTCCAAATCAGTGGCGTGTTGTGTTTTGCCGTACTCATCTGGTGAGATAGAGGCTTTCTCTCTTTGAGTCGAGAGGCACCCCAAGTTAACGACTTCGATTTTTCAGGTTCGTTCTTGTTCCTGTTGCTTCAAAGTCAGGCATCAGCCTACACCAGCGTCTCCTTAAAGCAGTCATGCAGTGAGTACCGTCCGTAAACCCCTCACACAATATACTATGAATTCTAATGTTTCGTCAAGCGCGCCCCTATCCCTGTTCACGAAAACAGATACTGGATCCATCACCACCCGGTAAGCTTGCGTCCACGCCGCCCTCATTCCCATTGTGTTAACACGTCCTAGATTTTCACAAGACGTAGGTCTGATAGACAGAAGCCTTCCACTGGCTCTGGTGATTTCTCTCGCAAGTAAGCCACACTCCCCCTTTTCTCTGGTCTGAAAAACATGGCGGCACCACCTAACCCGAGCATCAATGGCAGGCTTCTTCACCTGCATCGGCAAAGCCTTTCTCATCGCCTCCGCCTCATGGTACATCGCCATCAGCTTCCCCGTCCTAATCCTCATCTTCTACTACATCCAACGCGCCTACCTCCGTACCTCCCGCCAACTCCGCCTCCTAGATCTCGAAGAAAAAGCTCCCGTATAGTAAGTCTCCCCCTCTCTCCCCAACCCAGAATCCCTTGACCCTCAACTTCTAAGCTCGCATGAACTAAAACCTCCTCAAAGCACCCACTTCCTCGAAACCCTCTCAGGCCTGCCCACAATCCGCGCCCTCGCCCTCACGCACCCCTCCGTAACCCACGCCCACGCCCTCATAGACCGCTCCCAACGCCCCTTTTACATCCTCCTCCTCACCCAGCAGTGGCTCACCCTCGTCCTCGACCTCACCACCACGGCGCTCGCCCTCCTCGTCGTCGGCCTCGCCGTTCACCTCCGCGACACCGTCTCCGTCGCCCTCACGGGCGTCTCCCTCGTCCAGCTCATCTCCTTCACCGAGACGCTCAAGCTGCTCATCCAGTTCTGGACCTCGCTCGAGACCTCCATCGGCGCGGTCGCGCGCATCAAGAACTTTGCCGAGGAGACGCCGGACGAGGTCGAGGCGGACGCGCTCAGGAGGGAGGCACTGATGATTCGGTCTGCCACCACCGGAGGGCAGCGGAACCCAGAGGTTACGATCGTGCACGGCTGGCCCTCCCCCGGTGCCATCGAGATTAGCAACGTCGTAGCTTCGTACGAGCAGCAGGAGACACACCCAGAGCCCAAACCCGACACCGAAGACACCGACCCCGGGAGAACCACGAGAGCTTTAGACGGTATATCCCTCTCCATCCCCCCCGGCTCCAAAGTAGGCATCGTAGGCCGCACAGGAAGCGGCAAATCCTCCCTCCTCCTCGCCCTCCTCCGCCTTCTCCCCCTCTCCTCGGGAACAATCTCCATCGACGGGGTCCCCCTCGACACCTTACCCCTCCTACCCCTGAGATCGTCCCTCGTCGCCATCACCCAGGACCAATTCGTCTTGCCGGGCACGATCCGCCAGAACCTCGATCCGCTGGGCTTAGTATCCGACGCCGATGCCGACGCCGATGCCGCCGACGCCGAGAACATCCTCGTCTCCGCCCTGACCCGCGTCGGTCTGTGGGCCACCATCCGCGAAAACGGCGGCCTCGAGGCCCCATTCGCAGAAGAGGCGCTGAGTCACGGACAGAGACAGCTCTTCTTCCTGGCGCGGGCGGTTCTCAGAAAAGATGTCGGACGGGTTCTCCTTTTAGATGAGGCGACGAGCAGGTAAAGCACATTTTCCTTTCCCCTTTCCCTTTCACCTTTATGCTACCTCCCTTCTCCCATCTACAACTACCCATATTTAACCCCCTCACTCCTATTCCATTCAACTCTGAGAGCCGAAAAAAACTGACAAATACCCATCCAACACAGCGTCGACGCTCACACGGAGCGCATGGTCAAGGAGCTCATCTGCAAAGAGTTCAAACACCACACAATCATCGCCATCGCACACAGGCTAGACACGGTCGTCGACTTTGACCGCGTCGTGGTCCTCGACAAGGGCCGCGTCGTCGAGGTTGGCAACCCCCGGGACCTGTTGAGCCAGGGACGGGGCAAGTTCAGGGAGCTGTGGGACGCGAGTCGGCGGCAGGCTGGCGGACAACAAGATGAATGAGGAAACCTATGGTACACGATGTTGAATGCACTCTGAATCGGGAGAGGACTGAATACTCGAGAATTTGTGTTGGGAATAATTTGTAACTTGATTCCTGTCTAGTCAAAATATAAACGGCATCAACGGCATTTGCGAATCCTCTATCGGATCACTATCCACGTTGATGAATCGCCCCTTTCCAGCTCTTTGCGCTACAATGTACTTCTCAATCGCCTTTGCCATTTGCGCCGCCTCACGGAACCTCTCGTGGTCCGCAATCGGCGTGTCGACGCTGATTTCATACCCGTACCTCAACTTCAACTTTGTTACTTTGCCCCATGGCCCGGTCCAGTCGACGTGGTCTCCGTCAACGTTGGCCATGAGCGCCTTGAACCACGCGCCGCAGCCTGTGAGGTCGAGATACTCGAGCCCGTAGAGGGACTTGCTCAGCTTCCTCAGCAGAATGACGGCCTCGGACCAGTCATCGTCCAAGGTATGCGCGTACGCCCCCGTGCCTGAATAACTCTCGGCGCGGCCGTCAGACGAGACAATCTTGGAGAACTTTGCGTTGGGCGTCAGCGACGGCTCGGGCCAGTACGCTAGGCTCAGGTGCGTGAGCGTGGGCAGCTTCGCCGCGAGCGAGAGGAGCTGCTTCCACGATACGCCGGGCGTCCCGCCGCCTTGCTGTGCGCTAGGGGCGACGGTGAGGCAGAGGTGCGTGATATGGGGGAGAAGCTTCGGCGGGAGCGAGGGCGCCTCTGCTGTGTCCCAGGAATCCTGCACGGCCTCGGCGGCGCTCGCCAGCTGCTGCGGGAACAGCACGTCGGCCAACTCCCTGACGGACATGGAGTGGCCCACCGAGCCAGTCAGGTCGAGGGAGTAGACGTCGTTGTTCAGGGACACAAGGCCATCGACGTCAAGTGGCTGCTGGCCGTCGTGCGTCGCAGGAGGGATCAGAATGTTGTGCAGGTCTGTAGCGGATGCGCCGCCCTCGTACCATACGCCAACATACTTTGCCAACGAGGCCCTGACGCGGCTGGGCAGCGTGTGCAAGTAGTACTGATCGTAATCCTTATGGAGCTCCCAGTTCAGGGCCATCCTTCGGAGGACGAGATCCATCAGGCTGCCCTTGTCCGGCTCGTATGTGCCAGGCAGGCCCTCCATGGCCTGGGCGCCGCGGTGGGCGGCGGTCGCGTGTGCGCGCTGGACATGGCTGGATCGTGATAACCAGCTGCGCGGAGGTGGCGGGCCTGGTGGTACTCGTCTGCCTGTGGCGTCGAATCTTGGGACACGCCTGGGTGCCGGCGGAGGCGTCTCTGGGATCTGGAGGATCTGTCGGAGAGCGGGCGGGACGGTGGGCGTGGTCGCTGCCGATGCTGCTGCTGATGCTGTCGGGGTAGCACGGGAGGATGATCGGCGAAGATCAGCCAAAAGTTCGTTGACGCCCCTACGTTGGGTCTCTGTGTTGCAACATTGTCAGTGGCCGAAGCGACGTCACGGAAAGGAGCTCGGTGAGAGAGGAAAGGCAAGGATGGGATAGAGAGAAGAGAGGAGGGGAGAGAAGAGGAGGGGCCGCGGCCCGGGGGGTGTGCGCGATGGGCGTGGGGTCGGAGTTGGACTTACGAGTAGAAGAAGAGGCTGAAGCTGAGGCACCCAATGAAGACGGTGCAGTTGACTGCGGCTTCGAGTATAACGTTTGATACCTTTTCTTAGTCATGCCCGGGTGAGAGATGAATGTAAGATAAGGAAGGGGGGAAGCTGTGTGAGGAGGCTTCCGGATGGGAGGTGTAGGCGGGGGTGGAGAAGCCAGGTACGGTAGGTTTCTCGTCGTTGTCGTCGATGGTTGTTGTTGCAGAGCAGAGCAAACAAGCTTCTAGCCGGCGCGGCTTTGTCTGCTATGTACTCCCTGTACTCTGGAATGTTGTTTCCGCCTTTTGCATCCGCCTTGGGGTAAGCGTCAGCAACAACGAGATGAGTCGTCAGTTGCTCAGGTATTGATTTCTGCTGTGAGTCACAAGGCAATTTGGTCAGTCAGTCAGTCCGTCAGTCAGCAAGCATACACAGTAAGCTGCAGGGCGAGGTGAGAAGGGCAGAGTCATTGCCTCGCTTTCCCCGGTGGCAGGTGTTGCTCACCAAAGAATTGATTGATGCCCTAATTAGGTAGTAGCTTGTTAGGATCGAATAAGGGCCGTAGCGTGGCTTGGAAGGCGCGGGGGGGGAAACGTTACAAACGTCATGCTGCAAATGGGAGAGAGGCAGCACCTAAGCAGCACCCCTCATGCGCCTCGTTTTTGTTGTTTGTCAGCTTCCGCCAGTTGCCAATTAGATCCGCCCACAAGCGCTAGGTAATACGCTGCTTTCCCCTCCACTCCAGGCGTCCAGCGACTCCGCAGCCTGAGGTGAGTGAGTCCCGGTTTTACACGGACTTCTTCGTTCCAGACTCCCAAGTGCCCTTGCTCAGTGCGTGCTGAATCAACTGAATGAGTCGGGCGGCAAGGGCAGGCCGCAGAGCACGCCAGAGCAGAACCTTTCCGCCTTGGGGCAAACGCATGGTCTGAGCGTTCGGATGTGCGAAGAAGGTGCCCCGGCCCGGACACGGGCATGACCCGCTCTGCCGGTCGACGGCTCGGCAGGTCCTGAACAATTGACAATCGGCGACCTTGTGGCTTGACCCACTTCCGACACCTCAGACCTACGGAGTACCTAAAGTAAGGTACCTGACCTTACCTAAGGTATCCGTACTACCTTGACTTACAGGAATGAAATTGACTCGGGCCCCCTTCCAAAAAACAACAGCAACAACCTCTACGGCCCGACTGACGGGCTTCTGGGGCCCCCGTCGTCTCCCAATCAACTTCTATTGTCTCTGTCCATCACTTTTCACCATAATGTAAGAGAAAAAGGTCCTCGCCTTGCAAACTCGACTGCCGCTAGACCTAACAGCACCTTGGAGTTCAAGACTACGTCCGCCATCTTTGTGCCACCCCTCTTTCGTGTAATGTTTCAGCAGAGAATTCTAAGACGAGAGATTATTACCTACCTACCTAGCATCTGTCCATGGAGCAGTCACTCTAATGCGGGGCGTGACTGGTGAGCAATGCATGTCATGGACGCCACCAGCACCGACGGATGGATGGCGATACCTAGGACCATTGAACCTCAAACCATCCTCTTATCTGGGACTGGCTTAGCATGGCGGCTTCGATGCAAGAAGCCGCCATATCACAACTCATCATATTCGCCAAATCCGTCCTCGTGGCCAGATAGTGTTTGTGTCACCTTCTTGGGCCTGCCCAGGGCTTGAAATAGGCTGTCTGTCTTGTCCTTTCAGCTGTTGCTGTCAACGACTGTCTCGAATCAGTGATGGATCCATATTGGGAACATCGTCGTAGCCGGGCAAAGTGGACTCTCTTTCTGCTACGCGCCTTGAAGATCGGGTAGCCGCACAGCTGGCTCTATCGATTGACTTTCCTCACGTCATCCTATTGGGCTATCATAATTACGAGTCAGCAGCCCGTTGAAGATATCGCATCATTTTGACCTCATCGAGGGCTAGGCCTTCCCTTGGACCCAGAAGTTGGCGTACGAAGCCATAGCTGTTATGATACCCCAGCCAGGTAAGCCACGTCAAAAGCGTGGCAGCGCTTGCCTCGACATCCAAAGGGCCCGGTAGCCGATGGATCCATGGATCTATCATCAAGGGCCCGTCCAACGTTGCATCCACAAAAGCCCTTGGCAGGCTCCTGACAGGCGGGCCTGAAACTGGCCTGCTGAACAACGTGCGTTTTGGATACACACGGTGTTCGTCGTAGACTTTTGCTAATGGCGCGACATCTTAAGTTTTGGTACTCTTGTACGCTCAAGACGTCAGACGGGCCAGGACCATGCTGCTAGCCCGCAGATGGAGATGTGCGGATAGTCTGGGACGGTCTTCAGGGATGCCCGAGGGCGACCGGGGCGGGCAACCTGGGTGATCGACCGCTCCTGATCCTTTACCAATCGTCCTATTGTGTTGTGAAGGAGGTCTTCAGCGGGGAAGTAAGAAGCCTTACACAACATGGTCAGGGGCCCGGCCATGGAGACCAAACATGAGGTGGCGCTTGGTGGCAAAAAGGCTTGCTGACGGAGTCTTGTACGTTTGACAATTCGAGATTGACAGTCCCAATCTGGAAGGAGAAAGCGAACAAATTCGGAAATCTGTGTTCCAACATTGGCCAGATTCGACATCAAAGGCAACGTGATAAAAACCCTGTCCGTAGGGAGGTCATCGAGGAGGGGCTTTTTCGGTAGAAGCGCAGTTACAGCCCGTGAATGTCGTGACGATCCCAAGGCAATGGCTCCAAGGTGAATGCTCATGTGCCCCGTGTAGCCTCGTAACAACCATGGCCGTAGCAATTACTATCCGATCTGCGACATGTGAGTTATCGGCCCCCAAAGATTTGCCTATACCTCGCACGACTCAGCCAAATCTGGTGTCTTGAGCGATACGCTGGCGCTCTTCGGAACGAGTCTGGTACTCGAGACCGAAAGACAGCGATCGGATCCTGAGTGTGTTATTCTGGATGTCTTCCCTAAGACTGCCAGTTCCTTTTCTCCTTTCGACTGCCATATTTTCATGATGTGGAAGTCCTTTCGGCTAAAGCCCTCTTGTGTCACCTGGAATGAATTTTGCTGCCCCGAGGGGTACAGTCCTGCAAAGGCAGGGGGTATGGCATGCTCGGTAGTCACGAGGCCTAGGCTCCAGGTCACAGAGCGTTTTCCTGTCGTTGGACTGGCGCAAAGAAACCTAGGCCGGTAGTCTCACGGCGCCTCGGCCAATCCGCTCTTTCAACTAGGAGCTTACGCTCGCTGGGTTGACCTTGCGCGAGAGACGAGTTCCGCGAAGACAGCGAGAGCATCGGAAAGTGAGCATCGGAAAGTGAGCATCGAGGGATTGGAGCTGACAAGATTGCTCGTCGTAGAACAAGAGCTGAAAGTTTCTTTCTTGACCGCCTTTTTGATAATTTCGCGAGGCAACCAGCATACCGGGTCCTTCTGTCGCAAGCCGTAGAGAGACGGGGGTGGCTCATTATAAGCCAAGTCAAGACCCTAGATGCCCGCGTCGAATGAGACGAGAAGTGATAGGCCGCTGTCACGTAGTCACTCCTTTCAGGTTTTGTCCACCTTGTCTTCTCCCGCCTCTGCACCGGTCCCGTACATACTCAGGCAAGAAAGCCTGCTGATAGAAGCCTCATTGGAAATGCACACCCCGTCGAGTCTGCGGCGCGTACGCCACATACAGCGGAAGATTTCTGCGGGACCAGGGAGCAGAGCCATAACCTTTTGATAGCTCTCTCTGCATACTTGCTTCTTCGTTACCGAGTGTCCGATGATGAAAAGGACCCGGTCCCTCACAGTCGCCGTAGCGGCTGTTACATTATCGAAGTGGTCCGTGTCTGCTTGATTGCTTTGCAAGGGTTGATGGCCGGACATGTAAGAGAGACGATCCGTTTGGCTCTCCTGTCGTCCTGCTAAGCCGCCCTGCGAGACATTCCTGGGATGGTAGGCCGGGAAGAAGCAGGGTTGATACCAGCAACGGGGCGCCTGGCCCGAATAGTCAGCGATAGATTGTGATCCGGAGGCATGGCTCATCCCAAGATTGACTTGGCAATAATGACACCGAAAGAGAGAACATGTGGCAAGCCGTCGTAAGGTACCAGAAAGGCCCTAGAGGTACAAAGTAGTACATGGGGCGGGTTCGGGACACGGTCCGGTCAAGACTCATGCTATATGGCCATGGCCATGACCCGGACTCCCAATAGACATGCTGTATGGGAAGCTGCTCTTGTCGAGAGCATGAAAACGTGGTCCTTGTTTTGAGATATCTGCTGGCTGGTGAGTCACATAGCTGTGATATCTGTATGTTGGAGCTGATGGCCGGCTTGAGCTACCAAAGTGTTGAAAAATGGAGCGAGACCAGTCGCATTGATTCAACTCGTCTGAATTCTGGTGAAGACATCTGTTCTAGGTTCTGGGCGGCATAGTTGCCATGGTTTGCGTTTTTGCGGCCTCCAAGGGGTGGGTGTTTGTCCAACAAAAACAATGTTTCCGGACAAGTATCAGTGCAGAAGGCTTGAAAGATTCGTTCACAAGGTACTCAGACTGGTGTAGCAAGGAAAGAGCCAGAAAAAGGTCAGAAACACGCAACGAAGGGAGAAAAGATGGCCGATGGCGGCGCGATGCTGTATGGCTGACGAGCAAATGTGCCTTTCAAGGGTCGGTGAAAGAGCCTCGGAGCGGTAGTGCCAGCGAGAGATGCAGCGAGGCAGCGGAGAGTCAAGGCATCGGATGAGGCCCAGAAACAGATCCAGCGGTAGCCACGGCAAGAAGATTTGTCGTTGAGCTTTTCTGTAAGGTGAGGTGAAGAAGACGATGTCTGGGAGCTTGGGGGAACTTGGAAGTAAAGGAGCAGAGTGTAATTGTATGTACTAGGGGTGTGGGTGTGAGTACCTGCCTTTACCCCATAGGGCCGGAGGCACAGAAAGGCACAGTGTGCGAGCAGTATTGTACTTTAAGGTAAGGTAGGTAAGGTACCCAGGAAGCAGCTCGTTCCGGCAGGCAGCCTGCGTCAGGTCTACTGGGCTTAGTCAATGTTGGTCGGCGACTCGGCGTACCGGGGATCAAAGAGCAAGGTACGGGTAGAGGTCATGGACAATGTAAGTTCAATGCCACCTCAGCATTGTGTCGTACCACATATTATATTACCTTAGATATTGCAGTTGTGAAGATGAAGACTAAGGTACGTTAGGTATAACAGGTATGGGGTACCTTAGGTAAGGTAGACGTGGGCAGGTTGATGATATGCAGGTTGGGCCGTGTAAATGAAGCACTCTTCCGCTAGCCAATGGGAAGACCCACTTGGCTGTCGGTACATTCACCTGAGGGCTCCACTTCTACACCGTACCGTGTGAGGGCCTTCCCTTCCAGTACTGTCAGCTCCATCCCAATTCGCGCCATCATTTCTCACCTCGTCACCAGTCCCAGACAGTGCAAGCTCTTTTGATCACCTTGGTCGACGACTGTTCATCGACCACGCCCGCCGGCCACACCACACAGCATGTACCTACATGTTTGTTTCCTCCTTTTCTCGAGGGGCTTGGACTGCATGGCTCCTTGCTGACCACTGTACAGCATTTCATTGATTGCTCAAGCTATGGCGCTCATCATCTCCAACAAGGCACCTAGGAGCAAGTTAACGTCGTCCACTTGAACGAGAAAAGCATTCATAATACTCCGTACCGAATGCTTCGTGCATACGTATCAGTACCTAGGTATCTGGGCCTGGTCGTCAAGCCGAAAGCAAGGAATCTATGGATAGACGACAATGCAATAATTATGCCGCCCTCAGCTCGTTCAACTCGCCTCCCAGGCGATGGATCGCTCGCCAGCCCTGTATCCGATCCATTCCAACCCCCCAAATGTTCAACTTGCGCGGCTGTTGTGGCCTCTAGATACGAGGTCTGATCCTATCCAAGTCGAATGCTTGACAAAGTTGCGACATAGCCTGGATGCCTCAGTGGCACATCGCATCAATCCGCAGACGCACACCAACGACGTCTCGACACCACTCTTGAAGCAGAGTCTTGCACCCCGCCTAGCCTCTACTTGCAGCATCTTCTATTCCCACGATTCTCCAAATTGTCCGGCACTTTCTCGTGTCACCACCCTCGTCGAAACCCCTGTTATGGCCTCATGCATGCCAGACCATTAGCAACAACAACAACAACAGCAACATCTTTCTTTACTGCAGCAAGTCCGCCGTCAAATCTTCTGCTACTCAGCCGGTGTCTGCCCATCACTGAGAGGATCCTGATGTCCGTGATACGTCACATCGCACAAGATCTGATCTCTGGAAGCAGGCAAAGGACGAAACATGGGTAAATGGTGCCTTTTACACTTCCATCTCGCAGGCGACGACGAAGAATCCGGCACATGCTGCTGGAAAATTAAGCTACACTCAATTCGGGGGAGCACATTATGATTTACATGTCGATGACATGCTGCTGGACACGACAGAGCAATCGTCAGCGCCCCCTCACACATCTGCCGTCCCGTCGGTATTAGCACCAGCAGTAGCAGTAGAAGCGGAAGCAGCGGCGGCGGCGTTGAAACGAGCCAAAGAAACGGCCACACTCAAATTCGAGCGGCCCGATCCGACGTGACTGGACCATCCTCGACCAGCTACTTACTAATTAGCCTCGATACATCAGCTTTCGTTTGGTCGAGCTTCGTCTCACGAGTGCTGGCCGTGGCTCCGGCTGTGTACAGCAAAGTGTCCAACACGCAGACCCTGCCCTGCTGGACTGATTCTTCTCCCAGCGGATATCAGGCCATAGGTCAACCGGCCAGTCCGGTGGCCCAAAAAGACCCGGAAATCAGACTTCTGAAACAACGAAGTTGGTTCCATGCCTCATGTATGGTGGCGCGCGCATCAGGTACAATTGTCTAGATCTTTCTGGACTAGTCAGCGGGAACCTGCACAAACGACTTGGTCAGCTAACGCATTGGCCTATATTGAGTCTGCACTTTTGAACACGAGGCGCAGAGCCTATCCTCCCGACACTAGAATTGACGACCTCAGGCAAAAGATTGGCCGGTCCGTACCATCTTTGGGTCAGTTTGGAATTAGCTTTGCCTGCTTTTCTCCCATTCTCGGGTATTGCGACATCCCATTGGATCCTCACGAAGAGGCACGGCTCAAGTTTGTTCTAATCCTGCATTGTCATGCTTCGGCTCCATGGATGATGAGTTCGGTCTTGCCAGCCTCGGAGAGGCGTTCAGTATTCGTACGGTCACTCAAGCCGCTAGTCAAAGTAAGCGCGGACAGTCTAAGAACACAGCGCCGTGGAGAGAAATGGTCCGATGGCAAGCTGTCAACCAGGTTAAGGCGAAACCCTATTCTCATCGCACGTGTCATGTGGCGAGCCTGTCTCTGCCGGCCGAGACACGTCTCTGCAAGTCGAGTCTGATCATGGTTCATCAGGACCGATTCTACGGCAGCTCGAGCGTTGTGCTCATAGACAAGCCACCAAAGGATGCTATGTCGCATGGGCGGTTTTAGGGCCGAAAGCTACGTGGTGGATCTTCAACAAGACCACGACTTTTGCCAAACGTGTCTTTGGTGTGGCTGTAGAAGACGTGAGGCTGCCTCCGCCATCCCCGTCAGCCTAGACTTGAAGTTCTCTGGCTGCATACAATTGTTCCGATGACACGAGGTCAGAGCTCCTCCAGAACGAATTCGCTACTATCATCTTTTTTTTCCAACCAATCCAACGACACTAAACGCAGGGTGTCGGTCAAATCTGGACGTCATGCCAACACCTGGATCTCAATGGCCGGGATTGTCCGCTAAACGCCCAAGGTCTCCTTTCGCGACAACTGCAAGCTGCCGTTGATAGCCTTCCTCGTTGCCAAGGGCAAATCCTTTCCCTATCTGAAGGGGTTGTTTGTGGCGTTTCATCCAGGCCCTTGATGAGCGGGTAGGTGCAGAATTGCTGCATGGAAGGAAAGCTCAGCGAGGCTTGGAAGGCGTCGTCTTCCGCTCACCAACCGAAGGACCTCGACTGACCCGGCTACACGCCGATGCAGGTCAGTAGATCCTCCGCTCCTTGGTTCGAAGAAGGCGCCTCGATCTAAGCCTGAATCCATCTGTTGTATCATGTACAGACAGACTATGGTGATGGAAACGTTGCTTGGGCTAAGAGTCTCTCACCATCAGGCTTGAGCGCTTGTCAGCTCGCGGATTGATGAGCGGTATAGCATCATTCCACCTTGATTGCACCCTTAGACACGGCCACAAAGACTTGCTTGCCTCAATAGCCCCATGGACCTGGGCCATTGAGAAGCTTGGCCAGCGGCAAAGTCGAGTTGTACAGACTCCCACCCCCCCTGACCAAAATACCTCGACTTTGGCCCTAGCCGGCTCCCGTTACCTTTGCTTGACGGCTTGGCGATGGGAAGTTTTCCTACCCTGCGCATTCGGTTCACACGCCTGTCATCGTATTCTAGCAAAGGAAGCACCAAAGGCAGGCAAAGCACGTCTTTTCGAGAAGTCGACCGGGGGTTCTGGGAGCTCTCCGCAGTGCTGCACGACTGAATGTCTCTTTTTGCCGTTGTCTCAGAGACTGCACAACCAATTTGCTGCTCGCGCGCGGAGGCCCCCGCCTTACCTCTTTCCGATATTGTATATTGTATCCATTACATCTTGGGCTTCTAGGACATCGGCCGGACCTCTGCTTGCGAAATCCAGCTGTCTGCTGCTTTTTTGTTTGTGCAACTGTCCCCAGCAGTCAGTCGCAGTTGGAGCCTCCAACCCATCTCTGTCTCTCTGTGCAATCTTGAGCCAGCCACATCTGGGGTTTCTCTGGCAGGGTATATAGATACCTTGCTTCCAAGATCCTGCACATTTTGGGCCTCTCGTAGACACTTCGACTTAGACAACTACATCTCCAGAACCGAGACTCCTTCGATATCCATCCAGAACGAATAGAAGCTATTGGTATCGACTTCTCAAGTTACTGCACCTTCCTCGCATTACGGCCTACAACAATTCACTTCGAAAGCCTATCCGATACTCGGACAGACAAGACATTGGCCAACAAAAGTCTAACATCTGATCAATACGAAAAGTTGGAACACGAGAGAATCGTCATATAGTACGTGGAAACCGCAACTCTTCCTCCTTTCCCCCTCGTGAACTATCACTAGGTCTCTTTGGCGCGATGCTCCCTCTTCGTAAGTTGTGGGTGGCCACCCAGGGCGATTTGCACCAGGGTTCGTTGGCTAGGATCCATCTTGCCGGTTCCCCCACGTCAGAACCTGATTCGCGTTGATTGAGGACGGGGACAATCGCTGGCTTGCTGGCCATTGCTGATGAGGCAGCTGCACAATCTGTCGCTGAAAGATTAATGAGAACTAACTCCATTTCAGGTACCTATAGCAATCTGTCGTGCTCTTCTTCCTGCGAGTAAGTAAGACCGCGTTCTCCATTCATCAACTCGTGTGGAGGAGAACGACCCAGCCAGACCATCTCCAACAAGGAAAGCGCAACCAGATAGGCGGGAAAGACAGCGGCTTGATGTGCGCTGCATGAGGCAGTCTTGGAATCCGCGCAGAGGATTTGTCAATGTTTACGGCACAGCTGTAACGGCGTGATGCTGTTCTTGCCCTACCCGTGGATCAACAGCGGTGTCTCTAACACGATCGATCGATCATGCTGGAGCGGTGGGTGATGCGCTCATGGGTCAAAAAGAAACGGCCACGTTTGTTTCTGACAGAGACGCAAGTTGGGTCCGTTGCTGACGGCAGAATTGAATTGGCTAGGTCAAGCAGGATAAAGAGCTGCACGCAAACCCTTGGCATGACAGGGGCACTCTTGGAGAGTCAACCGGTGAGTATTGAAGCCCCGTGAGCCCGCGTGGAGCGTTGGGAAGAGTTTCTTTCGAGTCGATTCTTGGAGCCGAGCGAAGAGGCAGAACAGTCTACAAGACGAGCATCGCGGCAAATCAAGCCAGTACCTACCGAATATCTGAGAGGGAAAAGCAACAGAAGCAAGTCAGTGGAAAAGGATTGGTTGAGTTTGTCGGGTGTGTTGGTGGGATGGTTGGGCTGGGTTGGTTGGAAATGGAGCCAGGATGTTTGTTATGGGAACATTGTGTGCTGACAGTTGCGTTGTCGAAACAGAGGATCGAGGAACTGGGGCGACGAGAGCGCTGTTCCAGCGCCAGCACCAGCACCAGCGCCAGCATCAGCACCAGATCACCGCCCCTCTACTACGGCACGACACCCCTCGTGGCCGGCACGGACGACCGTCGTATGAATCCTCAACAGCTGCCAAAGGTACCGTATTATCCGTCATCCTATTTCTGCCCCGCCTCCTTCCCTTCGGAATCCCTCCCTTTTTCGCGGCTCGCTTGCTTCCCTTCAGGCTTATCCAAGAGAGGGGGGGAGAACTCGTTATGGATACAATGCTCCTATCCTGGTTGGCCTGCCTTACCTGATCGAACAACCATAACAACCCCCTGCAATGTCACTTTTACGCTTCGTTCCCGAGCCCTCTTCCCTTCCGTTCCCTTCTTTCCCTTCCCATTTTCTTTACATCGAATCGCAACGGACGCTGTGCCCTACGGATACTCAGTACCCGGAAATCGAAACGAAAAAAATCGGCTGGAGTAACAATTGCGGCGGATGCTGCAACATACCAACAACAATAACAACAATGGACCGGCATGTTCATCAACTTTGATTGATTAAATCGGCCAGGAACCCGTCCATCGGTCGGCGGATGGGGTCGGATCTGCTGCACAGCTACCTAGCTCATCAGCAGCACATTTACGATTACGATCCGGCACAAATTAGCATTATCGGCAAGACGAGACATTGCAAGACAAGACATTTTACGCACAGGACAAGACGGGCGAGACAGACGCGCAGAAACCAACAACGCCTTCAACGGGTGGCGCAGGCAAGGAAGGGCGGGCGAGTCGAGGGCTGGTCCACGCCCAGATCCACGTTCCTAGCCACGTCCCGACGGCCTGATCCTGTCCCGAAGTACGGACAGGCAAGGAAGCGGGCCGAGTGAGGCTTTGCGAAAAGGTGCGTACGCGATTTGGCTCTCATTGCTTTTTCCAATGTCTCTCCTGCCTTGCACACATTCGTCGACGGCACTTTGAGTTCGTCTTGTTTCTCGTTTTTCTTCCCTCTCGCCATCTCAAATCACCTGCCTCCCCTTGGAATTGCATGCAGACCAGACAGAGCAAGAGGAAGAAGGGGGAAAAAAAAGCAAGGAAAACAGAACAAGGTTGAGGGAAGAGAGCAGAGCAATGCAGCAGAACAGAGCACATTTGGGCGCCCATTCGAGGACAACCAACATGCATGCAATTGTTCCAGTCGCATGCTTTTGTGCTTTATTCGTTTCTTTGCTCTCTCTCACACTCTGTCGCTCTCCTCTGGGGCCTTGAACTTCCATAGGCCCATCTGATGGGACGAGGAACATAAGACTCGGAGACGATTGGTACTACCACCAATACCACTACCACCATCAATGTCTTGTCCCCCGACACTCAAATGGCGCGCTGCTGGGGAGGGGGCATCGCGGTGCCTCTCACTCATTGAATCACTCACTCGCTCACTTCTGGGTTGATGTGAGGTATGCCAGCCGGGCGTGTGAGCTTGAGAGGGAGATGTGAGCATGCAGATAAGTGTGTGTATGAGTGTGTCTGCTCTGCAAGACTTATCACTTTGGCCTGTCGGCAGGCTCGCTCATCTGCAAGTCATGCAAGCAAGTACACTGTGGTGCCTGATGGTACTGGATTGTACCGTGTCTTTCCCATGTTGCCTCTTCTCCTCTCTCTTTCTCTCTGACGCTCTCTCACTCTCACTCTCACTCTTACTCGCCCACACACACACACACACCACACCACACGCACACATACACACACACACACACACACACCTTCCCTCTCACTCTCCTTCCCTCTGTTTCTGTCTGTCTCTGTGTCTCTTAGCCTCTCTTTCTTTCACTCAGTCTCTCTCTCTCTCTCTCTCTGTGTGTCTCCCTTCCCCTACTGCTGTCTCCCTCTTCCCCCTCTGCTTCTGCTGCTCCCGCTGCTGTTGTTCTTCTGCCGCCGCCGCATCCACTGTGTCTCCTCATCGGTCGGGCTCAACGAGACCGACCAGGCCCAGACCGGTCAGCCCCAATACCAGCACCCACCCCCTCCCTCTTCTACCTCATTCTCAGGCTAGTTTATCGCATGTTACCTCCTTATGGGAAGATGTCTCTCTTTGGCACGCCCAGCTAACTATCGCCCATGATTGCGCCGCAGGTCACTCGCTTGTCCCCTCTGTCTGCTTGTCTGTGGCGGATCACGCCTGAGGCGTCTCGCCCCCGCAACACCCACACAGCTCCTCCCCCGGCTACTACTCCAGCAACGGCACAGCTTCCAGATCACTTTGCGAGATCTCATTCTTATTCCCATCATCTTCATTCTTCCAAGAAAGAAGAAAAGGCTACGATCTAACAAGTGCTGCCATCCAAACAGGAGTTCGAACCGTCGACAGGCTATGATTACCTTGACATGCAAGCAGCTTCGAGCAATGACATGCGGTATGTAAACTTCTCCTTGATTTTGATCTCGACTCCTGCCCGGTCCTTGTCTGGACATGGCTTCTGCTTCTTTCTCGGGACTGCAGGATTGTAGTGCTGCGGTGTGCAGGCCTGGTCGGTCATGGCTTTCTTCAGGGTATCCAGTCACTCGGAGCCCTGGTCACAATTTCACCACCGACTTGGCAATCGTACTCCTCACTCTGCGAGCCCTACTAAAGATACAGACTTCTTTGGCTCGAATTCTTCTCTTCTGATCGGTTCTCGGCTCAGCGTCCTAGTTTGGCGTGCCTTGGACGCGGAAAAGACGTATGCAGAGACAAGGGGATCTGATCTTTGCAGCGGCGAAGGATGGACAGGCGTGGGTAGCTGCCTTCTGGCAACCAACGTGCGACTAGAAATCCGCAGGCGTTCCCGCCTATCGCAGCGAGATGGTTGTGCGTCCTCGCATGACCCGATCCTGTATCCGCTGGCCGTTGTGCAACACGCTGCTGGCAGTACGACGAGTTGGTAGCACTGACACTGTGTCTCGCATGCGGATGCGGTACAGCAGTTGTCGTGCCAGGCTCCAACCCTTTTGCTTTGTACAAGCCTCTTCTTTCGGGGAGCCACTTGGGCTGACGAGAACATCAGATACGAACACAACGCCAATGCTTCTCTGTCGACGATCGAAGGCCCGCCACAACAGTCGACACTCTTAAACCTGTTCAATCCACCTATAAGCAACACCACTCCGTACTCCGCTGACGGCGGCTTCTACCATCCAGCCACCTCTCACGTCTACCCCAGCCTGGACGTCGTCAGGCCTCGCCTGGGTTCAAAGTAGGTCGCACACTGTTGCCCCCCTCCGACACGCTACCAGATGGAATCGATCCTATCCTGTCAAGATAGAAAGACATGGTCAAACTCACAGACTTACTTGACAGTAGCACCTCTTCAACGGGTATGGCACATGCCCACCGCTCCACAGCATTACCCCATCCTGGCACACACATCAGCACTCGAGACCAGTATTCTCCAGCGACGCCATCCTTCAGGAGGGTGTCGGAGCACCAGCCTAGATCTCCATCGTACCCGACTGCTCTACGCCGTCACCCCATCTCGCCAACTTCCAGTCCCATTACCGGTTTCACGGCGCCCACGGCTCTGAGGATGGACTCCGGTCACTACCCTTCGTCCTCCTCGAGGGTACAGGCGAGCGTGCCTCCACTGGGCAGCATCAACCCCCTCGGCATTCTCCAATACACTGACGGAAACATGGGGCAAGTCAAGATTGACATACAGGGCAATATCGACAAGGGCTTCTTCCAGTCTGAAGGAGACTGGACCTGCTACAGGAGGAACTACTTTTCTTGCATCTGCTCATTCGGCCTGACCCCGCACTATCCTGGTCAGGGTCTACAATTCACACCGCAAGGCTCGACACAACCGTACTCAGTTCTCGGTTTCGCCATGTCCATCTCTGCTGTTGTTGCTGAGAACGATGCCCATGTTATCGACCTCGTACAGCATACGCCTAAAAGAGACAAAGGTCCCGTCGAGAAACCCGGCAAAGTGCGCCTCCACCCGAAACATCCTCAAATGTCGCATCCTCTCGGCCTCTACCCCCACGATACCGGGATGGGAGGATCGTCAAGACTCGGCGGGTATGATGCCCCAGGGGGATTCGTTGGTCAACAAGGTGGCGGTGACTCGTACCAGACAGAACACACATTTGAGCGCATCCAATTCAAGCAGGCTACAGCAAACAATGGGAAGAGGCGAGCTGCCCAACAGTACTATCACCTTTTGATTGAGTTGTGGGCCGATGTAGGATCGCAAGGCCCGGACAACTATGTGCGGGTCGCCTATCGAAAGTCGGCCAAGATGATTGTGCGTGGCCGGTCGCCAGGGCACTATCAGAGCGAGAGGCGCGCCAGCACAAGCAGCGGGCCAGGAGGCTCGGGCGGGAGCTTCACCGGATACCCCACTAACTCGATCATCGGTCCCGACTTTGGGGCCGCAGGTGCGATGGTCGGAAGCGGATACGGGGGAGGCTTTGACTCCCGGGGAAGCGCCCATTACGGGTCGACACGACACCATCCGGAACTCGAGACCATGCTGCCGCCAGAAGACGCCAAAGCCATCGAGACGACGAAGGAATACCAATATTATCCAGGTCATATTTACGACACGAGCGATTCCAGGGGTGGCGTGGAAATGTTCACCCATAGCCGACACGCGCAGGACAACTTGGTACCGCACATGACGCCAACCTACGATCCTCTTCACGACAGGGTCAAGCGGGATCCTGAGGGGGCGATGTTGCCAAGCATTTTCCAACCTGGGGCACTCGTGTCGAATCAAAGGTGCGGTCCTTTTGAGGGTAAGCCGACGTCGGGTGGGTACTACCCAACAATGGTGCCCCCGTCTGGTGTCAATGTCTCCAACATGACATGAAGAGACATGAACACAAGCAATTGTTACGGATACCAAGTCCGCCATGGTAGATCGCGGTCTGTACAATGAGGAACCCCGCAGCGGTTTTGGGTCCACCAGCAGAAAGAGGACAAACCGTTTATCAGCAAATAGCTGTTTTTCTTTGGGGTCCTCTTCTTCTGTTTTCGTTTTTCGAGGAAATGATGAAAATTTGGCATAAACACGAAGGCGAGATTTTGGCGTATGGGAGCAACACAGGCATCAGGAACACCACTCGATACCCGAACGAGACTGAATGCATCGTTGACATTGAGTAAGCACAACATGGGCAGGGGGGAAAACAAAACAAAGGGATCACGGCGAATTGGCGCGCGGAAAAGAGAAAGATGATTGTTGGTTTGAAATGGGATGGAGGGAAATTTGGCCCCAGCACACCCCGACATTGAAACATTTTGGGAAGGAAAAGTTTGGGAAAAACAAAAAATACATTGTCGGCCAGGGGGCCAAGGGGGGGGGGGGGGGGAGGCGGGACACGGTGAACGACAGATATTGTTAGGGATACCCGCCGCGCATTGTTGTTTTGGGATCTCGTTCTCTATTTTGTTTCCCGTTTATGTTTGGGGTTTCCTTCGTTCACGGCTCCTCCTTCTCTGTTGTAACCCCACCCCCCCTCTCTTTCTCGAAAGGCCATGCGGCGTTGTAATAATGTGAGGATAAGGAACATTCGCTTCAACAAAGACAAAGTTTTTATTTTCCTATCGAGTCGGACATTGAGAGGAGAGAAAGATACCACGGCATGATGGGATATGGAGACTAGTGCTTGGGGGGAGGATGGCGTACGAAGTTTCAAGGCGGAACGGACTGAGTGTAGTTTTCTTCTGGAGGGCCAGGTACTGGGGAAGCAGCGGCGGGTGCCAATGCCAGGTACTTGGTTTGTTTATTATTTTTTGGAGGGGAGATCAATTGTGGCAATTTCAGCTTGAGCTTCTTGACCCTTTCCCACATGTTCTTGTCCTTTGCGGCGAAAATTTTGACAATGTTATCCCACCCCCAAAACATGATTGGTGCCTCTATATGTCTATGAAACTGTGCCGCACATGAATGAGCTCTGAATCTATTGTCCGCTACAGCAGTCTGAATGGACAGAGTGCGAAACATCTCTTTGTTCGTCTTTGAAGAAATCCAGAAATCCCGAAGACGGGTATGGCTGAAATGCGACAGGACGTGCAGCCGCGCAGAAGGGAAGGAAAGGCTGGGCACAGTCCGAGGGGGATGACAGTGGGAAGGGTGGGTGGATGGTTGGATGGGTGGGGGAGGATGAGCATCCCGCCCGTTTTTCCCTCCCCCCCCCCCCCTTGTAAGCTACGAGAAAAGTGCCAGAGAGAATTAGGAAAATGCAAGGTTAAAAAAGGCAAGCAAACCTGGAAATTTTGCGACATGCCTTCCCTTTCTCTTTACCGGTACCCCTACCCCTGCACGAGCTGCACGAGCTGCCTCTGTCGGCTTGGCCCGGAGATCATAGCCAGCCCTTGTTAATTTCCACCCAATATGAGCCCTTCACCTACCCGATGGCTGGCAGACAGGTCTGGCCTACTGTGGTAGAAGGGGGGTGGGGGGTGTGGTGGTGTTTAGTTTGGCACATTCACGGGTTCGTGGGTGGTGTGGTGGGTTTCACGAGGGGGGCAGGGCAGGGGGTGATTGGGAAGTGGAAAGGGGGGGATGAAAAAGGGCCTTGTTTGGGGGGCAGGACTGTCGTGAGGTCCCGCAGATTGCAGAATTGTCTCTTTTCTCTCGTTCAAGGGGGGGAGGGGATGGTTCCATTGGGCCTCCTGTCACATACCTTATGCGAACCAGTTAGAAGAGGAAGAGGGACTGAGGAGAAGGATATGGAGAGATGAAGTCGACGAGAAGGGGGGAATGGATGTAAAGAGGGTACGGGAGGGTATGGAAAGAGAGAGTTGCAGAAGGAGCGTAAACCTTCGTGCAAAAAAAAAGGCAAAGCAAGGCAAATTAGTCGCTGAGAAAGGAAAAGAAGTTGAATTCCCGCCAATATGGTTCTATACGAACCTTGTCGGAACACAGCATGAACGACGGGAAGATGGTCAGAAGAGAGTTGTTCAGGTGCTCTGCTATATCGGAGAGGGTGGGCAGACGGGATTGCGAACTTTGCAAACTTTGCTAGCTGTAAGTGAGAAGGGGAAAGGGGGGGGCTTGGGAGGGATGGGGGAATGATGAGAGAATTTGAGCGATGGTGATGTCGGAAGCCGTTGGTTCATGCGCGTGAACGGGAGACGCCGACGGGTGCATGCGGATCGAGTTTGGTATCTGATTACCTCACTTTCAAGGAGTTGAGAACAATTTGTTTTGGGGGTAAAGTGTGTGGGAGATGATGTTTTCTTTTCTTGGCTCTGTTAGTCCCCGTTCCGCTGGATTGGCTGCTTGGGCTGCTTGGGCTGTGCAAAAGACGCGGCGACCCGTTTGATGTTGGGAGGCAAGGATGTGTGCGTATCTTGGGTGACGAAAAGAGGCTTGTTTCCATCGGATGGTTGGTTGGGTGGATTTGTCGCACGGCGTCAGTTGCGTTCTTGGGCGCCTACCCTGTGATCATCTTTTTTGCGATCTAAGGGTGGCTGTGTCGTTGTGATCGGATGAGAGCCCCAATGTCCCAGTTGTATGGGTGCATGTAGATGCCAAAATTTGGATGAATGATTGTTGTAGTTCTTTTCGGTGTGATGATGTGATGGGATTGATAAAGCGGGATGGAAGGGAAAAGCAAGTTCACCCAGTATCCATACCTACCTTGAGGTATGCAGTAATAATGGAGCCCGGATTAAGAGATACAAGTCCGGTACAGGGTAGTTACGTACCCACCTAGTCTTTTTAAGATGGGGAAGGTGGAGTACGGAGCAGAGTGGTTGAGAGGAAGGCAGGGGATACGGGTGACGGGCTTAGGTAAGGGAAGAAACGGTCGGAATGGCCCGTGGTTGGCAGTCGTGGAAATCGAAAGGACACAGATGACGGTATGCGCGACCCGAATCGCCGGAAAGTGGCAATCTCGGCTGATGCCTCTTGTTACCAAACTCGAAAAATTGCGACAAGATTGGCTTTGTCCATTGTTCGATGGATGGGCAAATAGAAGCGGGTGTAAAACGGCAAGATGAGAAGGCTGGGCAAAAGGAGGGTTGAGATTCGACGTCCTGTACTCTATACCCTAGCCACTATGATACCCGCCATCGCAAGGTAAGGTTGGTGGGGGAGATGATTGTGATTCTGCCCAGGTTTGACAGGCGACAGGGTGGAAGAGTGCCTTCAATGCGGAGGTCAGGTCCGAAAATGCATAACTCGTCTTATTCGCCGTCTCTTCGGATCTTCGGAGCCTGCTTCTCGCCGGTGCTTACCTTGGTGAATGCTCGCTTACCAATGGTCCCCTGTAATTTCCTTCCATAAGCTCGTCGTTGCTTCCCAGCCTCACCCAAGGTAGTTGCTACCTTACCTAAGATCAGATCATGGGTGCAGGTGAGGCAGGCACGTTTGGGGGTTGGTATTTTGTGAGCAAATTCTTGGGAAAGAACTCCACACTTTTTTTTTTTTTTTTTTGGATTGATGTCCAATTAAGGTTTTTGAGTGACATTCTGTGGAGAGAGGGGAGGAAGGAGCTTAGCTAGGAAACCTCGAGTTACTTTTTTTGGTTTTGGTCTAGGGGGGATGGGAAAGGCAGCTTCCGCGGGCGGGCAGAAAAAGAAGAAAGGATAAACTAAGAGGCACGCACGAGTGGCAGACGGGGAACGGAATGGAATGCGAAATGGGCTTGGCTTACCTACTTAGTCTTGCATCTCCGAGACCACTGGGCCTTATCAGCCTTGTCCCTGTTGGACTTAGCACCATGGGCCTGACTATGGTGGGGGGGAGACCAGGACAGCACCTCCAGAAAGAGACGGGAGGGACAAGGTAGCCTAGAGGTACGGTGGGCGGCCGAAGAGGGACCTCCAGAGGTATCTCCGCTAAGACATTTGAGAGGCAGAAATGTCTGAGATATTTTATCATTGCGGGCTTTCAATCCCCGCGTGCCATATTTTTGTCTCTCACTTTCCACCTGTCTCACGCTTCCCCCTCGACAGATTTCCGAGTCCACGCGGACGACTCAGAGGTTTTGTATTGAAAAAACAGATGACAGTGGAGAAAGAGAATGCACGAGAGATAGCATGGATAGCATGTCACTACCTATGTGTTTTGCAACTTAGGTACTCCGTTCCTGGGCATGAGGGGGCTAGCAACTACCTCACCTTAGCTTGCTTAGCACTGCTTAGGTGGGAGCTTACCACCTTAGCTGGGTCCAGGCCCTGCGCGCGCCTAGCTACAGAGACGGCGTCCCGTGGCGGGGATTAACCATCTCAGCCCGGCATATCTTTTAAGTGCGGCCGCTTGCGGCCAGATTAGCTTTTGTTGAAAATGCCACGGCTTGTTCCGTCTTTGGTCTGCGCTAAGATAACTCAACAATCGACCAGCCTTGGCTTATAAAAATTCCAGAAAAGACACGTCGTCGAGTATCGGTGAAATCTGGACGGAAAGTGGATGGGACGAACGGCGTGCTAGGGTGCTGGACAGGGTGCATGGTGCACAGTGCGTGACCCGGTGCTGGTGAGCGTCCATCAGACGGGAGGGTTGTGGTCGGCCTGGGTGCGGGGTACCCTTCACCGAGCACCGAAGGGATGATCCGATGACAAAGATCCATCTTGCATCTCACCTCACTTACCTTAGGTAGCTTACCTTGAGGTACCTAAGGTACTCTTGTCACTTGCTGCCATCCTTGGACTCAGACTCTCTCTCGGACTCTGACACCTTACCTGCCTGACCTAGTCCATCTATACTACCTTACGCCAGCCTTCCAATCTCTTTCTTCCCTGACCATGAGCCATCCTTCTCAATATCAGCCACCATATCACACTTTTACATCCAGAATTGGACTTGAACGTGGTTGTGGACGGAATGCCGGCTTCGATCTCAGACCCTCTCAGAGCGTCATCGATTTCGTACCCTTGCTCCATGCCAGGTCACCTCCCTTTCCCCGAGTCTTACTTCCAGCCTTGCCCTTGTCTCGGCAATATCATCCTGCTGCTACGTTATTCGTCCGCTCTCGGCTAACGGTCTCAGGGCCGCGCCCCATCATCTACCTACTCATTGTAATTTTACCGCTGAATACATCGCCAAAATCCCCCAATTCATCAGGGCATTCCAGCTCCAGCTGGCAACCAAAACACTCACACAGCCCGTCTCCCGTTGGCGTCTAGTGCTAGTAGTAAGCAACTCAATTAGCCCATCTCCACATGTAACTGGAGCCAGTGCTAGCGTTGTACAAACTTTCAATCCTCCTCAGCCTTACCGATATCCTTAGAGATCCTCACATCTGACCCCTCTAAGCCGGCACGTTCGCGCTTCAGGGCTCCTGGGAGGAATGCAACGCCATCCCCCCTACGTCTTACTACATGCAGATCATAACCTCTGGATCCCTTCACCACGCCGTCATCCGCTGACATTGTGACATGGTACCGACGACCTGATGATCACCATTCCTTCTTCTCAGCTGGCATTGCCCACCGTGCCATCCTCTTGCCCTAGTTTTTCACCAAATCCACGAAGTCCGGCCACGCGTCTTTCAGCCAGCGGTAAAGCTTCCGCAAACGAGCTGGGCAGACCCTGAACTGCCGCCACACTGTGTCTAGGGTGATTCCCCTTGCCAAGCTACCACCCGTTCCGTTCCTTGGTCGTCGTTAGCTCGTGGTGGTCATTCGAGTTCCGGCGCTTTCTAGCCGCCGGTCGTTCCTCGAATGTCACGATCATTCTTGGCAAGAGTTGTAGCTCCAGCTTCAGGGACTTGCCGCATAATCCCTGAGAAACTCGGAGCCAGATCCCTGCATCGCGCATTTGCACCGAATCTGCGGATGATACTCTTTTCTGAGCAACAGAGTACACAGGACGTTCCTACTGGGTGCCTCGTCCGTTGATCTGCCTGATCTATTCAATCACCGCTCGATATGCCGTTCTTCCCAGGAACCACCAACAATACGATGCCTCTCGTGACATTTTCACTCAATCGAGAGCCGCTACGCATCGTTGAAGCCGAGCGGATTTACGCGTGAAATACGAACATTCAAGGGGACAGCCACTCTTACGATCTAGGCATGTTCAAATGGGGCGGCAGGGGTGGTGGCTGATTACGATCTCGTCGGGCCGAGGGGTGCACAACAGCGGGCATTTACGGCCTGCGTCATGAATTACTCACTCGGGTTTGCTGCCCTACTGGCAATAGCCCCGTTCCTCTTTTCTTTTTCCATGCCCTCCACGGGCTTACCTAGGGCCGAGAACGGAAAACGTCTTCCCAGTACTCGTTTTCGTTCCCGGTTAGGTCCTCATCCCTCTTGCCGAAGAATGCAACGTCTCTGTGGCTGGATCACGGCTGGGAGTCAAGTGGTGGACCAAGGAAAACAAGCGCCATGTGGCTTGCGGGTTGCCGGCTCCCTCTTTTGAGGGGGGGGGGGAAGGGCTTCGGGTCCGGCTGTATGTGCATCGGAACCTTTCCCCTCATCATGAAATTTCGTGAAGGCATGAGAGTCTCACTTTCATCTGCGCGAATGTGGATCTCCAAACGCGGTGTCTCAGTCCCCTCATCCCTTGTCCCTGGCAATGGGAAGGAAGACAAGACTCGCTCTCTGCTCTGGTGTCTCAGGGAGAATCAGGGGACCCAAAAGGGGGTAGTTCGTCACCTGTCTTTTCAGTCCATCATGGAAATGTGGTCAGATGCCTTGAAGCACCCAAACATCGGCTATTGTGTTTCCGCAAGAGGGGCTATTATCGTATACTGCTAGTTGATGAGCAGCTATGGTGTCAATAGTCAAGGCTGAACGGGGGGCACGACTACTTTATTGCAGCTGCGAAAGTGCGTATGCGGAGACGTCATGCTTCTTAGAGGGGTTCAGTTCAATCTCCTCTTGTCATTTTTTAGTGGGATGTCTCGGCTGCGAGGGTATCGGATTTGTTTTGATATGTCACTGAGGCTTCCTCAAGGCTTTTATGCGTCTTTGGAGATGGCGAGGTCTTCTTTGAAGCTCTCTTCTGTTGTATATGATCTGCGTGCCTAGATGAGGTTGAGCTTCACATGGGTTATTTGATCGGATGATTTATAAGGAATGCATTCATCGTCACTTTGGATTTTGGAGGCAGTTTCTTCCGGAAGATACGAGGACCAAATAAAGTGGGAGGTAGTTAAGTGGCGCAAGAGCCCCAATTACATGGTTAAAGCTCATACAATATAGCTTTTGATATTGCGAAGGATGTGGTATCTGGGCCAAGGGAAGTGTTGGCTTGCCTTGCTTTCAGGATTTTCTCTTTGCATCTTCTCTTTCTTCATAGGGAACGATTTAGATACAGGCCGGTATACTACTCGAAGAACGACATGGCCTATTGAAGAGCAGACAAGAGGATACCGTCAGAATACGTGATTCAATCCGTAGATATATCAAGGTCTACACGTGTAAGGGGACTCTTGATGTGATGACGCTGTATGTCAAAAGTCTCCAGGAAGACCTATAGATGTAAAGATACCTTAACATTCATGTATGGGTCCCCCCCCCCCCCCCCCAACACCATCGAGTTAGATATCGCAGTAGCATGTGCTTGTCTAATCCGGCCAGGAGGCCTGACGACTACTTATCATCCTATAAGTTTCGTTGTCTCTATATCGTTTTATAGAATGGAAAAGCTAGGCAATTGCCCAATTTTCTTATAGGAAGTCGTCCCATCACGGTTCACGCGATTGCAAGATTGTCACTGCCACATCCTGAGAACCCTTTCTTCATTTCTGGCTCCCAGGAAGACCATGGCCAATATTAATTGGCCGGAAGTTTAAAAACAGGTTTCTGTGAATCACGAGACTCATGCGTTCGTGATACTGCTGAGGCGAGAGGGAAAAGAGACAGTGTCAGCATTATCGCATGATATTCTCAAGCATTGTGTCTCAACTCAGCACAGGTCTTCATTTGAAATCACTCTCATAGTCTTGTTGAGGGGGCAGATGAGATTTGGAAAGGGAAATCTTACAGACACGATGCGTCGTGGCATCCACTATAGTACCTAGTAGACAAAGGGAGGGGGGAGCAACTTGAATAGAGTCTGATTTCTTACTGCTGCTGCTGCTGCTGCTGTAAAATTGAGTGTAGAGCATTGATCTGGGAAGACGAGAGATCAGAGCCCAAGCCGAGGTCTTGACGAAGACTACAAAGACTAAAACTTCTTCATATCATCAGGAACCTCGAGGAAGTAGACGTTCTTGAGTAAGATATGCACGATAACCGGCTGTCCATGCTCAACAAAGCCTGCTATACGACAGTTGATAAGCTCTCTAGTACTAGGGGGGTTGAGGAGACTAACCAAGTCTCGGCGAGCAGCAATTTGGACTACATCCGCACACTCCCGGGCCTTTTAGTCCAGCAATCGCTGTATCTGGTGGGCCTCATGCCCTCTGACCGGATGTCTGAGAATGCCTCAAGCTCAGTATTATTGAATACATGAACCGAGGAGCCTAGGCACAAGGTAGAGAGAAGATACTTCATCAATTGACGTCTATGAATTGCCGGTGATGAGGTGCCACGGATATTGAGATTGGTCTTACTGACACTGAGACCTCTGGAGCCTCTCACCTCGTTGCCTTGATGTGACTACTCAGTGTTCCTGTATGGCATGATTAAACGTGAGGTGAAAACATTCATTTCCATCGGCGTTTGTGTTCCTGATCTTTCCTGTGAGCCAGTCCGAGGGGGCAGTAGGTGACTTGCTTTCCACAAACACTCCTTGACTATATTCTGGAGGATAGTCTAACGTCGTCTTTGGTGCAACCTTGTAGTTGATGTCGAGAGCTTTAGAGATTGAGTAAATAGGCTGTGCGTTTGTTGGGGACACCGGCGCTTGTAGGTTGCTCATCATGTTCGTGTAATTCTAACGTCATGGAGCTGGTGCCGACTCACCGTGGCCTGTCTACTCAAGGATGGGGGGACCTCTCGTACGAAACATTATCTGAAGAAGTATTACTATGTCGGACTCTGTAATCTCTACTTGCTAGGTACTTGGAGTCAGGAAACTTGGGTCGCATTTACATACATAATGCTGAGTTCGACTCGTCACCCAACGTAACTGGGTCCTAGGTTGTTGTACCATGACTGAGAACTTACAGCAGCCTTATGCTCTGAAGTCTTTTACGGACTTGGCTCACTTCTAGATGTTGAGAAGTGCTGCCATGTGTGTGTCCAAAGCTCGAGCATAATACATATTGTCATACGTGATGGCTCTTTCAAGATATGTACACCTCGGCGTGAAAAATGAACGAACCTCCGCAAAGACAACAGCAAATCGAGGTCGTTCGCTTTGATTTTAAAGACTGATACTCGTCCCTTTCTGCCCTTTATGTCGAGACAGCCGCAAAAACTCGCCTCAGTAGCCCGCGCCGGCACGTAGAACGACACATCCTCTCATGCTTTCTCAAGGATTTGTCAACCGGGACGTTTCTGCAGCACCGGTCTGGTTTTCAGTTCTCCGGGGAAGCCTATCTTTGTACACTACATTGTCTTGAAACGGAGGGTTTTCCAAGAACAGAAGCGGCGTCGGTATTCGAACATGTATCGCTGTACCAAAATCTGAGTCTCCTGACTTGTCAGCGTGTAAGCAAGCCATTGTGGTCTGCGCAGTAGGCGTCTCCCCTTCCCGTAGAGCATGGGCCGGGGAGAGGGAGAAGTTGCTTCTTTTTGAGAGTTGTGAATTCGTGTGCAGGTTCTAGAACATCAGCTCTGTAGCTTGTTTGTTCTCGGGATATGACCAATATCATCCGGGGCATTGACGGCACGTCAAAGTACCAGCTATAGGGAGATTGAGATACTCCAAAGGCCTCTACAGATTGGAAAAATTGCTGTCATTAACAAAAAGTCTCAATAGCCGTAAGACTTCTCAAAGCCCAAGTCTATCGTCTTGTATAATTCGTAAGGAAACGTCAAGGTATTACCATCAGAGATCTCTTACCCGTCACCACACCAGTCACATCAAATATGCCCTCAAGCGTGTCCCTTCCTCATGTATCAGCCCGCATACACCACCGACCGATCTGCAAGAATCCCAAAAAGCGGCCTCTCCAGCGTCTCAACAGCCATCCACCCGCCCTCGGGAATCTCAACAATCGTCCCGTCAACACACACCTTCCGCCACCGAGGATCCGACTCCCCAATCGTAACCCGAACCTCCTCCGCGTCCTCGTACCCGAGATAGTCCTCTCTCCCCTCCGCATCCGTCCACTTCATACCCACGTGGGCGCCCTCCTTATACGCAGCCATCATGATCTCCATCGTCTTCTCCCCGCCCACGGCCCCGAAATGCACAAGCTTTAGCCTACCCTGCAACGGCTCGCTGTCCGGCGCGATCGTGAACGTCTTTTCCAAGTTCGACACCATGGCCGCGAGGGCGTACCCGAACCTCTCGCGCTCCACGCGCCTCCTCCTCCTCCCCTCCTCGCCCGATGCCGCCCCCGGGGACCGCACCTCGACTGTGGCGACGTAGGCGTGGCTTTCCTTGAGAAGCTCCTGCGCGACCATGCCGAAGCGCTTGTCGCCGTGTTTGCGGTACTCGGGCGTGTCGCTCTCCCAGACCAGCTGGGCGTGGAAACCGTAGCTGGCGACGATGGCGCCGAAGAGGTGGTCGACGCTCGTGTCGTGGCGGGAGAGTGCCGTCTCGTCGTTGCCGTGACCACCGCCGTCGCCCTCGCCCTCGCTTGGAGGCGCGTGCGGGCCCGGGTCCGCCGTGTAGGAGATGAGACGGGCGCCGGGGGAGAAGGAGGCGCGGAAACTGGGTAGTGGGCGCGAGGTGCCGAAGAAGAGGGTGCGGAGGCCGAGGACCATGTGCGAGGGCCCATTCTCGACGTAGAGGGGTTTGTGGAGGGAGTGGAAGCAGGCGTTGCCCGTGCCGAGGGGTAGGAGGGCGAGGGTTGATAGGGTTGTAGTGGCGGGGGATGATCCTGTCTCCTTTTCCCCCTTCTTCTTCTCCTCCTCGCACCCGTTCAAGAGGTCAACGACGCCGCCGTCACCACTGAGGAGAACAATGGTCTCGGTCCGGGGTGAGGAGGCGGAGCTCGAGGTGGCTTGTCTAGCGGACCACCTCTCCTTTGCGAATTTGCGAACGCTGTCGGCGTCTTCCGTTATCAGGACATTGAAGCTGGAAGGCAGGCCATCGGCGGCCGATAGTCCTTCTGGAGAGAAACTAGACGCCAAATCTCCAGACGTCGTGTTTTGGCCGGCAAGCAGGATCAGAGGCTGAACGACGCCGTCCCAGAACTTTGGCGCGTGACCCAGCCCGGACTTGGTAGAGACCACAAAGTGTACGTCGTGGCTTTCCGGCCTGGGCGTGAGATGCTCCGGAAACTGCGGGAGCAGGAGCTCGCGGCTGGTGAGCTCGACAGGGAGTTGGCCCTCCACGAGCAGGATGATGTCGAGCTGATAAGGGGATTCCTTTGCCTCGGGGTCTTCTTTGAGGACGCAGATGATGGGACCCGAGACCGGATCGCTTCTCGCGGGAATGATGAAGACGATCTCCTCCGGGCGAGCGGACTCACTGCCGCTTTGCGTGGTGAAGGTGAGTTTGCCGTCGGTGAAGGCGGCATCGCGGGCGTGGCGGGGTACGAAGCCGTGAGCGCGGGGCTCGGCCAAAGGCTCGGCGCCTTCCACGTTGCTCATGTTGGGTCCTTGATCTCTGAAGAAAGGGGTTGATTTGAAACTGTCCGGCTAGAAAGTATACAGGTCTGTCACCTCGAAACCCCTCTGCCGGTTATTTGAATATGGCGATATACCGGTGACGTTAATGCGAGGTTTATCAACACTCGAAGGTGGAACCAGGCAGCCAGCCACCAGGGACTGAGGAAAGCACCGATGGACCAAAAAACGACACGAAGCCTCTTCAGGCAGGTGGCCGTAAGAACACCTCTTCCTCTACAACGCAGTGAGATGCGTGGGCTATTTAGTGCCTTGGGAGTAAGCCCGGATGCACAGGAAGCGTAGGCGTTGGCACTCCTATCCCAAAATCCCGGTTAGCGATGCATAGTAAGCAAGCGTGTTGCCCACCTAAGTTACCTGGCGTTGAGACACACACACCTCACTTACAAATCGCCTCTTGCAAAATTGTGGCTGGTGCTGTGGATGAGTTGGTGGGAAATATGCCATAGACCCGGCGATTGCGTTATTTCTGCAAGTGATACCAAACGCACCTCATCAAACTAAGGTAGTCAGTCAGTCACCCCGGCGAAAGGGAGGGCGGCGGGACACCAAAAGCACCCAGAAAACAGCGCCTATGGGTAGCGAGTCCAGCAGCCAAGCCAGCCGGGGCCGGGTGGCCGCCCAAACCGCTGCCACCACCCGGAAGACCGACCAATCGACCCCCGAAACGCCGCCCGCACCATGTTGCACAGGCCGGCATTTTACCTTTTCTGTACCCTAACTTGCTGATAACGCAGCCAATTCAGCCCGGGCACCCAATTGCGCACTTATTTAATACACAAAAACGACTGCCAACACCCCGCAAATGCAAACACACGTCACAAAAAGCTAAAATGATGGGAGCGGGGTTCGAACCCGCGCACTCTCACGAGTAACAGAGTTGCTGACTAAGCTTAAATCTGTCGCCTTAGACCACTCGGCCATCCCACCGCAAGGATTGCAACTTGAGATTTGAAGAGCACGGTTTGGCGCCTATGCTTGGTTGCGAAGTTGGCGGTTCGCGCGGCCGCCACCACGATGCGAGGAAGCCCGTTCGAGAAGGAACGAAAGAGACCACGGACAGGAAGAAATGCCCGGGAGATGGCATCGATGCATTGATTGTCCAAGCAGGTGCCAAGGAGAGGCGCATAACTACCTAAGGCGACGGAGGCGGTTGAGTTGGGTTGGAGACACAGATATCTGGGACGAAATCGCGTCAGTCTGCAACCTCTCGAACAGACGAATGGACAGTGACTGTTTACCTCGCATTGCACGGCTTCAAGTGTTGGTAAAATTGTGGTAATGCTTCATCTCGGCTAAAGTCGACTTTGCTTTTCTTCTTCCTGCTGTTGTCCCGTCCGATCACGCGCCCTTCGCCCTCGTCATGGGCCCCCAGTTTTCCCGCGGGTTCATCTGGTATCTGACCAACTTTCTCTGCTCCCTGCGCTTGCCGAGCTTGGCGAGGTTCTCGTCGAACACGAGCGTCTTGCGCAGCGCCTCCTCGGACAGCTTCTCTTCGGCCTTGTCTTCCGGTCCGTCCTTCATCTCGACATCCGCCGTCTTTCCCTCCTCCTTGTTGGTAGCCTCCTCCTCCTTCTCCTCCACCTCGACCACCTCTACCGGGGCATCAGCCTCCTTGGCCTCCGTGGCGTTCCCGTTGGCATCCGCCTTATCCGTCTTGTCCAGGCCCAGCAGCTTATACGCCGGCATCTGCGAGTTGATCTTTTCCGTGCGCACCGGCGCCTTTTGGCGAACCCACTCCTGCATAACGAACCAAATCGTATCCCACGGCGCATCCGTCTTGACACTTCCGGGCCGGCAATGGCTTCGGGTGACGCGGTAGCCGAGGTGCTTGAGAGCACCCCTAAACATGTCGTCCGGCGGCTGCTGCGTGCTCAACGTACCGGCCAACCGCGAGGGCATGACGAAGAAGGGGTAGTGGTCCACCCTCGCCAGCTCCTTATCCTTGGGGTCGAGATCTTCTGCCGGCTCCGGGCCCGGGAGATACTCTTCTAGAGCTGTCTGGAGCATGCCCTCGATTCTGGACGTCGTCTGGTACACGTTCTTGTCGACCGTCGGTAAGACGTCGAGAATACGCTGGATGAACTCGGCATTGTGCAAGGGGCCGCTGTACATGGGTCCTGCGATGTGCATCTTCGAGCCGCAGTGTCTGCAGTGCGAGTCGGTAGGAGGTCCCTGGGACAGCCCGTGCTTGTAAAAGTATCCCTCCTTTTTCTTGGGCGCGGCGCGCGTCCGGACCATGGGCTGCGTCTCCCAAGCTGAGCACCCGGGGCAGTTGTACATGATCATCGTCTTGCCGCCCTGGTAGTTGACCGCGTCCTTGGACTTGCGGACCTTGACAAAGACGCGGCAGTAAAAGTCAATGGAGAGGGACAGCTGCGGCTCAATGGTGAGACCGTACTTTGACCCGGCGCTCGCCAAGGCGTGAAGGATCAGGCGGATGCCGACCTCGTGCGAGTGAAGGCCCTTGACGGGTGCGCCTCCGTACAAGGAGAAGCACTTCTCGGCGTAGCAGTGGCCTGCCCAGTGACTACCGTCGGTGCAGGTGACGGCAAGCAGGCCACCGTCGTCTCTGACGGCCTGCACAGCGGCATCCAGGAACGGCGCGGCCGTCCCGTACGGGTCCAGGTCGATGGCGTCGTACTTGTTCTCTTTGCTGGGGTTACCGAACCGGTCCCTGTTCGACAAGTCGTCTGCGATGCGCCGGTACATGTGAGCAATCGCATCGTCGTGGCTCGTCACAATCTTATCCTCCAGGCCGTTGTGCTTCATGTTCAACTTGATTGACTCAATCGCACTCTTGGTCAGGTCGTTGGCGGTCACTGACGTCACAAAAGGCAGCTCGTGAGAGTAACGCAACGCGCGAAGACCGGAGGCAGAGAGGGCGTCCAAGATGGTGAAGCGAGGCGGCGCCGACTCCTTCTCTGGCACAGCCTTTGCGTCTTCACCCTCGGCCTGGCCCTCCTTGGCTTCCGTGGCTGTTGCGGGCACCTCGGCCTCAGCGCCAGTGCCATTAACGCCATTCTCGGGTTGCGGCTCCCCGCCGTTGGTGACCTCAGCAGCCTTGCCGTCGTCCGTAACCTGCACCTTGGCCGGCCGGTTTCCGCCCTCGTCCGCAGCCGCGCGCCGTCTCTTCTTGTCCCTGCGCTTGGCAGCGGCCTCGGCTGCCTTGGCGGCCTGCGCAGCCTTCCTCTCGACGACCTCCTCGCCGTACACTCTGATGGCCAGCGCGGACAGGTCTCGGTTGAACTGCTGGATGGGGTTGTAAAACACCTGCTGGCCCTTCTTGTCGTTGACCTCCGCGGGGACCAGGATCGTGGCCTTGCCCTCGGTCACGCCCTTGTAGTCCTTGCCATCGTAGGTGAAGATCTGCTCGTCTCCGCTCATTTTGACGGTAATTTCACTACTTCTGGTAGTTGGACAGCTGCTGCAGAATCTGATGTGTGGCGGCGCACTGCCTCTGAAAGCTGCGCGAGTGAGAGAGACGGCTGATGAAGGTTCCGTCAATCGAAGTGACTGGAGGCGTACAGTCAAGGGCAGAGTACAGAATTGGCGGCTCGCAGCGCGTGTGCCTTGGCGTATGGCTCCTTGAAGAAATGGGTTCAACATACAGTCATATGAGATGGTATAAAATTTTGGGTCACCCTTTGTCGATTCGGCTCACTCAAGTCGCACGTCGTCGCTGGTCGGCGAGAGAAATTTCAGTGGGTCCAATAATTCTGCCAAAGGCGGTGAGTCACCGGCGACAACCTCAACCTTGCTTGCTACCTCCCATGGCTCCATAAATGTTGGCTTGAAGGATTGAAAGTCAACCAGAAGCTGTGCAATCTACTGTAATCGACAAATGTCTGCTTCGCGATCGTTCATTACGAGCATGACCGGGTTTATTTTGGTTCTGTAGCTTTGAACTCGGTTGGCATTGTACGTTCAATGCAGTGCTCGGCTCTTCTCAGACCGAGCTCTGCCGAGCCCTCAAGTCGGAAATGCCAATAGGTGTCGTCGAGACATATCAATACGTTACCCGCTGAGATACTGGCCTAATTCATCTTGGATAGTGCTTCTTACACTTTTTCAAAGCTTTTCCCAAGTTTGATGAGTTCAACTTAGTGGTCCCTTTAGCAGATGCCCAGTTGTAAGCCCGCACCAATTCCCGCGTCATCGGTTGCAAGATGTCTCTGAATTCCTTACTCAGGATTGCATTGTGAGAAGTGCAGGGGTATAGCAGCTTTAGATCACTTAATTGGAAACATTGCAATGATCGTGTATGAATCCCAAGTTGTGAAAGTGACTATTAGCTCTTTTATCAGTCATTTTTGAATGACTTCTGTGGGAAGTTTCCACAGAGTCTGTAGGACTACTTCTAGCCCTAGTCTTCATTATGAGTTGACTGAGTGCCATTTTGATGCCGTATTGTGAGCTTTTATGGCCGGGAGTTGATTAAGTTGTCTACTCGCTCTCTTGCTCCGCCGTTCATTCTCATCTTACAATCAATTTAAATGCTGCCGAGATAATTCCTGAGAACAAAAGTCTACCCCAGTGAAGCCAGAGAAATCCTTGATCTTGTTTTTGCTGCGTTTGATATGTTGTACTTGTTCCCACTTTCACTCGACCATACTTTACTTCCCAACCGCACGTCAGACACGATCAGGAAGGAGATCATCAGAGAGCTACTGTCCAGCCTGGGGCATCCTGCCCTTGCAGCGACGCCATGACTTTTAAATCGGAGGTAGAGAAGGACCATGTGCGCGAGACCATCAAACTCCCAAGGATAACACGCCGTAAGTAAAACGTCTGGTGGGCAGCTGACAGGACTTTCATAGGCAAAGCAAGATACCTGAAGCGAGAGTATTTCTAGAGGGACTGAATCGGGAAGACATACGGAGCGGAAAGGCACCAGCAGACTATCATCATGGACATTTCAAAGACGTATCCATGGTTCATACAGTGTCGTTGATAGCCTGTGGTCGAGTGCGTCAAGGAACATTCCCCAGCTTCAGGCTGGGCCTTCAGGGTCAGGTGCGACGAGCAGAGAGTGGCCTTTGATAGCTACAAGTATTGGGAGGGCAAATGCACATATGCTTCTTCATGATCGTGGTAGCAGTCGATTGAGAATGCATTTGGGATACCTGGCCATGCGTGACCCAAACAGTGATTGAATGGGAGATAGACTCAAGGCATAAGATGTTAAGGCATACCTGCTTCGTCAGACATCGAGCCTTATCCGTCACTTTCTTACACCACTCCTTGAGACCTAAACCGCCAACCAGTCAAACCTCCGCGCCACCACACTATTTACTGAGCAAGGCAAATCGGCAACCTTTCTTGAGAGGGTGTTCTGGATGGTTACATGGTCGGTCCCGCCCCAAGCCACCGACTAGCCGGTTATATCGAAGAGTATATTTCGGTGACGAGGTTTCCTCATACTCGGTGAAGCCAAACACATCCCCCGACAAGCTTCTTAGCCGGTATCAAGACCAACGCTTTTCTCGGG